AAATCAGAAACCGTTTAAACATCTAATTGTGTCATACAAAATTAATGAACAGGATGATTCAAGTAAATACTAAAATTTCAATAATTTAATTGAGTAGTCAAATGATATCGGATTCAAGTTATTTTTTGCATAGATGATCTTCGAATGAATATCTACAAAATAGACAGTTTGGATTAATGAAGTACAATGTATGGAGGGCTCTACTAGGGTGTCCCTCAAATAAGCTTATTTGAGGGATCCCTCAACCGAAACTCACTATATATATAACTAAAATTTTAAAAATATATATATATTCGAAGACAAAAAAAATTATATTTAAAAAAACTAATATATAAACCATGGAGATGAAGTTATATCTCTTCAAAAATGCCCCATGCGAATGGAAAATGAAACATAAGGTAGATGGAGGGTTTCATTTCCCCCCATATTTTCTCATGAGCCATGAAATCATTTCTTAAATTTGGACTTACCAAACATGGGAAATCATTCCTTTTTCTACCAACCAAATGCATGAGTTAGCTCGATAAATTTATAGAGGGTGATTATCATAATAGAAAAATAATGTATGTTTTGAAGGGTAATTCAAATTTATTTTCTAGATTTTACTAGAATATAGGTTTCTTTTCTTTTTATTTATATCGTAATGAAAAATATTACAGTTCAATTTTTTTAATCTTTTTTTATATTTTCCAAACGAAGAGAGTTTTATCTCAGTACAAGAGGCTAGAGAGCATATTAAAACTCTATCTCATCTTCAACCATTTAATGCAAATATGTAATATTTTTAGGGAAAAAAACTTATGATAAGATCAAATTTAAGTTGAAGAAAAAAAAACTCATAAAAATAAAAGTTAAATCCACTTGCGTTTTGGCGTCGGATCTCTGCCACCATCCTTTTTACGATTTCTTTATGTTTGTAATAAGTTGCAGAGACTCTTTGGGTTCTTTGTGTAGTTTTCACATATCCTTTGGTGATAGTTTTTCACCACTCTTTTGTGAGAGCTTTTCACTTCATCTTTGTGAGAGTTTTATTTGTATTGTTATGGCTTTGTTTTTTCAAGCTTTATCTTTTTTTTTATATTCTAAGTTTGCAATCTTAGTTGGGATGTCTATGCCAGAGTTTCTTTGATCCTGCGTGATAGTTAGTGGAGGCGCACCAAATTATCTTAATTTTGATGTTAGACAACTCTGTTATTGTAATGACCCTTTTGTAGCTAGTTTGTATAGCCTTTTGTGACTAGTGACTTTTTTGGCTGAATTATAAATGTAATAATATAATTTCTATAAATAAAAAAGCTAAATCCATGTATCTTACCAAGTAGAAAGAACATATATATATATATGTATATATAAATTAAGCACGAAAGCAACTTACACTCTTCTTCTGTACACACCAAGTGTCATGATTGTGGCCCACAGAATCTCTGTTAGACTTGGCATTGATTTTGTCATCTATTGAGGCAGAAAAACTTGTGTGAAACGGGAATAGCAATGTTTTGCTATTCCCGGCCAATCATAGACTGTCATGTGGAAAAGTTATCACGGGTGACATACCGTGATTAACCGGAGATAGTAAAATAGTGTTATCATCGTTTCACACAAGTGTTTCTCATGTGAGGACCATAGTTTTTTCACCTGAAAATGTAATTGGACCTTGGAACATTAACATCAATGGAAAATATGCATGGGATTTGGAAAATAAAAAACAAAATTGAGAAAAATAGTTTTCTCTCTTTTTTATTTTTTATTTTTATAGTTATTCTCAAGCTATTTGTCTCACGACTGTAATCATCATTCACACTTTGGTTTCATCGATAATTAAACTGATAAAGGCTGACAAGAAAAAGTGGTTTTCCATTGTTTTCAATCTATGGCTTTCATGAAACAAAAAAGCAAGAAAAAAAAAGTCTTAAGTTTTTATTTAGAAGTTTGATTTTTAGTACCATTTATTACTGAATATCGTAAATAAATATCATTATTTACTAATCATGCCATATAACTTGATGTTATAAAAGTCATGATTAGAAATCTGAAATAGGGTTTCATTGGTTAGTGTGACAGGTCATTGGTTAGTGTGACAGGGTTATGTCACAAAGCAGAAAGTGATTTGTTATGATTTTAGGCTTTTAAATAAAATAGAAACTGCATATGTGAGTTCCAGCGGTTACTTAGTTAGTTAGTTAGTTAGAGCAGTATCAGACTCATCTGGATGTAAAATTTTAAATTTAACCACCTAATTTGTTTAACTAATTCAGCCAATTATAATTTTTTTAAAGAACTTCTAGCCCCACCACAATTCAACTTAGCCCACTAAATGACCTAAAAAAAGCATTAACCAATTCAGCCTAAAGCCCAGTTCATCTAGTTCTTTGGAGTTCTTTTATGCCTCCATTGACAAAACCCTGATTTTGGCACTACAGTGTGGCTACTATTTTCTAATAACAACTGGTTTCAACGAGGTATAGTTCAATGAATTTATAGATATAACGATAGGTATAACAAGTACTCGTCTACATTACTAGATCTAAAGGTATAACGATATTTATTTGACCAACACTTTTATTAACTTATTTTTGTATAAAATTCTTAAACAAAGTGCAACATGTTATTGAGACAACTTAAATTATATAGACCACGGAGACGGTGATGGTGGTGATAGCAAAAGAATCGTTCTACAAGAAAATATCTGGCGTACACGAAACTGGAAAATCAATTAACCATTGGTTAGACTTTTTATTTTTTATTTTTTATTTTTTTATTTTTATGACAAAGTGGGGAAAAACCCCAAAGAACAACCTACACCAGCATATCAGTAATTGGTTAGACTTTTTTGGTTGACATCTATTTCATCTTTTTTTTTCCTTTTCAAAATGATCATGTTGGAACAAACAGCTAGCGTAAAGTCTTTATCCGGGCAGAGATCATTTGTGAAGCATTGTATAAGTTCATTTCATATGGGGTATTTTTTAATTTGGACTCCCATATTGGGTATATTAGTGAATCTCCCTATTTAGTATTATAAATTACTTGGATATGTTTGGGCCTGCGTGCCTCTGCGTGTCTAAATTCTGTTAGTTGTTTTGTGAAATATAAAAAAAAGATAATGAAGTTGTACTTGGGTTAGCACAACTAATCTTATAATTAATGATGATTTCTTCTATCAAGTTCTAGTAGGATGAGCCAAGTTGATTATTAATTGTATTTAAATAATGCAATAAAAAACCCTAATGACAGTGATGATTGCTTTAATCAACTGCAAGTAGAATTGTTGTACGTGCATAATCTAATTAAAAAAGCCCTAATGAAAGAAAAGAAAAGAACCTGAAGTACAATAAAAATTGAAAGATATTGAAGTGTTAAAAAACGTCTACACACATTTGTATGATGTCATGCAGTCTAAACACACTTCTCTGATTGGGGATTAGAGGTTTAAAATAATAAGAAGCCTAACATGATTTATGTGGTAGTGAATATTTTCCTTATTTAAATATACGATTTTTAAATTTAGTGGGCCCTATTTTTGGAGATCAATGACGAAAATGCAATTTAGTGTACAGTCTCATTCTATTGACGAAAATGCAATAGGCTGTATATGCGTGTTATAAGTTATAACATTTAGACAAAGCACTTCGAATTCCTTTTATTTTGGATTGTAATAGTTGAAAGTAATTTAAATTACTGCTTGTATCATACTCAATGACCCGCATACAATCAAGTATATATTTTTTATTTCTCCTATCTTATCATGTCATTTGACTCATTTCACACAAAAAATTTCAAAGTGTGTCACACATACAAAGAAACAAACACAACCAGAACATTTGTTAATTTTGGTGTTTTGAATCTACCCTCACTATCACACCTAATTGAATGCTAATTAAAAGGTCTTCCTAGCGAATAGGATTATAGGTGGAATTATTGGTGTTGGATTAAAATGTTGGATTTACTTTCGTTTTGCTGGACGACGCGTTATCCCTTCTTGGAAAGAAATGGTGGATTAAAAAACTAGTGAAGTAATGCAAACTTTTTAGAGCCGTGGAAGCCGTACAAGGTATAGAGCTGCATGGACAACCATTCATGCGGGTCCTTCCTTTTTATTTATTTTATTTTATTTCAAAGACGAGAAGAAAGAGAATCAAACTCTCGTTGTGAAGACATGAATGATAATAATGCTACCACAAGTATAATTATAAAACTTTTCACTGTATCGACCTTTCTTTTATCTTTAAGGAATGCCAAAGACAATAACTAACCAGAATATAAGTGACTTTCAGCCGTTGATGTATGTATGTACTGTCATGAAATTCATTTACATCAACAATTGGCAGTCTCCTGGTGCGTATAGGAGATTGCCCTAAGCACTGTACTCTTCTTTAAAACCGAAAAAGGAAATATTATAAGTAGGAGCCAACTTTTGAATGTGAGGCTCGGTTGGGCTGGAACTAACATTTCCATATGAGCTGGGCTAGGCTAGAAAAGATGGGCCCATATTTTTTGATCTGGCCCAAACATACATCTGATCCAAGCATATGGTTTGGGTTGGACCCATTTTGCGAACCCAAAAAGAAAAAAACGACAGAAGAATTGAGGTCATTTTGGTAAATTAATAGCTCTGTCCGATACACAGTGATCACCAGAAGGCAAAAACTCCCAAGTCCAACGCTCCACTGAAACTTCGAAGACCTCAAATCACTCTTCCATGGCTTTCCATTCAAATGGCAGCCTCTAGAGGTAGATATCCCTCCTCAATCTTACTATCTGTTTTCCTTAGCTCTACTTATTTCTTTTACTTTTTTTTTTCTTTTTCTTTTTTCACATGGATTTTCTTTGTGTTGATCTTTTTGCATTTTTCTCAGCTGCTCCTTGGTTTTCCTCTTTCCATCTCTGGAATTTTTTGTTGATTATTATTCTAGTTTTTATGTAAATCTTAACTTGATAATTCATTTGCAGTATAAAAGTTTCAGAATTTACACTTTTTGAGCTAGTGGAGAAGGAGAAGCATGAAGGGCCATGAACACAAGGTAAATTTTATTCAATTGCTTTTACCTGAGCAATCTTTGAAGTTCCTACTGTGCTGTCATCATAAAATTCCAACCATTTTATTTTGTAATCTCAAGTAACTTTGCATTTTGCTTGTTTAAGTTGGTAACTTGGTGTTATGTAATGGTAAGTGAAACCTTATTTGATTTTTTAAGGCAGAAAAGGCAGCATGAGATTAGCATAGACCAATTATTCTAAAATCTTAGCTTGGATTTTTGTGCTACAAAAATTAGAAGAGGTGTGATTTGGTTTTATGTTCACAGATTCCTAGAATGGAGGACATTCTTAACCTTCCAGTACAAGATCCTCCATGTGCAGAGTTTTCTGCGGCTCATATCAAATGGGTAAAAGTAGAAGGCGGTCGCCAAGGTGGCGATGATATTGCCCTAATCCCATTTGCTAGAGTGGGTGATTTTGTGAAAGGAGAATCTTCAAATGCAGAATGCCCTGCTAGCTTCCGCATTGAGTCAAGAAGGAGGAGACCTGAGGGCAGCATCAGCAAGCCAAGGGTTGATGGCTATCTTGAGTATACACTGTGTGTTGTCTTTGCTCTTCAGAATCCACTAGGCCTTCCTTTCTTTTCTGTGTTTGTTAGGGTTCATGGAGTTCTGGTCTTAAATACCTCCTTTTGACATTTTTAACCTTCGACTGAGTTTCACTGCTTGATTCAGTAGTTTCTGCGCACCTTGTATGATGCTTGGAAAATTAGGAATTCATTCACATTTAAGCTCATTAACCATAACTTAGAGTTTATTAATATTCATGAATATAACTATTAAATTAAACTTGCAAATATAGGTAACTGTAATGTGCTCCATAGACAATTAAGTTAAATGCGTTCAAATGATTTTCAACTTAAATTTGAGAGACATAATTTTGTATATGGTTATTCATCAGATACTGGTGTTCTTATGGTCCTGAGGATTACCGAGAAAATGAATCTGGTGTGTTGGATGGTTCTAGTACAAAGCCTGCATCCGGAAAGGGAAGCAGGCCTGGGAGGCGTCACATGATGAGGGGCTGCATCTGTCATTTTACTGTAAAACGCTTATATACCCGGCCACTCCTAGCTCTCATCATCTATAATCAGAGAAATCATGTAGACAAATCAGGATTGCCTTGTCATGGTATACTTGATCAGGATGCTATGGGAACGAGAGCCATGTATGCTCCACGAATTTCAGAGGAGCAACGCCAGAAAGTGATGTCTATGCTTTATGTCGGAATACCTTTGGACAGTATAGTTCAGCATCACATGGAGATGGTCGAGGGGCATGGGGGACCTCATAACCGTGATGATTTTCTAAGTCGTAATGATGTTCGTAACATGGAAAGGGTGATTCGCAATTCTTCTCATGAGTTGCATGAAGATGATGAATGCAGTATAAGGATGTGGGTTCAACGCCATCGCAAGAATGTGTTCTATTTTCAAGATAGCTCTGGTTCAGAACCATTTGTTTTGGGGATGCAGACAGATTGGCAGCTGCAGCAGTTGGTCCAATATGGACATAATGGTTACATAGCTTTCCATTCAACATTTGGCTTAAAGAAACTTAAGGTATCGTGGTTGCTTCTTCTAGTTACGTGCATTTGATATTTCAATTTTTTTTTCCCTTATTGTTTTTGTCTTCAAGAATTAAACAAAACAATTATGATTTCGTATCCTTATTGTTTTTTTCCTCTCTTAACAGTATCCCTTGTGTACATTACTTGTTTTCAACGCATCACGGGATGCAATACCAGTTGCTTGGGTCATTACCTCGTCTTTCGTCAGTCAAGATATCCATAAATGGATTGGGCTACTGGCTGAAAGAATCCAAACCAAGGATCCAAGATGGAGACTAGATGCCTTTTTAGTGGATGATCCTTCCTTTGAAATTTCTATAATAAGGTAATAATATTAGTGTGGCTATGCAGTTTAGTCATAGAGTTTTGTTTATAAATTGAATTGAATTTTTGCTCCAATTGTTTCTTTATTTGCAGAGAGGCTTTCCAATGCCGGGTCTTATTATGCATCTGGCGTGCTCGGCGTTCTTGGATAAGAAGACTTTTAAAGACATGCTGCAACTTTGATGTTCAGCGAGAAATGTTTAAGCACTTAGGCTGGCTTTTGTATTGCACAAGAAGGCCAAATACTATGGATTCAGTTGAGGAGTTTATGCAAGTATTTGTTGATCAATGTGCCTTTATGGATTATTTTAAGAGTCGATGGTTACCAAATATAGGTATTTTCCCATTTATGATTGAGACCTTTAATTCATAAAATAAAAAGAAGACATATTTTCTCTTACCAGGCCAGAATACCTGTTTCTGTCAAATGACCTATGCCTTCTCCTCGTTGGACTGTTGGCTTTTGTCTTTAAGCTCCGTTTGATATCATTTTGCATGCCTTGTACTTTATATAGCTGGCCCCAAACCCATTGAGAGGAGGGTTAGTGTAGCCTAGTTGTTAGATGACACATGTGAACTATGTGGTCTAACTTACAAACATGAATCCTGAAATGTGATATTCTTAATATTCAAACTTCAGTGTTACAAAATGCAGTTGATGTGCTAGATGTTGTGATTGCTGTTGTAACCATCACAATGGCCGCTTCAAACATTGTTATATTGTTCTTTTAAACATTGATATTTGCATTGCTCTTGTTGTGCAGAGTTGTGGGCCAATGGCATAAGGTCTCTTCCTGTGGCTGGTCCAGAGCCAAATGCTGCAATTGAGTCCTATCATCTAAGGTTGAAATCCAAGCTTTTCAATGAACAATATGTTGATTCTTGGTCAAGAGTTGACTGGTTAATCCACACACTTACAACTGAATTTCAATCTTCATATTGGTTAGACCAATATAGCGTAGAGACTGGGTATTTTGAAAACTTGAGGGACAAATCTTTCTCAACCAATGCTTGGTATCAGGCTTTGCAGATCCTAAATGTTGATGTCATACTGGATGAGCAAAATCTCCAGTATGCAAAAGTCATCTCACAAACAGACAGAAGCCTGGCATACACTATTTGGAACCCCGGTTCCGAGTTCTCATTGTGTGATTGCCCTTGGTCAAGGCTAGGAAATCTCTGCAAGCATGTCATCAAGGTGGCAATCACATGTAAAAGTCAGCAGGTTGCAAGACCATTATTGTCTGCCCAAGTTTATCGGCAGGCCTTGCTTACCCTTCTTCAAAATCCCCCAGATGATCCTTTAGTTCTTGACCATGCCATTTTACATGCAACCCGCTTGCAACAGGACATTAAAGGCTTGGAAGTATTATCTAATAGTGGGTTGCTCCAGCCTTTACCTTCAGAGATTAGTTCTCATGTAGCAGACAATATACTTTTTCCTCGTCTCCACTGATTAGGCCATCAGAAAGGAGATGGAAACATGCACGAGGCTTGAAGTTATGATCTTTGATCTGGCTCATGGTTAAGACTTGATGTACAGTTCAGACTGTACCTCAGTGAGCTTTGAAATGCTTTGGTATTCATGACTCTCCCTGTCTCTTTCACTCAGACGCAGACGTGCATTGTGGAGGTATTTATATCTTTCATGCTTCTGATTACTGCTCTCCTTTTTCTTCATTTCTCATGTGTTTGTTGAGAATAAAATCAAGGAAAAATAATTTTTTAAATCAAATTCAGCTTTTCACGTAGTTTGATATTTCAATTATTATTTAGATTATGCATTGAATTTTTCCATTCTCAAGTGAAAATGAAGATTCTTGACTTTCTTCTTCCTGCAGCAACGATGGAACGCAGATTTTACAATTTCTTATTCAGAGTCGTAAATATTGAAGCAGAGCATTGTAGAAGGTGATAGTGAAACCTAACTTTTCTACATGGTATATTTGTAAGCAATACCTTGAAATTTGAAAAGAATCCAGAAAAAGAATTTCCTCTCTCCAGGGTTGGCTGTAAAAAAGTGGCTATTTAAATTATACTTTAAAGACCAGTTTTTATCGAAGTTAGTTCATCAAAGAAATTTGTAGCCACAAGTATGTGACTCTGTGCAGTTTGCAGGAAGAAGCAATCAGGTGTAAGGGTGTGATGAGCAGTTTTGAAAAATTTGACGACCGTGTTGAAGGTAAGAAAAAATTTTCCTACTTGAATATCAGTAACTAGAAAAATCCTTGATTCTCTTTACAAATTCATCTTTTTTAAGTATTAATACTCAGGTAGAGAAAGAAGGCTAATGTTTAAGTTCATATTTTCGTAGGAAACTAGGATTTACGTTTAATTTCTCATCCTTGCTTTCTTTTCCTCTTTTTTTTCTTTGTTTTCTTTTTCTGCTGGACTAGATATCAGTTTGTTAGGTTTTCCATTAATTGTCTGTTCTCACAGCAAGCAGATGGGACAAATCAGCAGAAAGAGAGCCGCTTTAAAGATGAGGATGTGACAAAAACTGGGGGAGGAATTCAGTCGCTCCTGACTGCTTTGTTTGGTGGTTGGTCAAGCATTTAAGTTTCAAGGCAACACATATTTCGACCAAAAAAAAAGGTTTCAAGGCAACACATAGAATTTTACCTTTTGCCCTTTTACCAGTTTAAACCAGTAATATGACTGGAGAATCCAATGCGCTTGAGGCCGTTTTAGTCACCTGATGGAACTTAGTTGCAAGGGTTTCAAGCTTTATTTGGCTAAATGGTTCTAAGAATCTTTATTTGAAAGAGATTTCAATTGGACCGGAAGAAATCCAGCATTGCATGTTGTATTCAATTTGAGTAGAAGTGTGTGCTTTAATTTACCATTTAGCTCTGAAAATAAGCAAAAGGAAAGCTCTTAATATAACAGAAATGTGAGAATCTAGAGAGCTTTGTAATTACATTCCAAGTAGCCTAGTACTTTATCTTCCAACTTATTATCTACTTTTAAAGACAAGTCCATAACAATGTAAATAAATAGAGATTTTTTTTTTTTGTTGAAAAAAAATTAAGAAAAAACATTCACTATGCACTGTCTCGTTCCTCTTGTGTTCACCTTCACCTTGTAACATGATTTGATGACCTTGTTCTGTATTGCCTGCGCCTCTGGTTGCAGTGGTAGAGATGATGAATTCATGGCAATTATTTTTAATGTGGAAATTCGTTTCCAAGTGATGGGACTTTAGTCACTCTGGTGTATCAGTCTCTAAGCTGTCTGGGAAGGTGGAGAAGAAATGGAAGGAATCACTAATAAAACAGTGGTGGTGGCGGTGAGGCATAGGAGACACCGATAGTTGGTGGCAACGGGCCATCATACACTGGAGCTGGTGGTGAAGGTGGAGGTGGAGAAGGTCTCATACATGGTGGTGGAGATGGAGGTGGAGAAGGTGAAGCGGGTGGTGGAGAATAAATAGGTGGTGGAGGCGGCGATGGATGAGAATTAGAGGGTGGAGGTGGGGGAGAATGTAGGGGAGGTGGTGGTGAATTGTGAGGAGGAGATGGTGGAGGATCAGAGGGTTGAGGTGGTGGTGGGGAATGTGGTGAAGGAGGTGGTGGCAAGGGAAGGCAAGGCTGTGGGGATGGTGGCGGTGGTGGAGGAGGAGGAGGAGGTGACGGCGATGGAGGTGGTGGTGATGGTGGCGGTGATGGTAATGGAGGTGGTGGTGATGGTGGCGGTGATGGTAATGGAGGTGGTGGTGATCGAGATGGTGGTGGTGGAGGTGGAGGTGGTAATGGTGGGGAGGGAGGAACAGAAGGACGGCATCCAAAAGAACTACAACGAACACCCTTAGACAAGGCCAATTTACAGTGCAACATGGTTCTCTGCTTTGGCCTACGCCGCAAGCAATTCTTGCTGTCATCAAACTTCTCCAATTTCAAACACATTGGTGGCTCACTAGTGAAGAAGTTGTGCTCAAAGCTGAAGTTCCTCAGGTTCTGAAGCTCACAAACGCTCTCAGGTATGTTCCCTCTTAGCATGTTATGAGCCACATTGAGCGCCTCTAAGCTCACCATTTCACCCACTGCCTCCGGCAACTCGCCAACGATCCGATTATAGCTCACATCAAACACAGTCACATCCTTCAGCATCCCTATTTCTTTTGGCAAGCACGAGTGGAAGCCGTTGTTTGTGAGCACCACTTCGTTCAAATTCTTGGACATGTTGCCAAGGCTGGCTGGCACACACCCATGGAAGTTGTTGTTTGCAAGAACAATAACTGAGACCGGCGAGTTCCCGAAATTATCCGGCAATTCGAAGGAGAACCTGTTGTGGTTGATGAAGATTGCATCTAGATCTTTATCAAACAGTTCCTTGGGGACCTTACCTTCAAACTCATTGAATCGCAGGTCCAGGAATTTTAGCTTTGGCAGTTGAAGAACAACAAGAGGGAACTTCCCAGCAAAGCGGTTGTTGCTCAGATCAAGCTCAAAAAGCAGCTTCAGCTTGCTTAAACTCTTTGGGACACTGCCACAAAACCGATTGGAGTTGATGTGGAACAATGCAATATCTGAGAGCAGACCCAGCTCTTCGGGGAGGTACCCTGCAATGCCGCCATGGTTCAGATCAATGCCGGCCACAGTTTCGACTGACGGGTCGTCTAGGGCTCGGGAGCAGAAGACTCCAGTGTAGCTGCAGACATTGGATCCAACCCAGTTGGATGTTTCGCCCAGAGGGTCTGAGAGCATGGCTTGTTTCCATGCCTGGAGGGCAACGTAGGCACTCCTGAGTCTTGGGTTGTGAAAAACAAGGGAGGATGGGACTGCCACAAGCTCCCCTCTTGACCCATCTTGGTCAGTGTAGAACAAGAGCTGCCTCTGATTAATATGAGAAAGTTTTAACTCTCTCAGGCCTACATTAGGGTTTTGGGCAGTGGAGCCAAGGCAAAGGATCAGTATCAAGAAAGTAGAGGGTAGAAAAATGTGTTGAATTTCTCTCTTCATCACATACAAGAGATCACATCTATGGGGTTTCAATTTCTTGGTTTTGGTTTGCTCAGCATTTTAAGAGAGAAGAAGAGAGGCTTTTGGGGATGGGAAAATGATCAAAATCCACAGTTAAAGCTCAGAGCTACTGAGTTTTTGTAAAACCTTTTTTGTGTATAACAATTTTGTTCACTGCGCAAGACAAGTTTGTCAGAGGAGTGACAGGTAGGGACGTTGAGATTTAGCTGGAACCGAGAATGCATGATTCTTATTACATGTGTATAAAATGGAACCAGTCAAAGGGAAACACGGTTATTTCTGGGACGGTTCCCGATTTTAACTCTCTCATCTTGGACTTGATCAAGTTTTTCACACCAATTTAGGGGCCTGAGGTGTTAGTTGCAGATATAAGAGAATTTTAAGAGGGATAGTAAAAGACCCTTAGTGAGACATAATTAAGAATTTGACTACACGTATTAGACCCACATATGGCTGATAATCGTCCACACACATAATCAACTGAGTTAAAGTTGCAGATATAAGAGAATTTTAAGAGGGATAGTAAAAGACCCCTTAGTGTTTGACCTACATACGGCTGATAATCGTCCACACGCACGTAAATAACTGAGTTAAAGTTAGTGTTAGTTGCAGATATAAGAGAATTTTAAGAGGGATAGTAAAAGACCCTTAGTGAGACATAATTAAGAATTTGACTACGCGTATTAGACCTACATACGGTTGATAATCGTCCACAAGCACATAATCAACTGAGTTAAAGTTAGTTATCCATACTCGCAAAAATTATTTACATTAACACCCTCTGAGGTTTTTTATGTTTGTACAAAACCCCCTCATGTTTCAAAAATTACACGAACACCCCTAAGATTTCAGTTTGTTTTCATAAAACCTCTTTTCGTTGATTTGTTCAAAATTTGATGATTTCATTGAAAAATAACTTATGCAAATGACAAAATTAACCTTAATGAAGAATATGCAATCTAATCTCAAAGGCCTACTTCGTCATTTGGAGAATTTTTTTGTATAAGATGAAAAATAAATGAAAATGAGTATTGTAAAAACAATTTAAAACCTCAGGGGGTGTTCGTGTAATTTCCAAAACCCCAAGGAGTTTTGTGAAAAAGCTAAAAACCTTAAGGGGTGTTAGTGTAAATAACTCTACTCGCAAACAATTTTTTTAGTGTAACTATCATTTCCTAACGTTTTCTTTTCCAACTTCAATTTTCACATATCTCGAATCGAATTGGATTGAAACATACCTTTAAAAGTAACCTATCACAAAGTTAATAGGACTTGTTTTTCATTTTGAATTTAGCTATATTGAAAATTTAGAAGAATATTGGGTTTCCAATTGAGTTACAAACCCATAAAATACACCTCTTCTTGAATTCAAATCTTATCGTTTAAAAAAATAAATTATATTAGGTCATGTAATCGTACATTTGATTTCACAACGATGAGCTAGACGGAACACAAAGTATATAATTGAACTTCGTCAAACTGATTCATGTTTGGATCCAGTTGAGCAAATCAAGGTCAGCTCAGAATGGTTTCCAAGAAACTTGGCATGCCTATGAGAAATCAATATTATAACATTATCATAAAATGTTCTAAAACCCTAAGAGCATCTCCAGCGCCCAACCCAGCCAGGGGGAAAGGCTGCCAAAGGGAACCCGAGGCAGCTCCAGCGCAGGGCCCGTAGCCCGGTTTGGTGGTGGGTCCCACGAGCCCGAGGAAGCCCAAGGGCAAGTCTTGCCCGGGCTGAAGCCCGAGTTGGGTGACGTCAGCGCTGGCGTCACCATCTGACAGCTCCAACGGGCGTGTGCCACGTGGCGCGACGGGGACTCTCAGATGGATTTTTTCCAGAAATCCGACGGTCCTCGTTTTTTTGGCTAAAAAAATTGCAAAAAAAATCGAAAAAATTCTGAAATTTTTTTTAAAAAATACCCAAAAATTATGTATTTTTTCTCTATAAATACCTAACCATTTTATTTACTTTCCACACTAAAATCTTCATACAATTTCTTCTCCATCCCATAGTTTTTACTCTTTACTCACATTATTCACTTTCCACACCAATTCTTCATTCAAACTTTTCTCCTTCCAATTTTTTTGTTTATCTCCACTCACATTTTTCACTTCCACACCAATTCTCCATACAAACTCTTCTCCTTCCAATATTTTTTACTCTCTTTCTACTACTTTCCATTTGTATAAAAAAAAACGAATGGCATCTTCTATTGAAGTCGGAGGCTCGTGGTCAACGAATGAAGATATTGCGTTGTGTCAATCTTGGGTGAACATTAGTCATGACCCTATCACGGGCAATGAGATGAAGTTTCATCACATGTGGAGCAAAATTCATGGAGAATTTTTATTAAAATCTGAGATACCGAAAATTAAAAACGAAACTTTAAATGCCGTTTTGGAAGGCCAAACGACCTCAAAATGCCAAAATCCATCATACGTCACGGCAAATCCGTGAGTTTGACTCGTGGCGTCGTTCCCTTTCCGAAATGGTATTTTGCGTCCTAATCAGAGCTCGGACGACAAATCTGCAAATTCCCACTACGTCCTTTTTCTAGCTCAACCGCGATAAAATCTGCCATTTGTTCTACATCAGACGTGGCACAATTTTAGAGGGTGAAAATCTTATCCGAAAATTTAATTACAAAAGATTATCAAAATTAATGGTTTAAACTATAAAAAAAATAGGAAATAAAGTACAATGAATAGTAATTGCCTTAGACTTGCCCTAGACTTTGCCCTTGTGGGTGGAGATGCTCTAATGGTCTCCCAATTCACATGATCACTACTCTCACCAACATGTCACGACATCTAATATAATATTCATTTTATTGGATAAACATCAATTTGGAGATTTTCTTAAATTAATTAATATTTTTTTTAATATCTTTAAATCCATCCACGTCAGCCTTAACACGTGGCATGCAATCAGAACTTTTTACCAATTTAAGTAACACGTGCCGTCGTTGCGCTATAGCTCAATCTAAATTCCAGACCTGACGTGTACGCTTCGATCTTGACCGTTGAATGGTCAAGTTCTCCTAACGAGAAGAAAGAAACATAATACTATTCAACGTCACCGACCTTTAAAGCGAAGCTTTCTAATACATTTGTATGCAATTTAATTAGCATACTCTCTCTCTTTGTACCCGTCCGATTTAATACCACGATATCCACACCGCCAGATTTACGCTACGCACCAGTTATACAATGGGCGCGAGCGCTCCTGATAAAATATGATTATCTTAATTGAGAAAAAAACGGAGATATTTTCAGGCAATTTACTGCACAAGCTGTCAATTGAGAAGCAACAGAGGTACACCGGTGGACCTGACGCTTTCGTTTTCGAAGGCTCTGGATATCTTCAGGGAGGCTATAAATTCGGCTTCGTTTCGAATTCTCTCTCTCATCCGTATCGCTTTCTCTCTCATCTTCGTCTATGTTACTCTGTATATCGGTATCTCTCTCTCTCTCTCTCACGTACACACACGCACATAGTTTCTAAAGGCGAGCCGGAGCTCCGGATTGTCAATCGGATCCCGCCGTTTGTTATCGGATTCGGATCGGCGACTGCACCGCTTGTCGTTCCCGATTGAAAGTTCGTTATTCTTTAAGAAATTCATATAATTAGTAGTCTGTTTTGATCTGAATGGCTTTAATTTTGCATTAATTGTTCACATCGTAGGTAATTTGGTGCTGCAGTTTTTTAATTCTGTGTGTTTGTGTTTGTGTGCTTAAGCGTTAGGCTTGTTTGATATGTTATGGTGTTAATGCTGAGCTTTTGATTTCGCAGTAACGTATCTTCAATGAATTGTGTTTATGCTTCATTTTTCTGTTGCTGTATTGTTCATCATGCATTGCGTGGATTGCTGTGGATTTGATTTGGTGAATGGTTTTATGTTCCATTTTGTGCTGTTTGAATTTGTGTTGTTGGTTTTGTGATGATTTTTTACTGGTTGAATGTGACGAATATGGTTGTTGCTGCTGCTGATGATGATGACGATAATCGATATGTTTGGTTTAGCTAATTTTTGAAAGAAATGTGATGGCTGCCTTGGTTACTTCTTCTGGTAGATAATCTTTTCCGTGCATGAAATTTATGTCCAGGATGAAATGCTATGTGAGACCATTGGTTTTCCTTTGGAAAGAAGCCACGTCTAACTTTTTGTTTGTAATTTCTACATTTCGTTTATTTATGGATTCACCATTAGTATTACAGAGGGAGAGGAGGAAAATAGAAAATGGGTAGCTGTGGAACATGATGCATTTGTTTTGTATCATAGGTGATTCTACTCAACAAGGTCTTTTTTGTTCCTTTTTACTGACGGTGAACTTTTTTGGGTTGAGAAACTAGAAACAAAATTAGGGCGGTGAAATCTCTCTATTACTTGCCACTTGATTTCAGCCAACTGTTGAATAATAACATTCCCAAATGGATACGGATGTGACTGGGTTATAGTAGGTCTTTTTTTATTTGGACGAGGATTTATAGTAATTGGATAGCAAATAGAGTTCATGCTTGTGGGGTGAAATGAATGGCAATTTGGTCCTTTTGTTGTGGTTGTTCTATATAAGCTTCTGAAATAGGCGTGTGAAGTTGTGAGTATTGTCAGCCATCATCCCCTCTTTATGGCCTGTGCATCCCGTTTGGTGTACCTCAGCCTCTTGTTTCTGAAGCAGCTCTTATTCATCCAGGAAACACCAAGGTTAATGTTGTTGGGCCTTCCTCTGGACCTTGGTTTCAGGTACTGAGCTGTAGTAGCTCGTTATAGATAACCGTTAGGGCCTTTAAAGTATAGGGCTTCAGTGTTTTGGGGTGTTAACTACCTGTGCAAGTGGAATATTTAAGGATGCCAGTTCTGGATTTCATAACGCAAATGATAAAAGAAAGTATTACCTGATATATTTTCTGATATTAATTATCGGCTTTTTCAGTTTCTGTTACTGAGGACGGGAAAACATTACAGCTTGTGTTGAGTCTACGGCCTGGTTGCAGCTTGAGGCTTGTGGATATTTGTTAAAATTTAAGGAGACTGCTTTAGCAAATTACATAAGATAATTATCTTTGTTTTTAATTGGGTTGCATTGAAAGATAGGGCAGCATACCGGGGGAGTTTCGGCAGTATTCTGCAGGGCTGTTGTATCTGTACCAGAGGTGAAATTTCCAACTCCAGAGTGTATATGCTGGTTTATCAGGGTTCTGATTGAGGGGTTTGAACGTCTTACCAGTAAAAATGGTTCTTCACATCTCCATCCAAAGATGTCAGCGTATATTTCTAGTTTGATCTTGTGGTCTCCTCTTTCTTGGCGCCTATATCCGTGTACTACCCCCATTGTGAATATTCCGTACTGAAACCCTGCGTTGTCTCATCTGCCCCCTTGTGCTAATCTGAGCATTTGTCTGCTCTTGGTTATGAGTTTCAAAGCTTCATTTCATCCCTAAACCTGTTATTAAAACCCGTCAAGTTGTAAGTAGGTTTGTAGAGACATGAATGACAAGAATGGTGCTCCACTTATCTGGTTAGGGACTTAGCCTTGCATGGGTGCCGTGGTCCTTGAAGGAGAGTTAATTTTCTCTAAAGGAAATCAAGAGATGAAAGTTGTGATTCTTTTGGTAGTTCATAACTCAACTATTTAGATGATGAGAGAACTCCACAAGTTTCAAGCAGTGACACTCAAAGTCTGACGGTATAGAGTTTTTAAGATTTTGCCTATTGGGTAAGTTCAGTACTCGAAGCAGACATGGTGGATACTTTCCATTTAAGGTAGGCCTGTCCTCTATGGACAACCAACACAACACATTTCTCCATCTCTCGCACTCTTTCCCCTATTTTGTTACAAACATTTTAAAACGCATTTGATTGTGTGATATATTGCTTTTACCATAGGTTGGGGTGTCAATTCGTCGTGCCCAGTATAGTTGGATTTGGTTCTGGGACTTCAAGGAATCAAGTGATGCAATGTTATTGCTTACTTTCAACAGATGGAAGCTCTGGAGTTCCCCAGCGCTGCATTGTAGTTATTGTTTGGGATTCTTATAGATCTACTTGTTTTGATGAATCCTCCTCTTGGAGAAATGCTGATTGGAGCTGTTCAACCTTGCTTGGATTTTGTTGTTGCTGATTTCAAATGTCTGCAGCATTATAGAAGAAAGCAGAGTTTCATGGGGTGTTTGCCTGGCTTGGTCGGGTGACTAATATACCCCTGAGGATTAACCATTGTTGCTAAATATTTTTGTACATGCAGGTGCTTTAGGCCTTCTGCAAGCTTCTAAATATTATCATATCAATTTGGAGATAAGCAACATAGAATGGTTAGACTGAACAAAATGGAGGATGCCCATTTGAATCTATCGTGCATGCTCGCTGTAGAATCAAAAGTAGAATCAAGGGATACTGGAAAGGCCACTGAATTGTTGGAGAGAGGACACATGGAGTATGGGTAATGTTCTTATTCATTACTCTGCTGGTTTCCTTCCCTCCCGTCACGAAGAAACATTATGATATTGGTTTCCTTTTCTTTTTCTGCAGATGTCCACACTACAGGCGAAGGTGCCGCATTAGAGCTCCTTGCTGCAATGAGATTTTTGATTGTCGCCATTGTCATAATGAAGCAAAGGTGAGTATTCATTATGTACAATTTCAGAGAATATTCCAGTAGGAATAATTCTACCTTTCTGATGTTTTTATTGATAATTCTTTTTTGAGTTGTGCCAACTTGTATTGAATTTCATATTGGTGTACAGAACAATATTAATGTCGATCAGAAGCATAGGCATGACATACCACGGCATCAAGTCAAACAGGTAATCCATGTATGAGTTGGTGTATATCTTCTCCTGTCGTTGTTTGAATTTAATAAGTTAATTTATATTGTTCTGCTTCATAAGCTGACAAAATACATGCATGTTACTTCAGGTGATATGTTCACTTTGCGGCGCTGAGCAAGAGGTGAGTTTTTGTTTTATTGACAGATTTATTTATTTGGATTTTGTATTAAGTCATTAAACTTGTGAGATAGGGTTGTGTTTGACGTCAGTATTCTAGTAATTAATTCGTTAATAATTTGGATGTAGTGGATATTGTTGATGCATTATGCATGAGCTGAACTTAAGATGTTTTCTCGATTCTATAATTAAGACAAATCTTTAATTCTAAGACATGCTTGCAAGTTTCTGTAGTATCTTATGTTGGTTGCTTTCATTACCAGGTTGGACAAGTTTGTGTTAACTGTGGTGTATGCATGGGGAAATATTTCTGTGGGACTTGCAAGCTATTCGATGATGATGTGAGTGCTCGACTTTCTTTAATTCTGTTCTGCGTTATATGTCAGGATGTTTATGTGAGTTTGCCATGGAAGTTCATGATACTTTCTTGCAAGTAACCAGCTTGTGTAGCAAGCTAATCCTATTTGCCTTCTTTGCAGACATCTAAGAGACAGTACCACTGCAATGGATGTGGAATTTGCAGGTAAGATTATCTTGTCCTTGTTAAGGCTGTGTGCAAAAATGTTTTGGTATTCTCCTTTTGGTATTATTTGTTTAGCACTGAACACGATAGGGGACATCCATCTTTCTATTCTGTAGAGAAACTCAATATTCTTCCAGGCATCTGTTTTTTCTGGCTCAGTTGCACTTTCTGCTTGTCTGCCTTCACTTCTTTCTTTGTTGTGTTGTGTTTATGTCTTGTTGAGCTATAATTCTTGAGTGTTTGATTCGATATTGCACTTTTTGTGGCAGAATCGGAGGGCGTGAGAATTTCTTCCACTGCTACAAGTGTGGTAAGCAATGCGTGCTTGTTTTTCTCCAAAGAAACTAAGCATCCTGTTTATTATATTGTACCATGACTGATGTTATTATCTTCTTGTTAGGCTGCTGCTACTCAATTATGTTGAAAAACAGCCACCCTTGTGTGGAGGGAGCAATGCATCATGACTGCCCTGTTTGCTTTGAGGTAAGACTAGCAGCTACAAATTCTTACAACAAATATTTAGTTTGTTGTTTTGGGGTTATTGATGCCTGCCTTACTGGAGTATAACGTACCTGGTGATCTGCAGTTCTTATTTGAATCAACAAATGATGTTACGGTGATGCTGTGTGGACACACTATTCACAAGGATTGCTTAAAAGAGATGAGGGAGCATTATCAGTAAGTGCCTGGCAGCTATGTGATTTTGATTCTTTTTATTTGGCTAGTTGAGTAGAATTATCTAATTTGCCGGTTGATCGTACTTTATGACAGATATGCGTGCCCTCTTTGCTCCAAATCAGTTTGTGATATGTCCAAGGTATGGGAGAAATATGACATGGAGATTGCAGCTACACCAATGCCTGAACCATATAAAAACAAATTGGTACTCTCTCTCTCTCTCCTCTCTACACACTTTCCAAGTGTACAATGTGTGGTTAGAAGTCATTCTTCTTATTTCGTGATTCGCTTCAACAGGTCTGGATCCTCTGTAACGACTGCGGGAAAAGCTCACAAGTGCAGTACCATGTTGTGGCCCAGAAATGCCTGAACTGTAAATCCTACAACACTCGCCAAACGAGAGGCTGAGCTAGTTGGCTATGGTTGCATCAGAATTGATTTTGGCTTTGGCTATTATTGTGCAGCTACGTGTGTCACAAGACTCGCAACAAAGGGCTCCGTACACTCTTTTGACCACCTGGCTGTATCAGTGACAGAGGGAATTGTGGTCCTGCGATTGTCTTCTGTTGGAAACCTGTGGCTGAATGCACCGTTGCGATTCGCTTTTTTGTTTCTGTGTTTCTTTTCCTCATCTATTTATTTATTTACTTTTGTATGTATGGTTTCCCCTTGTAATTAAGCCAAGAGTAGCCATGATGATTTCTCGATTTATCATCTGGATGGATGATCTCTTGTTTTCCTCTGTAATCCTCTCTTTGGATTCTCGATTGCGTTTGGTTATTTGAACAGTATCCACCACTCCGGCAAAGGCATTCAAATGGTATCCACTCCTGCAAAGGCACCGGACCTGAGCTTCGGTTCACCTGTTTCTGCGTGGATGGAGGAGTGGGTATTAAGAACGTTGACATGTTTGAGACAAAGTGGAGGGAGTTAATTTGGAAGAGGCACGAGTTGATGTGAGAAAAGACAATCGTACCCTTTTTTAGGCGCAGTTTTATGCGTTCAACTCGTACATCTGGGTCATTGACCATGGTTTTCCTATGAACTCGTCTGATTCGTGTAGTGGTTATAGGATTTGGAAATTGATGAGGGCGTTGGCCTGCAGGTCTTCCCCACTATGAAGAAGATGATTGTTATTTGAATTAGAGAAAATGAAGAGACAAGAAAAGAGGTGCCTGACAGTACAGCATTTTCAGTGAGATTCTGATGAACATTTTCTACTGTAAGATTAGGACAAAGCATCTCTGCTGGTGCTCGTCTCACTGCTATTGCTATCTAGCTCAGTTGCTAACTTGGACAAAATAATTCGAAGTCCTAATTAACAAGTATCGTCCAAATGAAGAGCTTGAAACGAATTATGGAAAATAAAATCTTATCCATAAAGTTACCAGTTGCTACAAAATGAAATTTGGAGGGAACCAAGTGCCAAATATTCCAAAATGGCCGCAGCCCTTCCTGCCGTTCTCTCAAGCCTGTCTCCCTCCACACATAAACCAACCAAAAATCAAGTCTATAATCAAGTTCCAAGAACAAACTGCATCATCTCCTTGTTGAAATCCTGTTCAAACCTCAGAGAATTTGCACCGATCCATGCCCGTTTGGTCACCACAAACCTCATCCACGACCCCTTCACCGCCAGCCAGGTTCTGTGGTTCTTCATCACCATCAAAGACTTTGATTATGCTCGTCTGGTTTTCAGTCAAACCCATCAGCCAGAGACCATTATTTGGAACACCCTTATGGAAAACAGACTCAAAAATGGTTCTTTTGGAGATGTGCTTTCAACTTACTATAACATGGTCACTCAAGGTGTGCCTCTGGATGCATCTACTTTCCACTTCTTGATTCATGCTTGTTCTAGACTTTTGGCCGTTCAACAGGGGACTGAGATCCAAGGCCGGATTTTGAAAATGGGGTTGGGGGATAATATGTCTTTGATTAACAGTTTGATGGGTTTGTATTCGAAATGTGGGAAATTGGATGAAGTGCGCAAATTGTTTGAGATATTACCTCAGAGAGATGTGATTAGTTGGAACACCATGATATCATGCAATGTCCATAAGGGAATGCTTTACGAGGCTTTGAATCTATTTCAGGAAATGCAGGCTGATGAAGAAGTTGAACCAGATGAAATTACCATGCTGAGCTTAGTTTCAGCTTGTACGAAGCTCAGGGATTTGGAAATGGGGGAGAAGTTGCACCAGTATATTGAGGAAAATGAATTGGAGATTGGTGGGAATCTGTTGAATTGTGTGGTGGATATGTATGTCAAGTGTGGGAAAATGGATAAGGCACTTGAGCATGTGGGTAGATGCAAGCCTGATATTGATGTTGTTTTGGGGACTATTATGGTTGGTGGGTATGTAAAATCTAATGAGATACATGCTGCTAGGTGCCTGTTTAACCAGATGACAGAGAGGAACTTGATTTCATGGATGACGATGATTTCAGGTTATGTTCAAGGAGGTTACTATTATGAAAGTCTGGAGTTATTCAGGCAAATGAGAAAAACATATTTGAGCCTTGATGAGGTTCTTTTGGTCACGGTACTTTCAGCATGTGCTCATGTGGGAGATTGCAAGTTAGGCAAATCCATTCACAGTCTGATTTTCAAATATGGAATGAATGTTGAAGGATTTCTTGGGAATGCACTGATAGACTTGTATGCCAAATGTGAAAAACTGGCTGAGGCTTGCTTAGTTTTTGAGCAGTTGCCTTGCAAGAGTGTTGTGTCTTGGAATTCGATGTTGGATGGGTTCTGCAGAAGTGGAGATATTAAGAAGGCTAGACTCTTCTTCAATGAGATTCCTGAGAAGGATGTGATTTCTTGGAACACCATGATCAACTGCTATTCCATATCTCATCGATTCGGAGAAGTGTTTGAGTTATTTCGTGCAATGCAGTGTTCAAATGTTCGGCCGGACAAGATCACATTAGCCAGTGTTCTGTCTTCCTGTGCTAGTGTTGCAGCCCTGAATCATGGCATTTGGGTGCATGTTTACATAAAAAAGAATCATATTGAGTTGGATATTATGTTGGGAACTGCTTTGATTGACATGTATGGAAAGTGTGGAAGCATTGAAGAAGCCTATGACATATTCTCAGATATGACTGAAAAAAATGTGTTTGTGTGGACTGCTATGATAGCAGCACATGCCATGGAAGGGCAAGCCCAGAAAGCTATTGATCTCTACTCAGAAATGGAAGCTCTAGCAATAAAGCCAGATCATGTCACTTTCGTAGCTCTTCTATCTGCTTGTAGCCATGGAGGCTTAGTCAACGAAGGGTACACATACTTCAACAAGATGAGTAGTGTCTACAGTATTGTTCCTAAGATCCAGCACTATGGTTGTATGGTTGATCTCCTAGGTCGAGCCGGACGCTTAGACCAGGCAGTTAAATTTATTGAAAGCATGCCTATCAAACCAGATATCTCTATATGGAGTTCCTTGTTGAGAGCATGTGGAAGCCATCAGAATCTAGAATTGGCAGAAAAAGTATTTCAACAGCTCATAAAGATAGACCCCCTAAATGATGCTGCTTATGCTCTTATTTCAAATATATATGCAAAAGCTGGTAGGTGGGATGATGTGAGCTGGGCAAGAAAGAAGTTGCATGAACTAGGAGTGAGGAAGCAACCAGGATGTAGTCTAATAGAACAAAATGGAGCTGTGCATGAATTTACAGCCTGGGATTTCTCAAACCCTCAATCTGCTGAAATTTATGCTATGTTGGATGAGATAAAGGATAGATTGCAAAAACAGGACCTAGTAGAAACATCATCTCAGCATAGTGAAAGATTGGCTGTTGCTTTTGGTCTTTTAAACAACCCCCCAAGAACTCCTATCCGTGTAGTTAATAATCTGCAGATTTGTAGAGATTGCCATTCAGCCATGAAACTAATATCTCAGGCCTACAACAGAGAAATTGTTATCAGGGATAATTACAGATTCCATCGGTTTGTAGATGGAAATTGCTCTTGTAAAGATTATTGGTGAATTCAGATCATAATTTGCAACCTATGCTCGATAGTTTTTCATCTTCATCCAAACTCTAAAAATTTACAAAATTAATCAAAATGTTAAAGATGAAGGGAAAGACAAGAAGTTGTATATGTAATAGTACTTTATATTCAGTCAAAAACTGGTTCAAGATTACACAGCAACTCTGGTCACAACAGAGACTTGAAGTAGGGAGCCAAAAAAGTCGGCTTATCACCCTTCTACATGAATTACAAGGAAATTTCACTTTGACGGCATACATCATCAATGTCTGATTTTATGGAAAGCAAAACTAGTTGAGCTGAAACCAACATTCACCAAGACCATGAAAGCCGAAACACGGTTAACAAACGAGTGAATTTACAAAACGATCATCCATGGCTGCCAAGCGATGCACACAAACAGCTCTTTGTTAACAGATGATCAGCTGCGTCTGCAACGGGCTCATCAATCATGGGCACGGTGGCTGCAGAAGAGAAGTGTCTCTTACTTATCAGCAATGATGCCAGTTTCAAAGAGTTCCTCATCTGACTCAAGAGGTTTCTCAGAAGACTGGTCATTGCATTTTTCCAATTCCTCATCAATTAAAATCTCCTCGGAGCGGCAACTCAGACTGCAAAATGCTTTCTCACCCCTGAAAGAAATCAAATTTTAATAAGTATTTCCAATTCCTCTACAAAATGCTTTGCAGATCATAACATGGCTAGTAGATATGTCTGTTTCATAAACTGTACCTGTATATGTAGATGTCTTTCCCCTCTTCCAATTTCTTGTTACAATAGTAGCAAAAGCTCAAGAAATTGTTTGAGGGGTACTGGACAAAATTCCCCAAGCTCGTGCCCGGGCGGGCAAATCCAATTTCCTTTCCCTCATTCTTACCAAAATTGCCCAAGTCATTAGAGTGACATCCCAAAATGCAGTCACCAAAGATATGAGTTTTTTTGGGATTGGCACCATGAGAAATTACACAAGTATAATCCTCAGAAAGTTCAATCTCACTAGCTGAGAGAGACCCAACTAACCCATTGCTAGACCCAATAGATCCAGTATTCATTTGGGTGGCTAAATTTGGACTCCCTCCAATAAATGGTTGGGTGGTTAAACTTTCCATACAAAAATTTCCAGAAGTGGAGTTAGGGTTAAGGTTGCTTAAACCTGATAGGGTTGAAAATGCCCTACCAGAATCCAATGAACAGGACCGGATTTTTCCGAATGACTCAGGCTCTGTTGGGGATTCTCCAATTTCAAAAAGAACATCAGAACTACCCTTCTCTAGAGGAGATTTGATTTTGGAATGAGGGAAAACTGCATAGTTCTTAGGTAGAGATTTAGGTGAAGCAAAGAATTGGTATTGGACTGAGAATCTGGGGTTTTAATCCTCATTCCAGGTCCAAAAAGAATGTTCTTACTCTCTGATGAACGAGGGACTTTCCCAGAAAACTTCACATCATCATCAAAAGAATCTATGATGCTTAAGCCTACTTTACTGCTACCCCAGCTCCTCTGCTGCCCATCACTGTTGGACCGTGGGGACCTAAAGGGGTTGCCCAAATTTGAAAACACCCTAAAATCTAGAGGAGAAGTTGGGCTCCTAACTGAATCAGAATCTATTAAACCCTTAGAACTCAACCCCACAAACAGACCAGGAACACTGAAAAAAGAGTTGCTTTTGGGATTGTGTCCCAAAACATCAGACCCAGCATCAGCAATTGGCAAATGACCCATTTGGTGTTGATCCTTCTGAATTGACCTGCTTCTCTTCCTCAGCATTATCTCAACTATCCCAATTTTGGGAACCAAAAGCCCCCCTTTTCTGTACCAAAAATCAACAAGGTTTAAATCAATACATTATTTTACCATATTCAGAAGTTAATAAAAATTCAACAGTTAATAGTCATCAAGAAAAGAGTATCATCGGCATAATCCATGAGCTGCATTGGGCAAAAGAAAATATATGAAATTTGATTAAACCTCTCAGATACACAGAGAACCTGATGCTTTCAAAGATTGAGATGAAATAAATTTTTGCCTAGTGGTTTTGGATCATCCAAAATATATATTATAAGATTTTTTTTTCCAATTTTGGGTCGATTAGAGCATTAAAGGAAGTCTGAAATGACAGAGAAATGTCTAATCAAATGTAAGGTCGAAGAAAATAGCCTCCTTGGTAAAACTAAAATGTAGAGGCAAAGAGGGGTTCAATCCCTGAACATCATTAAAGCATTAGCAAATAAAATAATAATAAATCAACAGAGAAAACCCAGACACATAAAATCCCAAGAAAATACAGAGAAAGCCCTTAAAAGCGGATTAAACATGCATAAGAAGACGATCAATGCCCAAGAACACTAAAAGCTTGAATCTTTTAGCTCAATCCCGCAAAACCCAGAAAATAAAATAAAATAAAATAAAATAGAAAAATATAATAAAAGGATGATCCTTGAAGAACCCAACATTGGATTGAAAAAGAATGAGTCACTCAGATAACAATGACATAAAAGAAGAAAAACCCACCTGGGTTCTAGCTCTCTCCTTTCAGCTCTGGAAACTTCAGAGAGATATATGGTTTTCTGAGGGAAAGAAGCCCAAATGTAGTAAAAATAAGAAAGTTTTTTTGTTTGTCACAAGCGGTGTCTCTATGTGAAACTTGTTCTGCACTCCTTTCTCTCTCTCTATTTGGTGCCTCAAAATCAGCGAAGCAGTGAGCTTCTGAAATACTCCTCAGTCTCTCTCTCTCTCTATGACCTCTATTTCTCTCTCTAGAATAAAATAATGTCTGTATGCAATAATGTATTTTGCCCACAGATATGCATTTGTACGTATTTTACTAACTTTTGCAACTACATACATCCTTTCCTCCTCTTCTATTGCCACCTCATCACCAAGTGGTTTTGGGTTTGGACCACATTCTTTATCAATTTTTGACAGAATCCCCAAATGCATGTCACAGTAACTTATTGAATTATTTGGAACTCAAAATGCCTCTCAAATCTCAATCTAACCAATAATCAACTTGCATTAAATTTTTGTTAAACTTACAGCTTTTGTGATTAAGAGCATTTATTATTTCGTTTAAAGTCATAATCTGTATCTCATCTCTTAATATTGTTTTATTAAAGACGTATCTACATTAGATCCTTAATAATGCGCTAGCTGCAAAAACGATTTCCTAAGAGCTTACTTTTTTGGTAAAATATCAATTACTGACAAAGTTTAATTCTCGTAATTTTTGCTTTTTTTATGTTATAAAAAGATGATTGAATTTTATTAGATTAATAGGAATAATAATACAAATGACACATACTGTAAAGGGAGACATTTCAATAAGAATGTGACAAACATAGGTAAAACTTCCTCAATTACATGAGCCATTTGAAAAGCTGAAACGATTTGTAGAGAATCACTCTTGAAAATAACTTTTCTATAACCCCTCTTAACTGTCATAATTTCTCTGAATCTAGTCCAATGACATTAAAAATACAAATTAACCGATAATCGGTATGACTTTTCTAACTAGCTGACATTTCAGATATATTAATTTCATCTTAATTGAATTTTTTATGTACAAACGAGGAAAATTTATGAGAAGAAGATTCGAACTTGGATACAATGAGGTGGGCTAATTGCCTTAACTAACTGGCTTAATCCACAACTGCAATCGAATTTTATGTGCATAATAATTTAAAATAAAAATTAAAAAATATGATAAAACAAAAGTTAAAATTTGTTATTTTTTTTAAGGAGGAGGTGGGTAAGATTTACATCATTACATGTTTCAGAGAGTTACTGAGGCAGTGAAAGTAAGAATGGGAGTGGGAGTGGGTGGGGGGTGGGGGGTGACTTGGCATAATTGGAGGGTAAAGTAGTGGAGCGAGGAGGTTGAAATGGGTCAAAGGGCAAATAAAAAAACAGGAAATGGTTCAGTACTTTCTTCTTTACCCTTTCTTGCTGAGTCGCACAAGACGACAAAAATGACTTGTGACTCGTGGTGCCTTTCTATTATGACTGACTGACAGACCACCACGGCTGTTAACGGGGGGCCGTTTGGCTGATTTGACGGGGTCGTTTTTTATATTTGATAAAATAAATTACAAAAATTTAAGAGCTATAAAATATGGGGACGGCCAATCTCTATTTACAAAAATTCTTCTTTCCCCCTTTTCACAAACATTTTGTTTTCCGGAGATTGTTCGTACCCTTCATGCTTTGTGTTTATAGTTGTACTATCGGGCACTCATGGTATGAACGTCTCAGTCGTGATTTATATTATTCTTGTACAATCTTGATTTGTCTTATAATTGGCATAGCAAGGTTTTAAATTTGTTGCCATGTCATGTATACTTGTGTACCGATATAAATTTTGGAAAAACTTATATGCCCGGTTGATGTAATAACTTTTATATTCACAACACTTGTTACGTGACCAGATTATTATGTAATGAATAATGTATATACAAGAGTCGCATCACTCGTGTATGTAAGATTTTTGTTGTTGTAAATTATAGATAAGAAAATGATATAAAGGATATGTCATATACAAAATGTTAAATTTAAATTTAATAGGCTATATAGAAATTTGATACTTTTAAGAAATTTGATAATTTGATACAAATTTATCCTTTAATGCTTAGTGCTTTATGTTCACATGACAATTTGATATGTCAGTTAAAAGATACTCTAAATGTAAAATCTACTTTTAACTCATGGGGTGTTTTTTTTAGAGCATCTCCATCTCCCCTGAAGATGTTAAATCTTATATGGCACTCTTTTAGTGGGTAGGAAAAATAGTTAAGACTCACTTTAACCGAAATGTTAAATTCTACATAGAATAACAACAACAAAAACTGTAAGAGAGAAAAATGTTATTCCACTTAGGATTTAACATTTCGATTGGAGTGAGTCTCATCTATTTTTTCTACATGCTAAAAGTGCGACGTTATATTTAACATCTCCCTTAGACTTTTAGTGTGTTGCCAAGTGATCTTAACTTGAAACCCACATAATACACATGTGTGTGAGTTTCCCGCCACCCCTTCATAACGCTAGCTAAAAAACAAATTCTACTTAAAAATGAAGCAGCATTTCAATCGTCTTTAAAGAAAACTAGTATAACAATTATTAATGATTTGGTTATTTATTGAAACGGTATCACTTTTCATTTGATTTGTATTATTGATGCATGTATATGGAAGACAAACTGCAATAAACATCGTAGTTTGCATTTTCGTGTCTTGTTTCCATTGGCTTCGTAATTAGAATCTTATAACTCCCATAATTCATAGCCCCTTAAATTAATGAGACGAATGATTTTGAGAGTTTGTTTTGTAATTTACTAATAATTAATGCTTCTTGTGCATTATTGCAATGCGTTGAAGACGACAAAGACGTTTATTTAATTTGACACGTGGTAGTATGTATCAATGTAATGTGACATGACATCTCTTCCTCTCTTTCTATAGTACTTCATTGGAAGTTAACGGCGGGTTTACAACTTTAGGTGCAACCAAATGAATGAAACCAAACAAATATAATGGAAAAATAAGTAGGACCATTTCCATTCCAAAAGATTATGACATGCCTTTAAAACTAGGGGTGGCATATTGACCGGAAAACCAGGTTACGGGACCAAATTGGTCGTTTGCATCGATTTATATTAAGAAAAGTTAAATATCCTCACAACCCGATCTAGACCGTTCATACCAAATTATAACCTCACTTTTGAGTTTCTCTCTAAATCTCATGAAAGTGACATTTCCTTAACTTTATTGTTTTTGTGTAAGTTTTATCGGCGCTTTTATTTATTTATTTATTTATTTGTAAAGATCATCATATATAAATCACATGATCTCTATCACAGCCCAATGGCCCAGCTTTTAATAACATAATACTAATTATAGCTAGTAAAGTAGCTTAAATTGTTAAAGGCTGTGACTAAATTATTTTCTACTAAAAGCATGTCATATATTAATGCAAAAGAGTTGATTTGGACATTGTACATTGCTTAACTATGTACAACTAGGTCTTTGTTTTTCTTGCCACGTTTATTTCATGTGCTAAATTTACCTTTTTTTTTAATCTTTTGCTCGATGGGGGAACACGTGGGGTAGTTAGGGTAATAATTACATGCATTTGGTCTTTGCTTTTCCTAAATACCCTTTTGAATTTGATCCGAGTTGGAATTCATTTTCTTACACTTTTTACTTTGTCAATTGCATTTTACCGTCAAAATGATTAAACAATAAAAAAAAATTGAGACTTTTTTTAGTTTGCCTTTAATTTCTCGTTGTCTAATAAAAATCTCAAATTCAATTTTGATAAAAAAGCGATAGAGTTTTATTAGATTAATTATAAATTTAAAAAAAAGAGTATAAATGACATATATTGTAAAGGAAGTCATCCCAATAACAATATCTCAAATTCATTTAAATTGTGATGAAGACGTGATTCAATCTTTAGATAAACAATAGTTAATTTTATCAACCCTACTACCCCCTTCGAGAAGTAAGAAATTGTCGGATTATTAGAGCATACGTTAGTGTTGGTATTTCTCAATGGTCAAAAGTGATTTGTAATTAGAGTAAACGTTTTTACTGGACGGAAAGTGCTATGCGACCTACCACCCAAACCCCAAACGAGATAAACAATACGGCAAAATGACCAATTAAATGCCTTGGACTAATTTTAAAAAAAGTTAAATCAGCTAACCCATTCAAGTGGTTTAGAGCTCTTCAATACCAAGTAATTTTTGGAGACGACCATTGCACTGTCACGTGGTGTTTTTTTATTATATATATAAAAAAAAGTATAAATAACACAGACTGTAAAGAAAGTAATCTCAATAACAATATACTATACACATGGTATTATATCCACTAGTGTTATAATATATATTTCATATCTTAACCACCCTCATATTATACCACTTGAAATAATTACATTTTTAACAATATTTTAGTAACATACAATAATTTCATTTCTTCATAAATTATGCATGTTTGAAAATGATATGGTGGGCTCCACATATACATTTGAGATTTGTTGAGTGTTTATAAATTCCATGTTATGATAAAAGGTTACTAATATTGCAATTACTTATAAAAGTCCAACATCAAATTACAAATCTACATGTGGTACAATTTTGATCCATACATAAATGTTTTGGATTGAAGCCAAGCTTAGCTGTGCCTAGACAATGACTAATTTTTCACATGCTTTTTAAGGTTTTTATGTATCAATAGTGTAATCCAATAGTTTCCATGTTGTGTGTGTGCATATGAGTGAGTTTAAGCTTTTTTTCTTTCTTTCTGAGATTTGAGAAACATGTCAATAAATACATGGGACCACAAACAAATGCAAAATTATTGTAAAATTGGATTATTCACAAACCCCATGAAATAAAACCAAAGCACCTTTGAGTGTTTGGTGGAGCCATTCCCTTTGCCCTTTCCCCTCCCTACTCATGCTATGCTATATATTGATTGTAAAAATGTCTTCATCTTATCTAATATTTTCCCAATTAAACTTATAATCGAACATGAAAAAAAAAGGATTGGGAGCTTAAATAGCGAGGAAGGGTGAGGTAATGGAGAAATTTTTATATGTTTCAGGTACACCACATGCATGATATACTATTCAATACATACATGCCATGTGAAATTATTATTCAACTTACAGCATTGCTTTTTATGACATGCGGCTAGCTGCATTGGAAATATTCTACATGTTTTATGTCTATTGGATTGTACATCAACCATGTAGTGTACCTGGAACACCAAAAAATTACTCGCGGCGACCATAATAGATTGATGGTTTGGTTTCCTCCAATATTAAAAAAGAAAAAGAAAAAGAGGATTGAGAGATGACAGATATGAAAATAGTTGTGAAAATTAATAAGGCTAATTAGAAATTGCATAGACTTTTCCTTCAATCAAAAGTTTTGAATATTTATTTATTTATTTGTTATAAAGAAAACATGTTACTTTATACTACAATAAATTTAATATTTTATGTTTGTTTTTGGTCAAGCATAAATTATTAGTACCAAACTTTCGTGGACATTATACTTAATGATGATTTTCATGACTTTTAATTAGACCTTTTTTTTTCGTTTACGAGTTTTATTTCGGAAATATATCACAATAAGTTGGAAGAATAATTCTACACGTTTTCTAGATTTAAGCCCACAACCCAATGCGAACCCAAGGCCCATATTTAATCTACGCCGTATGAGTAAATATACGATGAAATTGTGTTTATACGTACAGAGAAAAAATACGAACGGGAAAACGTATCTGAACCGTCCACCGACTCCTGGGATGGGATGGATGGGGATCTGTGTAAAATCATGCGGGTCCCACGTGAAAGGACTGCAATGAATGTACGTTTCACTTTTTCTGTGGTGCTTTTACTGCTGCTTCTTCTTATTTTATTTTTCAAACAAAACATAGTAAATGACGTAATACTAAATTACTTAACAACAAATAAATAATAATAAAAAAAGCATACGTGGTTTTTAATAAGGGCTAATTGTGTGTAATTACAAAGCCTTATATCCTCGAAGTTTCCTACTTACCCAACCCAAAAAAAAAAGAAAAAAAAAGATTATATATCACGCTAGCTACCTCCACAAGTTCCAAAAAATTCCAAGTGTAAGGAATAAACAAATATATGAGATTTTTCAAAAATATTTTTATTATAAAAATATTTTTTTAAATGACCTTTTTCTACTCCTCGGTAAACGCTACATGTAGATATGTTCACGTGGACACAGTGTTGGCCTGTTGGGGGTATTTGCGTCACTCTCCGAAATTTTATATTCAAATTTAAATTTTTTTTAAAAGGGAATTAAAAGTTAATTCCAATATTCAATATCTAGTTGCTTCAATTAAGGAAGGCAATGAAGTGAAGTGCATACTAAACAATCAAGAATTTTGATGTGCTTCCTGTCCATATACATTTTTTATTTTTTATTTTCCTCTTGATGACTTGGCCAATTTGCTCTCCATTCTATTTGATTGATTTTTAAACCCCTTTTAAATTTACAAATGCTTATTAAAGCACCTAGCACTGCAACGTTATATTATTAGATAGTATTATTTTTTTTTATACTAACAATATTGAGGAATAGGAATCGAACTTAAGACTTCATATGTATGAATAAATGTTATTAACCACATATAACGTTAGCATGTCATGTTGTCTATATATCTTTTTTATTATCTACAATTAGTTAATCAGCAAATGAAAATTAGGTCATTTGACAAATACAATGTATCTGTCCCTTTACATTCAACTTCGATCCATCTTCTATGAGCCTATTTTTCCTCTAATTTTCAAAACCATGCCCTAAACTAAACCAATTACCCCATCAATTAACATTTATAGCTGAGTTTTCTTTCTATTGGCTTCTTCCTTAAAAATTAACACATGGTTGGGCCCTAGCTCTAGGTCATTTAATCTCCACTCCTATTATTCTATAGCTCTCTTGGTCTCTTTCTTCTCAATCCTCCATTCTCTCTCTATTATACTTATATTATACAAGATGGTATGGTGGAGATGTGATTAAAGTTCTCACAAAATGTACAAATTTGCAATTTTTGGACTAATTAGCATGCACTCATCTACTAATTTTTGGACTAATTTCAATTTCTTTTAATTTCCATGTAAAAGGCATGGAGAATCAAAGAAACTTTATGTCCCATTGTGAAGGTTCATCTTAGTCCTCGAAATCTCCGGACTGGTCCTTTAATATCATACATGATGTTAAAAAATTTAAAAAAATCTTAACAAAATTCCCATGGAATGTCACTAGACTAAATAATGAAATTTGAATAAGCACAATTTCAAACTCAATATGTTTTTAGTTCCCTCCATTTTCCTGGTGTACTCTATCAATTAGCAATTAGAGCGGTTTAGGCTATAAATCCACATCTCTATAAATAGTTGGCTAACCACTTTTCAATTAAGCCAAACAGACCATTTCTTCCATTTTAGCCTTTGCCAAGCTTAAAATTACACATACAAATCCACTCATCTACTGTTCAATGGCGTCTTCTTCACCATCGCAGGCGGATCTTCAGCTCCAACTTCAACCGGAGACCGAGTCTCAGATGTCATCTATCGTCTACGGTTAGTTCATTTCTCCCTCGCACAATTTCATTGCTATTTGCGATTTCTTAGCGCGGTTTGGTTTGAGGTTTTGAGATTTTTGAGCGCCGATGAAAACTATTTGATTTGAAGAAAATTTGGATCAAATCGTGCAGAGATTTCACAACAAGTCCAGGGCGCAATGGAGAACATGTTGAAGATGATGAGGTTAGTTTTCAAACGCTTTTCAATTTTGATTTAATTTCAAGGAGCTGTTTGATCGCTCTGCATATTATGAAGTTCTGATGCGTTGTTTTTTTTTTTTTTTTTTTTTTTTTTTTTTTTTTGGGTAAATTGATGATAACTCTGCCGGAATAACCGAAGAGATAGAGAAGTGCAAAGAGCAGAGTCTTGAGAAGAAGAGAGGCTTGGAGGAAGCCAAAGAACAAGTTGAGAAAGCTGCTTATGCCGTTTTAGAGATGCTCAACAACAGAGCATAGAATGTAAGTGCTGTAAGTTCTTCTTCCAATCTTCATCCTTGACATGAGTTACGCTATAGAATTTCATTGATAAGGTGACGGAAACTGATTAGTGATCATTCATACATCATTTTCATGTTCATGTTCAAAAGATAAACAAGTGATCGTTGTCTCTTAATGCGTCTAATTCTTCGACCTGTGAGCCGTCCGCCATCACAACTGTGCTTCCTCTTTTTCCCAACTTTTTCTCTGCATTCACAAAAACAAAAAACAAAAATGCTATCATTGATGTGATTTTATGAATTTGAATTTATCTTCTTTTATGTATGAATTTGAATGGCAGCCCAATAGCTCAATTCTGAGATGATTCTCATATTATATAATATATATTCAATATTGTTTGGCAATGTGTGAAATCATTGAACTCTCTGGCCTTCTAGGGGCTGATTTTAGATTCTCATTAGTTCAAATTTGAAATAGCCACTTACCATCCAAGACCATCTTACAGTATTTTGGAATTGGTTTGCTTAGTCTTCAACAAATATCTTGGTATTGTTTTAGAAAAGAAGCATTAGTAAAAGAAGAGTTTTTTAGAGGTATGGGTATCGGATTTGGTATTACCTGCTAATCTCAGAAGGTCTTCCATTGATTCAGGCAAGTGAATGAGTTTTCCATTCGTGTCACCTTCATCTGGATGATGTCCATGAATTATCACTCTTAGGGTGATTGCCCCTGGAGTAGAAGTTTCGTTTGTCTCTGTACAAATGATAGCAAACCTATTAATACATACAATGATTGAATTTAATAGTAAGTGAACATGGCACAAATGCTATTACCTTCCATATTTGTATCTCCATGGAAATTCGTCAGCGCATTATATTGTGTATTCTCATTTGCTTGTATATGCTGCAAGGAAAATGTAGTCATCATCATTAGCATGAACTGAAACTACTCAGTACTGGCTTTTACATTGGTGAGAATTCATAATATTTTCTTCGATAAACAAATACCTTGTGAAATACAATTCAAGCTAAGGAAAAGCTAGATCAGTAGACTTAGATTTACAGGTATTCTGTTAAAAGGGAGATGTGTACCTCTATATTCAGCTCATCCAGGAATTCTGTTAGAAATGGAATTTCTTGTAGCATCTCTTGTTTTAAGTCTTTCAAGTGCTGAGAAGAAAAGAGTCAGTGTAAACAAATGCCTATGCATGATAGGGTTAGTATATATCTTAAAAAAAGGAAATGAGAGCAATGGATATTCAGGTTACAATACAAAGCTACATTTGCTAGCTGATATACTCTTACTTAAGTTATAAGGTGGTATTGTTTAAGAAATTTCTAAAAGCTTGTATAACAATGTTATGATAATTATGAGGGGACAAATGAGATAAATAATGTTACGAACCTGAATGAAGTTTTTGATCATTATCATTCCGTCTTCATTCTGTGGCTGTACCATTTCCTTGAAATGATGATGGCTGATCCGGATAACCTGAGAAAGCTTCTTTGTTCTCACCGTAAAAGGTTGGGGGGTATTGAAAAATACTCCAATCTCTCCTACCAAGTCTGCAGATCCTAGTTTTGAAAAAAACTGCAAAGTACAAGCTAGTTTAATCAGGAAAATAAATATAAGAAAAGGGTTCAGATAAGTAATTCTGGGCATCTGCTTCTCACTGTCAACATTGTTGTAGTAGCTTGTCTCTGTGATAGAATCCTTAAATCTTCCGAGAGTTGATTCATACGTCACCAGTTAGTTTGTTTAACATGTTAGGAATCTCCCAATTGACTTTCTTTTTTTCCTTTAAAGGTGTGAGAAGAGATAGATATTTCATGGTTTCTGCTTTACCATACCTGTGATTTTGTATTTCAACTCCATATGTATAGCATCTTTTTAATTGTATAGAGGAAGTCCGATATGAGCCATTCTAAATGACAACAATCTCCTTTCCTGAATATGGTTTACAGTTGATATTTTGATAATCTTTGTTCATTTGCCTCTGCAGGTTAACAGACATAATTCAATTTGTGTATTAGAGGGACACACAGTCGGAGCTGTTAGCAGTCTGAGACACTACTTATGTGAATTTAGTTCAAAATACATGCTTAAGTCATCTGACTATCAGTTTTGACATCCTAAAATGCCAAGAGGTGCCCTTTGTTTTCTTTTCCTTTCTATATTTCTTGCAGTTCGTTCATAGCCAGCCACTCAATCGCTGCGTTATAACATAGCCCTTATCTTGCATTGCATGTTTTACTACATTACAACAAGTTCTTAAACTCCTGGGTCTTTCATGTTTACCCGGAGATTACTTCTTCATGTTGAGAAATTACAGTTAAAATACCACATAGGAACATACCAGTTTCTGTATGGAAGAGGCAACTTACCATCCCCACCGTTTGTTATCGGGGACCTTGAGAGTGGGTAAATTGCATCTTCCATACAGGAGAGATTCTGGACCCCGAAATAATGTATTGAATAGATCATAATGAAGTGCTTAAAGATACCTGTTCTGTGCCATTCTTGTATTTCAGCACGTCCTGCAGTTTCAAATGTGATGTGCAATTAAATTATGTTTCTTATGTATAAAGGATGAGAGAGAGAGAGAGAGAGAGAGAGAGAGAGAGAGAGAGAGAGTATACCAATGCTCCAAATACTAAAATGTAGAAATCTGTTGGAATTTCGTTTTGTAAGATGATATCAACTTTGGGTGGAAAATATTCGGCTTTCATCTCCGACGCCTGCAATAGCAATGTCTCTGGTAAATTGGCAAAACAAAATCATATTATGGGTTAAGATTCAGAGGGAAGAAAATGGTTCTACCAATTGAACAGTGAGGTGCTCAGAGACTCCTTTGAATAGGTACGTTTTCTCGACGGTTCTGCGGAAGAGATGCTGGGAAATGCTGGATCTGATTGCTTTCGGAAGGTCTTCTAGCACTTCTTCTTGCTGTAACTCTGCTGTCTTGAACTTGAGTTGCATGTGTGCGAGCATTTGCTCTTTCAAGCCTTCTGGGAGCCTGTTCTTCCTGGCGTATCTGAATATTTCATTGATTGCATCCCTCTATATATAAACCATAATTCAACAAAATATACAATTAGTCACCTGAGTTAGTCTTGACCATCGAATCTCATTTATTTAAGTGAAATGCTAGTGTTAATCATTCATGTATACGTAATTTGGAGAGTTGATGGTTGTGGATTTCACGGTGAGTTTCACACACATCAACAGTTCAGAATGAGTAAAAGTTACCATGAATAAGGTTCGGACAGCGCTATGGACGATGAGATTGGTCATGTTTCCAACCAAATAGGCAAAGAGGCCAATGTTGAATAGCATATAGAAGATGCTGAAGATCTTCTCCCCTAAGTTGACTGCATGCAAGTCGCCATATCCAACGGTGGTGAGGGTGACAGTGGCCCAGTAGATGGAATAGGTGTAACACAACCAGATGCTTTTGTGCTCAAAGTCATTGACTTCTGTTCCAATCCATGTATTCGATAGTGTTTTGTGATGGGTGGCCATCCAAAAGTAGAAGCAACCTGCTGAGTGCACCGCAAATAGTGTAACCTGTGCTCATGCATGGGAAAAGAGAGGTTAAGTATGAAACCCATTACAATTGATCTAACATGCTATGTTGTTAGACTATTAATCAAGACTGTTGATGATTTGGAATCCGGTCTAAATGTGTGATCAACGTAACATGTTGGATATCAAATTGTATCAAATAAAGCGAAATATGTGGTCAACAAAACATCTTTGATATCTAACTGTGTCGAACGAAACAGAGCTCAAAGTAGTAAAATTTGGTGAGTGGAATGATGGAGGAATGGTGAAGGGAAACTACTTACACAAATTAGTTTGATGTATCTTATCCAAAAGTAACTAAAGCGTGTGTCCTTCTCTAGCCTGCAGGAAATTAATTAAGAGATTAATTCTTGATTAGGATCTAAAATCAAATGTGAATTATGTGTGATTAATACATTATGTAGCTAGTTAGGTACCTTTTGAAGAGTTCACTGACGCGCCTAAGACGCCAGAGACGAAGCAAATTGAGGAAGCCAAAGACCTGGGCATAGTGCGAATTGCCAGTAAACATTCTGTACATGAGCTGAATTGGTAGAGTTGAGACTACATCCATTGCAAAATATATGCTTATCACATACCTGTAGCCAACAAAGAGGAGATTGTATTACCATCATCATCATTTCAAATTATCTTTGGTAATTGTTAATTCCTCGTTACATCTTTTTCAGTATCAAGATCACAATGTTACGTGATGTTATCAATTCATTAAATATTATAATGTGTATATATATATTCTATTAATACTTTATTACTATAGGTCCATCAAATATCAACTATATTGTCCAGTGATTTAATAAAATATATATTAATAACACTACGTGACGATGTGACTGTCATATCCAAAAATTTCTAACGTGGTATAAAATAGGCTAAGGCCGATTTTGGACAAAAATACAAAAATGTAACAAAAAGTGCTGGGCCAAATGGTGCTTTGGATTTTGATGGGCTGCCTTACTCAAGTGTCCCCATATGCTAACCGAATCTTATCACGGGCCGCAAGGCTATGGTCTATAATGGGGTATAGGGCAAAACGTATTAGGGACGGTAATTGTTAAAATGGCAATCATTAATTAACACAAACATAAAAATGGCACGACTTTCTAATATTAAGTAAACCAATTTTATGTTTGTCCTATAAACTTCTCATTTCTTTTATGTCTTAATCTCGTATGTTTTGAAACCATTATTTACATTAATTTGTTTACACTTTTTTATAATATAATTTTCCTTCCAAATCTCTCATTAATTTGTATTTGTGGATTTAAGCTCAAATTTTTAAAAAACTTTGCATATTAGTTTCCACTTAAATCCAAAATCACATCTTATTCTATATCATGTTATAAATGGTATCCAATTTTTTTTGTTGATTCTTTCCTTAAACTGTAATTTCTGTTTGAGTAAAATGCAATTTTGGTCATTGAGTTTTGCATCAATTTGATCACCGTATTTAGTTTTGAAATCGTGACATAATACAGTGACTTACCTATTATAACTTTTTTTTTAAAAAGTCTAAGAACAGTTTAAAAGAGAGAAAAAAAAACGAAACCTGCCTTTATGACCATGAATCGCTCCTAAAGGTTTCACGTTTACATGTTTTTCTAGCAATCAATTTGGAGACAAATGGGAGCAAATTGAGGAGAGATCATACCTCAAAGCAATTTTCTTGTGATCAAGCACCAAAAGGTAAGTTGACTTGTCCAAGTAAGCCACGAAGAACGTTAGGACTATATCAACGGCGAAGAAGGCGTCCACCACCAAATCAACGGGCATGAGAGACCCCGTTGCCACTTTCTTGAAGGCCAGCTCAAACGGCGACGCCCATGCTGAGTATATCACCAGTAACACCAAGAACGCCTGCCACCACCTGCGACGTCACATTCAAACATACACATCGAATGATCTTTTGCCAGACAGTGAATATATGTCTCAAGATGTGTAGTCAGACAGTGAATATATATCTTGATACTTTACCGGTATCTCCTGTCGTAGGGAGCAATAACAAATTTCTTGAGCTGCAAGTGCCCTTCATCGACCACAGTTCCAAAAGCCGGTAAGATGCTGCTTGAGACCGAGGCCAAATTCCTGATTTCCCCGCTGGACCGCCTTCGGAACAGCAAAGGGAGCGGCGAGGTTGGGTCCGTCCACGACGTCATTGTTGAGAGAGAGAGAGAGAGAGAGAGACTCTTGCCTCTTGTTTGTGCAAGTCTACGATCTCGTTGAATTAGAATAATAATATAGCCATGTATAGCTTCTAGTATTTTGTGCAAGTATTAGGGCTAAGTATTATATAATAGGGGTAAGGCGGTAGAGAGCTACCAAACCATCTTATAGTATTCATTGTTGTAACATAATTCGCGTGAAGATGACATAACAATAGTTTTCTTTTTATTTTTATACCATTGGATTTTTTTATTTTTTCATATCAACAAAATTTTGTCAGTTCGCAAAATGGTAAAGTAGTGAAATATCGTCACATCGTATAATATTTATTCACGTGTTATAATATGAATAAATATTTTTCAAATATAATATATATATATATATATATATATATATAAAATACGTGAACGTCATCATCTAGTGATACTTTAACACCACCACATCAATGGGTAAGTAGTGTTAATTCTTTGACTGAACGAAGGCGGATGTCATGCATGTGTCCAAATCGTCATATATACATGAGTAATGCTAGGTTTACCATATTTTTCATACCACAATTGTACCACCTCTCTAATAGAGGTGTACAATTGTGGTATGAAAAATGTGATAAACTTAGCATTTTTGTATATACATATATATAAAATTCGATGCTATTCATTGAGCTTAATCTGAAAACCTGTTGTCCGACGTCAGCATCACATGTTTTTGTCCTTTCACACCTAATATTTGACTTGAGTAAACTAAAGTAGGACGTTTTTAGTTTGATAGGCGGCCTTAGGCTAGGCCTATTGAGTATTGACATTTTGCCTTGCTTCAAGGAAAAAATAAAAAATAAAAAATTCCTTATGTGTAATCATAAATGGTAGGTTCTAGTGATTTATTCTGTACGTCAAAATAACAGTCGAGTGATTTTTATTTTTGTTAAAAATGCCCATGTGGTCTTCACATTTTACCAATTTAAGTCAGATTTCCAATTTTCATTGATTTTGTGAAGGGGTATTCTAGTCAAAATGGCCACAGCAGCTCAGCACGTGACAAGCACGTGAATGTCCTCTTTGAAAAAGATATTGTCAAACTTCAATGGTCAAACATTGACCACAAAACAATGTCCGAGTCTCACTATTAAATTTTGGATATAAGCAAAGTCTAAAATATCGATAATATTGACGAAATATCGAGGATATTGTTTTTTCGAATCACGAATATTTCGAAACGTATCCATGCACATATCGTATAAATATCGAGAATATCAACGATAATATCGGAAAATATCGACGTCGATAATTTCGCTCACATTTCAGCAATATTTTATTACAATATCGCTAAAATATCGATGTAATGAAAAAACAAAAGGGAAAAAAAAGGGAAAAAAACACAAAGGGGATTCAAGGTGTTTCCTCTTGTAAAATTAGTCATCCTTGGTTTACTTTGTATTGTAGCGTCCAAGTGGTAAGTTCTTTTTTCTTATGAATATTGAGACATGGACAGGCAAGGAATGATGGACATTACATTTCTTACTTTGACAAAGTTCACACATGTATATCATTTGATGACTATTCTTCACAATACACTTACTCTACACATAGAGATGATGAAGATAGTGAAAATTTTGAACCTCATAGGAACTCTATGTGGTACTAAGTCACTTTTGTATCTTACCATGCAATGTATAAAATATAAAATATTGCAGTAAATCATTATGTATAAATGATTGTGGTGTGTTTAATATTCTTTCATTAATTACTACATATTTTCTACACTTACAGTGTTTGTCAGCTCGCTATATAATCAACTTAAATTAGTTAAATCCATCATGCAATGCATTTTCTTCCCATTTTTTGTGATAAACTAATAGATAATTGACTAAATAAGCATCCTCCAAAGTTTCAATAAAAATTTCCAAGTTTTTCTTACAATTTCCGTAGTTTTTATTCAATTTTTATCGATATCGATAATATGCCGATATTTCCATAGAAATTTCCGTGTTTTTGAACTACTGATATTTCCGATATCACTGATATTTTAGACCTTGGATATAAGTAATGGCGTATTATTCATAAATCGATCATTGGGTCTATAAATTATTTTTTATGAACAGTAAAATACAATCTTCATACTGCAGAGCCAGAGAAAGGGAGTCCAAGATTTCTTATAGAAGATAAGAAAAATATGGAATTAAAGATCCAAGATTTTACAAAACATCAAACTCTGACAAATAAAAAGAAAAAAGAAAAAACACGGGGCAAAATTTAAAACAAAAACAGAAACATATATACAAAGATAAGGCTATTCTTCTTTCCCATCTATCTATAATCTATCTTACAGCCGCAGGCACTCCTCTATAATCTATCTACAGCCGCAGGCACTCCTCCCAACTTGACTCAACTAACTGAAATCACTGATGAAGCAAAGAAACACCATATCAAGCTAGTTTCAATTCAATTCTACACCACTCTTTCCAATTAGACCAACTTTCATGCCGCATGCGGTAAACTTGTGCACTCATACTTGCACGAATTATTTTCGATATCCGTTCGACCTTTTAATATGATGTTCCCTATGCATGTTTTCAAACTTGAGCAAAGTTGCCGAACATTCTCAATAAGACAGAGCTAACTCAATGCGTCAATAGCAGCTTCGGCAATGCCGGTGGGACAATACAATACAAAACAAAAATTTGTGGCAGGAGCAAACGCCAAGGAAGACAAATGCCTTAAGTGTTCAAAGTTCATGTATCACCAGTTATCAGATTCAGCACCATGCCGTTCTAGTAGCAACTGGTTCCACTATCTTTGACCAGGCTCCATGGCTTTCAACCTTTCTGAGTGCAGCAAAGCTTGAAAACTAACTAAACAGGCCAACCCTAATTTGTATTGGTCGTAATTTCCTTGAGCAACATTTCACATGTACTGGGCCAACCATTGTTTACACATATCGAGCACAGGAAGTGCATTAGCATGTAATGCCTGCAAAAAAGTTGGCATAACTATATGAATAAATGTAGTATAGGAGCGGTGAGCTGATTTCACAAGAATCATAGATGTAAAACCAGGTTTCAATTTTTAGGCCAAATATTTATATTATATTTATAAATAAAAAAAATCAAACTGTAATCCAAACGTAATTGTTTTTGGATTCCAAACCAAAACAGCCCTAAACAAGTAAAAAACATAAACACCAATAATGTCCTTTTTCCATGGATTCTTTTGTGATAGGCGCATTATCATCTTCTCTAATCTCCTATGTCTGCCACATCACAGTTTTAATAGAAGAAAAGGATAGTGTGGGAGATATGGGAGATTTTCTGAGGAAAGGAAGGTAACCTGATGAGCTACATATTGGACATCAGCTACACTTCCACTACGAGAAGCAATTTGGAATGCACTTTTTAGACGACCACAAACCACACAAGCCAGAACCTTCCTGCATATACAAGTCAAATACAAAAAAAGCACGGAACAAATTTATCAGCACCAAAGTTCAACTAATCAAAGTTAACAGTATTCCAGCGCTGTAAAACTAAAGCAGCTAACTCAAGAATGACATTGTTAATTGCTTGGAAAAATTGACAAAAGAAAAACATTATTTCAGCATTCGTCCAAAGACTTGTTCTATACGGTAATTATTGAGTGCATTAAAAAGAGACCACATACGGAAGTATGCTAGTAGAAGCCAACAAAGGATACTTTTGAACAATAAAGGGTAGGCATATATGGTCATAAATGTTGAGGTCTGGATCCATTAATTATTAACTTGATCAATAACCGCAATGGTAAAATGATACTTTTGAACAATAATGGGAACCTAAAGCAGGTCTCAAGCAGCAATGGGTTAATGACACTGATAGATCACCACCAATACTATGAAATGCCTTAAAAAGTAAATACACATAAAAGTTAATAATTTAATGTCCTCAGAATCTACTCAAAATCACAGATCTTCTGTACAGTTATGAATAATGACAACAAGCAGTACTGAAAGAAACCATTACCTGTGGCTACTGGTCAACATGTCAATGAGACGGTCAGGGCGTTCTTTGTGCTTGTTAGCATATACGTTAATTGCAGCACCCAGGACCTACATCAATTCAAAAATACACTTTTTGTTAAATTTAAAAACAAAGAACAGAAATTGAACTAGTTTCCAGCTTCCACAAAGAGTAGGCTGATTGGGAGACAGAAAACCAGTTTTACAACAAAATTACAGTTTAGAAGTATGCAAGATGTAAACCTTAGGCTGAAAACATGTTGCCAGCTAAAATTTTATTTTCAGAATCGGTTTATTATTAATCGACCAATGATCAGAATAATTTAGAGGTATTTCAGCTATCTTTGAATTGTTCCTCTTCTGTTAGTAGAAAGTTTGAAATAATACTGAGGATGACGAAATTCTCACCATTTTCCTCATTTATTGTGGTGATTATTAGTCACAAGCTACCTTTGAATTGGGATGTCTTATAAGTGAGTTAATCGATAATTGCACCAGATATAGGGTTTAGGGAGACGTTTTTCAGTTCTCCAATTTTGATGCTCTCTTTGTATGTTTAGAATAAAAATTTTGATTAGTCTAAAACCATGTATGTTATAATCATTTCAACTCTTAAGCCAACTAAAACTAACCCAAGAAACTAATAAACCATAAGTTTTCTAGTCATTTTACAAACAGTACATACAATCTACTAAGAGAGGTAGATCACATTACCTGGTCCCAATCATCATCATCAATGGTCCCTTTTATGTTTCTAAAGAATTCTGTCAGTTGACTACCTCTTTTTCTCTCGGCGAGAGATGCAGCTACCCCAGCATATATATCCACAGCTGAAATTTATGAGAAGATGCATTAAATCTAGAAACTAATCAATTACTTCATGAGAGAAAGGCGGGATTGAAAATGAAATCATTATGTAATGGCTACCTGGAAGATTGAATTCATAAATCACTTGGAAAGCCAAATCAAAGTTCTTTTCCACAAGAGACTCAGCAATTTTGCACCTTCTCCTGCAAAAACGAGGTGGAGAAGGTGTGACTTTCCTCACCATCATATCAAAATATTTCACAAGTACCATATACCATGGCAGAAGAACAATTTTAAAGAACATGACACCAACAATCGTAATAGAACCCCCAACAGGCCTAAGGTCAACTTTGTGACACATTTGCATTAAGGAAGACAAACTAAAAGACAAATGCATATTACCAACTAACAACATGCTGCTCAACAGTTTTTTCCTTAACTCGCTAACATGAACTGATATTAATTAACAGTAATAGCTATTTCAGAAAACAAAACTGTTTAAAAGGCCTTGTAGAAACAAAAGAAATAATGTCTTTATAACTTGGAATTCTAGTCATGCTTGTTGCCTGTGCAATATATACAAATATATGAAAATACAACGCAAAAGAAACAGCTTGGGACAGTGAAGTGATTGGTTTCTTCACTATCATAAAAAACTAAAGAGATCACTAAGCCCAGCAGTAAGTAAAATGACTCGAACCTGAATGTTTCAGGATCATTTGGATTTCCGAAAAGTGAATGTTTCCAATGAGGTCCATCTGAATCGTTATAGGATCTCACAACTTCGACCTGCCATACAATAAACCCACAGGAAACATGAGAGACTAATACCAAACAAGCTGTTTACTGAATTAACTAGATTCTGGATATCAGTTTCAACCAAATAGATACATATTCATAAGTCAGCTATTTGTTTGATCCATACAGATTACAATGTACTAAACTACCATGAATTTTTTATTTTTTCTTCATAAAATACCTTAGGCAGGGCCAAATCGTCAACACAGTTCACAGTATTTTAAATTGCCATAGAAAATGTTGTTTCTTCATAACTTATTAAGAAGCGGATAACGGTGCGTCTGTTTGGCAACATGCTCTCTAATTTTTCTGGTAGTGTGCATGTCTTGGTCAAATGTGCATATATGTGAGCATGCCCTCAAGCATAGGTCAATGAATCTCGTGATGGATTAATTCTCATGTGTACTCTTCTCTTCTCCAAATCTAACTTTAGACTGTTTCCATCTCTGATTTTGAGATTACACATGCAATTAGATACCCACTTGTCGGCATTTTCACTCGCAAAATAATGTGCATACAAGTAACTTTAAGAATGCCAGCTGTCTCTGTTTTTCAAAATTACAGGAACTGTCTATCTTTAGAAAAAGGCACAATCTACTTGCCAGTGGATTAATCAACATAGAGTCAAGAAGGGCAGGCCCTGACCTATCAAGAAAAAACTAAGCTTACACGGTTTAAGAGAGAATATAGTATTTGAATGATGTAATTACCTGAATTGCTACCCGAGCCGAAAACTTGACAAGTCCTTCTTCACTGAGCTTTTCAGAGGCACTTTTTCCTCTAACACCCTTCGTCACAAGCTTAGTAGAATCTCCACCTTTGTATCGTGCTGATAACGCTTCATCAAAGTGCATCTACAACCAACAAAAGATAAATGAACAACATGACAAACATATACAGGCAACTACTACAAATTCAGTACATTTGAAACACTAACATGTTTAGGTAACTAATACGCACGCACAAAGGTAATATCATTTTATATAATGATTGCATCACCAGGCTCTTCAGAAGTGAAACATAATCTGAACGTATTCAACAATTGTTATTATGAACAATTCTAAATTTGTAAGCCAAAGGTGCAATCAGGGTCAAAGCTTTCCTGTGAAACATATACATTTTATCAGCAATTCTCTAAAATGTAATTTACCTGTCAAGCATTAATCGAATGAATTAGGGAAATGTCATCACACTTTGGGAAGCTTGATTGGATAATAAAACTGAATAAAAAACTTCTAACCTACACTTGTCCAATCTACTGCAAACTTAGACCTAATTCCCAAACGATAGGGTTGAAATTCCCCTGCCATTATACATCCAAACGCATAGGAACAATCCTGCAAATAGTTCAACAATTAAGGTGGTCCAAGAGCAATAAATAAAAGCATACCTTGGCATTTTCCAAGTGTTTTATAGCTTCCTCTTGCAAAGATGAGTTCATAAACAATTGGATGCAGCAAAGTCCAGCAGCAACGTGGTCCTTCTTAATAACCTGAAAGATGGAGTGAATTTCTGAATTCAACTAAAAGAAAATAAAAATACAATATGATGAACCTTCAAGCAATAACAGGACATTTATAAGATCAAAACTTCCCCTAGTTAAATGTATACTGCAAACAAATAAACAATTAAGTGAATAAATAGTGAGAAAAAAAATATGGAACACTGATCAATATGGTTCGTCCTGAAATTTTAGGTAATAAAACCATGCCTTGTTCCTTTTTCCAATAACTATTTTGATGAAGTCTTATGCGGGGTGGTAGACATAGAAGCTTGCCCTCTTTATTCAGCAAGACCATGGTGTTTTACAACAAGACCGTCCGCCTTGGAGAAAACATCTTTATCTTTTATAACAGTGGATTTAAACAGGTTCTTGACCCAATTAAGGATGCAGACTTTTCTCAAATCCAAGGAGGGAGACACTTGGGTGCTCAAGAATTTTTAAAAACTCCGTAGTTAATGGGGTTGCAAAATAACCCCACTGTCCATTGCTATAGCACCATGGAAGGATACAAGCATGGACTTTGTGTTGGGAAAGTTTACAAGTGGAAGAAAAAATGGACCAGAAGATTGGAATAAATGCTTATGAAGAATTCTTGCCAAAACAAATGAACAAGCCATGTTTAGAGGGGTTGCACTGAAGAAATATAGGCGCCGATAGTATTTGGGTATCATCAGTCCTCTACTTACTGTGTAAGAGGAGTCGCACTGCTTACTATTTGTGTCATGCAATGAATATTATTAATATGTTGAAGACAAAAAGAAACATCTTTTGTTAAATTGTTATACTATCCTCATTTCAGTACAAGTAAACCCCATTAAGTGAAAACTTTACCTGAAACTTGTATAAATAATTGAAATGCCTATGAGTTTCACAATAGATGCAAATACGGGCAAGGGCTGCAGTGGTATACTGGTTTACTGCTACATCTTGCGGGTTTGCAGATGTCATTCTTTCTGAAATCACTTCTTCCAAAATAGGCATTGCGCCATAACCAATACACAAATCACACAAATCGTCAATAGTCCCATAATCAGTTCCCAAAGGGTCTGGTCTTTGAGGGGATGAAGACGAAGATGCCACCCCCACTGTTGATGGCTGAGGAGGTGGGGCAACAGTATTTGGAGGAAAAAACAGCATGCAAGCATCATTGTAATGGCCATGCCTAAACATGAAATTGAGCAAATGCTGTCGTGCATACTGCAAAGGGTTGCAAAAAGTTACATACAAGAACCTGATTATATGAACAAAAACATAAAATTTATAATTGGCAATAGAACTGGAGAAGGAAGTAGCAAGAACACTACCATTCATAACACTAAGATATAAACAAATAAAGAAAGAACCACCTAAATATGTAATATCAATTGTGTTACCAAAAAAAAATAATAATAAAACAAAACTTCTTATGATATGTATGGGGCAAGATCAACTGATATTAGTAAAAAAAATCCAAAAAGCAGTTAAGTTTGCACCATTTAAATAAATTTTCAAATTTTTGTTTTTGGTCAATCCTAGTGTTGGATTGAATGCTCTAATCATGAACATAATATTACCCAAATTTAAGCTCAATCCAATACAGGCAACTATCCAATCACAAAGGTTCAACATTGACTTAAAGAGACTCATTCAAATGCAATAATTTTGTTTTAAAGAAAATAGGATTTGAGTGAAGTAGGAAAGCTAATTACAAAGAGTAATCCACAATCTCAAGAGAAAATATAAAAAACAATAAAGAACAACTCAAAATGGTAAGCTAAAAAAAGCTCAAAATTCGAAATATCTAGTCTCACTTCACAGCTGCTAACAAATCCAACATTATAGTTTCACATTCAAATGCAGTATCACCTAAATATTTAGACATATCAGATAAATCTGAAATTTGGTAATGTGCAGTACATCATTAAACGCAATGGTAAGATAGGCAAATAGGAAATACTACAAAAATTAGCAAGTAATATAAGTAGCTCATGATGAGATTCCTTAGTCATACTGTTGTTGATGCATGTGACTGAAAACAAAGTTTAAACATTCAGATGCTTGTCATTTAGAATCTGTAAACTGGGATGCTAGACATAAATGTACCAAACTTGAAACTCTAGCTTGAGCATAGAAGGAAGTTGCAACTTACTTCTTGTAAATAGTTGACACACTCAACATACCGAACGCTGTCTAAGTTGCTGCGTGGTCCATCTTCAAAGTCTGAAATATATGTGGAATTATTATTTGCTGATTCATGAGAACGCCTGGATCTCTCTGAACGAGGAAATGTGGAAGGCAAGTACAACACATTGAGATATGAATCAGCAGAAAGGGAATCATCCAAGATTGTTGGTGCACTTTTAGCCAAATGTTCATACCTGCAGTATAAGTTGCATTTTCAGTTTATACATAATGACTAGCTTCAGAAAAGTGTTTCTTCTCCTGTCCTTTTGTTCATTACAGGAGAAAAATTCAAGCATAGATTTACTTATTCAGAATCAAAATTCCAGCGCACAGAATGCATAAGGTACCTGATACATAAGCAAAATTCTATTGGGAAATGTCACAGGGTCATGTTCAGAAACTCAATTAAAAAAACCAAGACCTGATACATGAGCAACACTACAGTGCCTCTCATCCCAGGCCCAGGGCCACACAAATAGATGTCAATCTTAATTTATATATATATATATATATATATATATTAAATTAAAGAAAAAATGCCTTTCCCATTCCAGGAAAAGGGCTGCTACATACATCATGCACGCGCAATGGATAAACTCAACTCTTCTTGAACATTACTTTCAGTATAGTTTACGACTTTCTGCATAGAGTTGGGTTTCTTCTTTCTCAGTTTTATCAAGCTAATACAGAAACAGGAAATTACTAGCATCATCATGCTTATTGTAAACCTTCACATCTACGAAGATCGGATTCTAAAACCTTCAATGATAATGTGTTCTTTTAAGTTGTTATTAAGGCAAAATAGCCTAGTGATAATGTGAACTGCATTTTTTTTAAAACAAAGTCGCAGCACATGCTCAGAAATACTGCCATTAGGAAATAGAAGGAGCTATCAAACTCCTATAGAAACCTTCTAAAACCTAGCCTAGCCTGGAAAAAAAACTCTCGAACTCCGGCTCACACAGCATCCCGTTCACAAGTTAAAAATTTAATTTCTGATTTCAAAGCTGTATTGCATCTTACATGGAACGAACAGCTGAAACATCAACCGGCGGACCTCCCTCGATTGTATTGATGATCTCGAGAATGACAGGTGCAGGATCGGCCTTGTATAGCTGAAGAGCTTGCCTAAAAATCAGAAGGGGGAAAATGACATTAATAAGCAACTGTACCATAGAGGAGAGAGAGAGAGAGAGGAGAGAGAGAGAGAGAGAGAGAGAGAGAGAGAGAGAGAGAAGGGGAAACATAGTTCATTTTTATCGATCAATAAAGCCATAGCCTTTTTATGCCAAATTCAAAAAATTAAAAATCCTTGGCCTTTTTATGCCAAATATAAACTAAACATACTTGAACTTCACACGAGCTTGTGCATAGTGCTCCATCCGAATCAAAGCATGTCCCCATGCATTCCAAACAGGGACAACATCAATCTGACAGAAGCCCCACATATTCATAAGCTCAACATGCCTTAAATAATCATGCCAAAGGAAAAACATACTCTAAACAAAACAGAACAATTAACTGCAACTTCCAGCTACGATACTTACCTTACACTTTTTGCATGTATATACAGCCATGCTGTACCGTTCATCTACAATCAACCTATCACGGAGACAGGCAGATGACTCTTTATCGGCAATATCATCTAGAGAAGCAGCAATTCCGGATCCCAGAAGGCTCTGGAGCAGCTCAGCACGTCCTAGCCAAATGTCTGCCTGCAAGAGAACTTCAGATAGCTCATCTGTGGACTGACTGCCCACACTGGAGCTACCAGCATCAGAGGATGCATCATCAGCGTCCCTACTTCTTTCAGAATTACTCGACAAATCACTGCCACCCACAAGCTTTCTCAGCAGGGATTTAGCATAAAGTAGCCCCTGTAAAAGCATGTTGTGAGAACTAGCATTGCAATCTGCATTACCAACTAAACTGCACATAAAGGTGATTGCATAACAAAACCATAACCCTGTCTTTACAAGGCAAAGATACATGATCTGCCTCTGTTGGTTATGGAATTTTAACCATGTTGTAAGAGCTTACTGAAGGTATACCTGTACAAACGTCTCTGTGGCATGATATGCTCGACCAATTATTTCCATAGATGCATTCTCTGGCAATTGTTGGGAGCTCAGCACATTCTTCATCTGATTAACACACAAATCCAATGCATTCTTTGCAGAGACAGAGTCATCAGAACATAGAGAAAGCAGTGCCTACAAACATAAATACCAAACTGTCAGCCGAGCAGCATGCCTAAACAAGATCCCCGCATGCTGAAGAACCCACTACTTAACAGGATATACAAGCATAAAATGTTACAAATCAGAGGAAAACTTCATACAGGGAAAGTGTATAATTAAGCTTGCGTGCACTTATGAAATTGGCAATCCTCAGAAGTTAGAATACCTATGTAAGATTAACCCACGGATTCTCCCATAATATCTACATATGAAATGGAGCAAATGGCAGTATGAAACATTATTAGCTTTATGGACAGCAAGGAACATATTTAGCTTTACTGTCTTTATTATGTATCTAGGGGTGCTTTGCAAATTAAAATGCAAAGGTATAGCCTATTTCACTAGAATACCTTGAAAAGGGTAATGTCAGGTGCACTTTCATATCGGTGAGATGCACGAACAGCTTCATCCTTCGTTGAATCACCAGTTAGCATCCATTCTTCAGAAATTGAAATAGCAGGAAGCCGTTCTTGCCCATCAACAGAATATGATGAAGCACGATCCTCCTGGATACCAGCCATGGCCTCCCAAGCTACTTTTTCCGATGATGTCAATCCAGAACTCTTTCTTTTACGGTAAACATCTTTTGGGGTGGCCCTGTCTCCAGTATTTCGTGGAGCCCAAGAAAAAGCTCTGCGAGCCTCTTTTTGCAAGTTATTTAGACTGCTAGTGAAAGAAGACCTCACAGGAGCACCTGTTCTTGTTTTCTGCTTTAATCTAGTCCCCGAAACAGATACTCGATATTCTCTTGGAGGTGAGCTAATACTGATAGCAATAGCTTTAGCAGCGTAGGCAATAATGACATTATTGTCTCTCAACAAAGGAAATTCTTTGAGAATCTGTCAAGCAAAAAAATGTTGATTAAGTAACAGCATCAGAGAACTACAAACATAGAAAAACATGCAAAACACCAAACTGGATAAGGAATCGCAATACAAATTTTATGCCTTTCATGCAGTAAGTAGTGACAAATGATCTTATGGTATTCAAATCTGTCTAAATACAAAATATGCTAGACATTCGTGTGTGACTGAAGGAACTTAAGAAGTGATATCTAACCAATGCAGCAGACTGTAGCTGTTTCCTCATCAGAAGAACCTCAAGTATCAAATGTGGGTGCTCGTGCAAGGAAGAACATCTTTGCTGCCATGGCAATGGCAAGGCAGCCAGAACACGAAGACCTAAGGCCCATGAGTTAAGCCGAGAAACCTCAACATCCGAAAGATTCCCTTCTCTTCGCTTCAGGAAGAAATGAACCTTTACAAAAGTAAAAATAAAAATAAAAATCACAACTAAGAGGTATATGAAATTCAAAACTCAAATACTATACTTTATGAGATCAAAATAAATTTCCAGTAGAATATTGCCAAAAAGAAAACTAATTACAAGCAGCTGCTTTGACCGCAAATCAGGTAAAAGCTGCATTGCACCCATGGCAACTGGTAGGGCATCATCTGAGTCACGTAGGGAAGAAAGAAATCGTGAAGCTTCTGCTGGACCTCCACCACTGAGAGGATCCGCAGTCAAAAGTTTTACAAGTTGCCGGCCCTGCAGTTCCCTCCGCAATTCTATGGATAATCCTGCACTTTCAGCCACTTCTAAAGCAGCAGAAACAGATCCTTTTCCAGCTAATCTAAGTGCTAACCCCTCAGGATCTTCCTTACACTCTGCTTCAACCTGACATTGGACAAAGAAAAACAAAAAGAGAGAATAAAACCCAAATTAATACGATATCCATGCTACCATGAAATAAATAAATAAAAACTAGCAGAACTATGCTCTTAATATCTCTATCATTTTCACTTCTCATTTTAGTCCACAGAGTCCAGAATTATAACCTCTTGCCAGCTGCTAAAGTGCTCATCTGCATTTAGAATGTGGCTGTACCTCTGCAAAGCTTGTCTCATATGCATGACCTATGCATCCAACAGGAGTACATCATCAACCAAAAATAGTTGAAAAATTAATGCAACATAGAGAACCCTTATCAAGCTTCAGGTAATCGAGACAGAGATTTAGCAGTAATAGAATATAAGCAACCTATCAAATCAAAAGGCAGTACCTCCTTCCTAATGGGATCATTTTGAGGTAGGTGGCAGCTGCACATTGTGAGAACATCCAAAGCAGCATCCAACTCCCATCTATGCATATACCTGGAATAAAACTTGTAAGACTCTAGAAATTCTATGGAAAGAAGCACGTAATTGTTCCTATATACCATCAGTGCAACAATGGGAAAAGGGTTTTAGCTGATTTACAACATGTAATGCTAGGAACCAAACCGAACCAAAAAAAAAGACTCAGAGGGAATAAGTGGGGGAATTGACTCTTTCCAACTAACAGGAACAAGACATTTTCATTAAAGACCGCAATAGATTCATAAACTTCCTGCATCACTTAAAAATTAATAAAAGGCCATGTATATAAATCTGAAATATCAAATAGGAACATTTTTATTACTAGAACCAAGCACTGCTCTACAAATGTAAAAAATAAAGATGATGGATGCCAAAGGAAAGTATCTTAGTATATTTCATATCAGCTAGCATTCACCAAGGTAACTTATAAACCCATGACATTACATACTTGAGAGCAAGTCTAGCAGCCACTTGTTTATCCTTCAACCGCAGGCAATACTGCCAATTATTGCTCCAGATACTATTGCCTCCATAACCCTGAGAGAGTCCAGCGACTGAATGATTTTCTTCCCCACATTCAATGATTAGCTGAAGTAATTGATCTGAAGCTCCATTACGTAGAAAGCGATCAGAAAGTGCAAGAGCATCCATGAGTTTTCCTTCATCTATCAATCTGTTAATTGACAGCAATCAGTGACTGGAAATAGTAATGCCACCTTCAATTGTCAGCATGATGACAAAATTATCCTAAAAGCAAACAAAAGAAGAACAGAATTGACACCAATAACACACCCTCCCTCCAAAAAATAAAGAACAATTCCAGATAAATATGCTCTCCAAAACCAGATAATTTATACATGAAACTCCATAGAAACTAAAGACACTAATCCAACATATGCATGCATATATTTCTCATAAAATTCCTTATGTCTGAAAAGTCTTCTTTCACTCTGCTTTTTCAGCACTAAAACCAGTCATACGATCGTGCTTTCTGTCTAGTGGAAGATTTCTGAGTATGTATCTTAGTAGGTCACACAATTCGAAAATTTGACTTAGCAATGTGAGTCCCACCTTAGAATTCAAAGTAAACATGCCAGAATGTATGGCAAACATGCCAGAATGTATGGCAAACATTTATACAGAACACCATCAGAAGATAACAATAGAAATCAGCTGAAGAAGTGAACAAGTATTGAGACCAAAAAAAGGAAAAAGAAGATTGTTTATTTGAATGAATGTTGAAACAAGACAGAACTACAATACCGCTGTACAGCTTTCTCATATGGTTCTTCATTTTCCCAATCAAAAGAAAGGAAAACTGAAGTGTCAAGCTCAGCAACGTCAGATTTTGAAGAACCATCCCAAGGTTCAGTAGCTGCACCATCTTGGCCACTGGCGTCTGGTAAAGCTGTTGAAACACTACTGCTACCAACAATGTCATCAACTTCTGACTCAGTATCGCTATCAATCTCACGTAGTCTCTTGATAGCTCTTGCTTCAGCTCTAGCCTCACCACCATCGGCAGTTTGCTTAATGGTTACAGCAAACTCCGAAACTCGATGAAGGTTAGTTTGCATTTGTATCCATCGGTTTAAAGTTGGGAACCTGCACGTCAAAATAACAAGTAAAAACTAGGAAACCATGATGTAAATGGCAAAGAAAAATCATTTACAGGCATGGAAGTAACCTCTCAGATTGATCAAGAGCAAACTCATAAAACAACCGGTCAACATCAGGTGCCTGCAGCAATCCACCGTCCAAGGAGCTCGATATAGAAGAATCACTGCCATTGTACAAAATGGTACTCCCAAAAACACATGCTAAGACCGCCCTCACTGGGGATAGTTTAACCAAATGTTTTACTATATCTAACTCTAAAGGGTATAGAGGAATTCCAGGCAATGATGAGGAACGGCAGTAACTATTAGGCTTCGCTTCTTTGAAAGAGGGGGACAATACTTTATTTTCTGAGCCACTTTTAGGGAAGGTGGGAGTGACCGGAATGCAAGCCCACCCATGACCAGATCGTGGGGGATAAACTGGAGGTACACATGCTGAAATTACTTCATGCACAAAATCTGCACACATAATCTCAGCTACCTTACCAGCTGCATCAGTGCTGCCTCGATCAAAGACAAGACGGGTTAAAAGCTGCAGAATACAGTAGCCATACATGAGCATATCAATAATACAGCAGAAACAGAAATTTGCCAACTCCTAACATAAAGAACTTGTCAGCTTTCAAGTTAGTCCAAGTCAAATAGATCATGACACATAATTAAGAACTAAGAGACCTTCAACAATCAGATTTCATTGGTATCAAATTAAACAATAAAAACAGACTGGCAAGCCCTGTATCAAACAGAGCTAGTAATACCCCTTTATATATCATTGCTACCATTACATTAACGATCCATAAAAACCATGTATTTCTGAAAATTAAAATGATTACACATATCTATCTAATCAGTTTTTCATGAGACAAGAGTATTATACTTGAATAGGTTCTAACAGAAAAAATATAGTTTTCAATTTGTACAAATATGAGTAACATGGAAAATATAGTTTGTATTGCATTTCTTTTTCCTCATTTTCATTAATTATACATTCTCTTCTTCTTTTTTTGTATAAGAAAAAACAATCGTATTCAAGAAAAAGATACTTTTGACAACCAAACAGCAGCTTGGGATAAAGTTAAAACTTTTTGTCTTCATCAAGTATACATTTACTGTTTCAGCAAGTGGGACATTCCTGGTAAATAACATGAAATGCTACATACAAAAACTAGCACAACTACTCATCAGTTCCACATTTATTTCCATCATAGATGTACCTAAAAGTCAATATAACATAGTACTTCATGTCGCATCTACAATAGTTGTAATTGTATAGTTTGAGGTTCTCTTTTGAAATTAAACCTAAGTATCTAAGCAGTTCCTGAAATTAAGATGCTTCCAAAAATATCCAATTGTTTGAACCAAATCTCAATTCCAAAATTTTACTGAAAACAAAACGCAGAAAGCAAAGAATACTTTAATAACACAGAAAATAATCTTACATCTTTGGGCCACTCATACACGAGTGAAAAAAAGTTGAAATCATGAGTTGTATCAGTTCCATCAACTATGTCACCAATTGCAGCAATATGGAGAATAAACTGTGAAAGATATGTCATGGGTTTGGTACTTAATGAACCAAAAAATCTCTTCCCACTGTCCTTTACATCATAACCAACAGGCTGCACACTTGTTTCTCCAATTGCAGAACTTGAAGGTATCTGCTTGGCAACTCTTAGCCCAAGTCCAAAAACTCCGTCTTTGTCAAGATCAGAAAGAACCTTCTGTTCAGCAGATGGGCCTTCTCCTTTATAGAAATTTAGCTCTGTTTCTTCATCAGCCACAGCTCTTGCAAGATTATGGAGCTTACCTGTGTGAAATTAAAGACATGTTTAAGCCATATGAAGCAGAGCAGCCATAGAGCATATTTATGTTTAAGCCATATGAAGCAGAGCAGCCATAGAGCAGATTTCTGTTTAAGCCATATGAAGCAGAGCAGCCATAGAGCATATTTCCCCTTCCTTCCACACTACGAAAAAGGGGAACTATAAAATGTACCACTGAGAAACTGCCGCTTGCCCTTGTGAGCATCCTCAATCATATGATGTAGCATATCAAGAACACGTTCCCGTTGTCCTAGTCGGTGGGATTCCTTTGGTGAGGCAATAATAATCTCGCCGGACAAAGTGACCTGAAGGGCTGGAGGATTATCCTAGATGAGCAGATCAAGAAGCCAGGATCAATAACTAACAGTAAGAAGTAAACACCAAGAATGTTTTAATGCAGTAAGCATTCTAAACAGTGAAGCTATTAGGGACAGATAGTAAACACCAAGAAGTAAACAAAAATGGAAGAACCATAGGATGGCAATGAATTATTGTGTTTAAATCCTGATTAAACAACCTTCATAATTAGATAGTGCAGTCTTTAATGGCCAATAAGAACTCTTTATCCCAAAAAAAAATAATAATAAATTCAAGATCTCACCTGATCCAAGAACTCGTGTAAACGCTTAAGGATTCGTTTTTAAAACAGAAATAACTGCCACTTCAAGGATCTGATCCCAGTAAGTGGAGCCTATCTTTGGAGAAACTCCTGGATATATCTCAGACAGCAGAACTTGAGCCTGCACATATAACAAATCATAGCTTTCAGTAAAACCAAACCACTGGAGACCATATCACTCTTGAATTAAACACCCTAACACAAAAACCGATCTACTGGAAACCATATGGAGGAAAATAAGGGTCCATTTGAATGGAGTAATTTCAAATCTAGGGATTTAGATGACATTATAAGGTTAAATTGTTTGTTTAGACTACTACAATCCATGTATGCCAAAATATTAATAAGAAGGAAATGAAGAAAACAAATGGATTCCAGATGGCTCCTTCCATAAAGTCATTTCAAATTCATTTCAAATATACTACATCTAGTTATTCTAAATACATCCAACATGATGTTTTCTAGTTTTTTAAAACAAATTTAGCCTTGTTAAATCCAAATCCTATCTTTCAATTACCTCCATCTAAATGGAGCCTAAGAGAATTTCAAATTAGGGGGAAAATGAAATTTCTAGATGTTGTGACACACGGAGAGAGTTTTCTCCAGGAGTGAATAATCAGTACCAGTGGAAAGCCAAAGATAGCAATTGAGGAAAAATTTACTTTCTTCCAAACTCATAATATTTCTCACACATGGCATCAAGTTTTACAACTAATACTTCAAACAGGGAAAAAGACCATGAAATGACATTTGTTTAGGAGGACCATAATAACAAAAATGTTGGTTTGGTAAAAGTATTTACTGACTACTTAGGGGTGGAAAAGTAAAATAGTAAAACTGACAGTGAAACTTTCAGATTATCCTCCTCACATCGATTTCTCATAAATGTTGGTTTGGTAAAAGTATTTACTAACTACTTAGAGGTGGCTTGGGCAATTTCTATATCATCAAGAAAACATTAAAATTTTCAATTGGATTTTTTAACACAACTTATCTTCTGGAAATTAAAAAATTTGAAAACAAAATAATCTAAGACAAGTATATATGAAGACAAAATATCAGTATCTTCATCTTCCAAGTTTATTTGAGCATTGCCTGATCCAAAAGCTGTTGGGATATCTTTGCAGACCGAGCAGAAGTAGCAGCAACGTCAATACAAAGAAGAATCTGGAAGGTTATATTGAGAATATCAGCCTAAACCTTAGAGAATTGATTAAATATTCAACCTCACTTGAAGACAAAGGGGAATAGAGACTTAACACTCTAAGCACTTACTGCAGCCAAAGGACCTAACTGGGAGCGCAACGAAGAAAAATTCAGATCATGTATTGTAGAAGTCCCACCATCAGTAGCACGAGAGACTACATCTTCTACCTAGAAAAGCCATAAAAGTGAGGCCATCTTATGAGAGAATACTGATGAAGGCACCGCAATACAAAACAAAACCACAAAAAAAAGTCCACATAGAAAGGAAAGTAAAGTAAATTTGGAACCTAAGACAACAAAGATTCAGTAATATTATTTAAGCAAGATGGTTATAGATAGTTAAAGCTGACAAGCATAAAAATAAGTAGTTACAAGGAATTTGATCTGAATCATACAGATTGTCTTCTGACGGCACTATCCACCCACTCAGCTAATTCGAGGGTAGCTTTATCTTCTGCAGACAATGAAAACCGATGCACTGCTTCTTCCCCAATGTCATACTTAGCTCTTTGCATGCAACTGAGACATATAAGAACAACTATAATATTTACCTTCAGAAAATAAGATGTCATCAACTTCATATTAACTGATGATGTACTATCATCTTCAAATATCAGCATCTATTTCTATCATTTGGCAAATGAGGTCATCATATTTTGTTTGGCCTGGGTGGTCAATATAGTTTATAATCGTTATAAACTACCATTTTCTTATAGGATAAACCCCCATTTGCAAACCCTATAACCAATATCCAAAAAGCAATTCATGCACAAGAACCAACTGATCATCATATAAATTCCCAAATAAGAAAGGCTTGTAGAACTCACAGGTTAAGTAGCTTAGATGGTGCGGCACGTAATACAGTTAATGCCTCCTTCCACCGCCACTGGCGTTCAGATAAAGGAAGAAGACGCTGCAAAATTGACAACCGCCATTCCCACTCTTCAATGAAATGTTTAGCAATTGACGCTCTCCACTCCAATGCTTGTCTTCCACCCCTACTTACGCCATCACTTAGAGCATGATCTAGTTCAGTTATAGTTGAAGGAAGACAGTGATGTAATATATTAAGTAGTTTCCCCGTGAAAGACACAACCAATTTGTTTCCCTCTTCACGTGTTAGATCAGTTTGTTCTGAAGAACATGTGTAATGTGATTCAGAATAGCTCCCTGGTGAGGCACAATGAGCCAAATTGAGAGAAAGATCATCCATATGTAAAAGCGAAATAATGACATTCGCCATCATGATCTGCATCATTACAGAAGCATTATAAAATAATTACAATGAACAACAGGAAAAAGATGCAGCAAACTAATAAAACTGATGACATCACAAACAAATTGAGAGCATTTAGATTTCAAAGGAAAACATGAAACTTCAAAGTAAACTTGAACAAAATACCAAAATGCAATCCATTTAGCAGTTGCTAATTCTCTAGCATCAGAACATGAATGATAAATAATTTCTTTTTCATGCATTTTTCGGCGATTATATTTTACACAAAACAACTTTCAAAGACAACATGCAACAGATTTGCCCGAGGAAGCATGTTAGACATGTAATTGCAAGTTGAACTTATCAAGCATAAACATGAGAAAATAACAGTTTTAACAACCACAAAAAGGAGTTGGGATTGAAAATGTTGGGCTAAAAAAAACATATTCACAATAGACTACCTTGCGAGGGATGTCATTAACAGCCTCCAAATGGTTCTGCAGATCTTTCAAATGGTCAAATGCAACTTGATGAAGACTTTCTCTTTCACCAGTCATAGTCCTTTCCATCACTCCAACCGCAAGAACAGCTGAATCTAGAGCATACCGCATGTGCATAAGTTCAATATCCTGCATCCTACCATATAATAAAATAGAATAGAGAAACGCGAAAACATCAACATGTTAAGAAAAGCATGTCAAATCCCAAAATGACAAAAATATGAAATACATAGAGTGCACAATTGGTCCCACATCCCCAGCCCTCTATTATCACCACAAAGAAGAAGAAAAAAGGAAAACCAACTAATTTTAGATATCCAAATATATGAGTAAATAAATAAAGTAGCTTAAAAGGATGGCAGCATTGTCAACCCCAGCTCACTTCCCACACAAGATGATTTCTTTTCATCCTTGAGTAATACATGATGACAAAATAAATCGTGCACAACAAAGTAACACTAGTTCTAGTACCCGCTTAGCTATGATACAAGAATACACACCTCTTCCAGGCTTCTAAAGTTGAAGAAATTGGCTGCATGCTGATCAATTCAATAGCCTCCTGAAACTTTATGCCTGGAACAACATCAAACAATACCTACAGAAAATGCACCCGTCACATTACAACATTCAATACAAAAGTGTTTTTAAAAAAAAGGTACACTACAATGCTAACTATATCTTTAGCATTTCTAAAGAAATATAATTCGGGGGAAAATGGTAAATGATTGTTCAGTGAAGCTTTCTGAAATAGCAATTCATTAGGCATGTCCACAATAAGAATTTGTGATAAATTATTTTTCCTTTTTAGTAAAAATAATTTGTTTAGAATACAACCTTATTGTGCCTGACATGCCAATAATTATTCAGAGTTCAGATACAGACAATATTTGGAGTTTCATTTTATAATGTCAACACCATCATCAAAGAACTATGGGTTATTTTCGAAAGTTGAATTTCTCTTTAACAAGCACTGAGTCAATGTTTTTGCATTTTTCATGTGAAGGCAATGATTCATTACTAACTGGCATAGAAAAAGAAAATACCCATCAAACCCCTTAACATATGAAGGTAAGGTGAAAACTATGATGGGAATTGAACATGTTCAGAGATCAAAAGACAATTTTTATGCAGAGAAAATTTGCTACAAACTTACGAGTTACAACACAATATAATAGTATCATTATATTAATGTATAACAGAATTGTAATGCAAATGCACATAAAAATAAAAAAATAATTTAAAAATGATGCTAGCATAGACATTTACATAAATCATCACATAGTGTTGGCTTCTATGTGGATTGTTTAATTTGAAAGAAATAATACGTTTTTCATGATATGGTGGAGGAAGTGGATTTACTTTGGGCTATAATAGAATTACAATTTTAGCTTTTCTTGGAGTGTATTTGTTGAAGCATTTCAAAGACTCACTCATGTCAATTGGACAGAGTTTTGGGTTGAATGTAATCTGATTTTATATGTCATGCCATGATTGTTGGTCTGATTTTGATGGGATCTAGCCCATCTTTCTTGTAGTTTTTCTTTCTCAGTTTTTAATAAGATAAAGTTTTCCTTCTAAAAAGAACAAAGAACTAGGCCACAATAAGATTATTTTGAGGACTTACCCGAAGTGGACTTTGAACCGAAAGCCTTTCCAGTACGAAATTCTCAACAAAGGGGTCTAACTGATGATCTTCACTACTGAATGCTATTTGTTCTTTAGCAGACAACATCAATGATAATTTTGAATTCCATGATTGACCAGAATTGACGCAGGCAACAAAAGAGGCAAGATCAAGCTGATAACATAAAGAATCACAAAGATATTCCACACAAGATACCTGCCAATCAATAACACATACAGTCACATATTTCCTTTGAATAATAACAATGATATCATGGCACAAGAGTATCACAAGGAAGACTTTATGGGCAGTACCTCATCTGATAGATTACTATAAAGAGAAGATTCTTCCAGCCGAAAAACTTGTGATTTACTTCTCCACAGCAGTTGCATTAATTTCCTTCGTGCTGTAGTTTTTCCAGATAATAAATCCCAACCCATGGCGGCTACCAGGGGCTGAAGGCGGGGGAAACAATAAAAGAATCTGCACATATATGGACAAGAAAGGCTTGTAACTATACTAGCAATCCAGCATCAAATAATGCAATAACTGATCCCACAGAATAATGAGAATACCATTTTACTCACATATTCAATTTAAACATAAAACTGGGCACATACATTGCTAGCTTCTTGAAGCTGCTCTCTCTTTACAGCAGACAAAGCAGTGTCCATGACACATTCAAGGACATGTAAACCCGAAACACGAGCATAATGATACATGTCTCTCATGCAAAATCCGACTACAGTGTTGAAGGTAGAAGTTTCTGTATCGGGATTCAATTCTGCATGATATCTTTGAAGACGTTCCAGAGGTGGTGGAATCTGGTTGTTATCAAGAGATCTGTACACCTCAATCTCTTTTGAGAGTAAGTCATCTTGAAGAGCCTGCAGGAAGCCCCCTACCAAGTCAATATTACCCTCAAAGAATGCATGGCTCAAAAGTAATACAAATACATATTGAATGGCACCCAATGAATGATAAAAAATACAAGATGACTGATTGTTAATGTTCAAATACATCTTAACACAGGTTAAATAATTTATTTTATATTAAAAAATCCTGGCGACCATGATATGTATTAAAAAGAAGAAGAAGAAAAACTGCCGTTTATTATAACCATTAGCTTCTTACATCAGAATAACCACCTAATAGATTCGAACAATCTACAGACCTTATGAAACTGGCTGAACTAATCTACCTAGTTCAGGCTTAACCAGTTTTCTACATACATATCCATGAATTTATGTGGTTTTGAGATGTGTTTGCTGCAAAACTTCAACAAGGGAAAGCATTCCAACTTCGACCATGCACACAAAAATAAATTTGAAAAAGAAAAAAAGAAAAGGAGATAACTATCCTTTCCAACTAGGTATTGTAGCTTTCCAAACATCCTCAGCTTAGCTTTAACAAGTTATGGTATGCATCGTGTAAGGACCTAACCAGGATCCTTCAGCAAAATCATCTCATAGAAAATTAATTGCAAGACTACTGGCATATTTTAAACAATTTGCCGACAAAGGCATGTACCATGCAAAATCCATTATAAGCAAAATGGCAAACATTACTTGTATCATTTTGACAAGATGTCCACAATTTGATGCAATCGCCGTGCTATAAATCCACAGTAATTTTTCTCGCATGTTACGCCAAGAATCTCCATATCCCTCCTTTCGTGATGACACCATCTTGAGGAGATCTTGCAAAACCATGCTGCAAGGAACATCAAGAGTGAATGGAAAAAAATGTTTAGAAGAAACTACGCAGTACATCCTAAGGCCACTTTTGGTATTTCAAGGAGAAGATACCCTAATAATAACTACTTCATTTTCTGATATTGCCATTCTCAAAATTCATCCAAGAAGCAGTAACACATAAACCTAATCTCACATATGAACACCACAGACACCACTCCTAAGACGGCCCACAATTCATGAAGCATCTTCAAAGTAACATGTATCAAAGCTTTCTTAAACTGACCAATCCTCCTCATACCTATCTATCGCATTTATGACAAACCAAACAACTAGGCCCGGAAGCTAAAAACATAAAATATGTGTCAATCTTCATATTTGCCTACCAACTGTAGAAGACTATTGAACAGAACCACAAACCTTTAGTCTTGGTATCAATGGTTTCTTCTTTGAAAAGGTTTAGCGCAGGTTTAAATTCTAACTAGTTAATGAAACAATTGTGCAAGATAGAGCGTAAGTGGCACTGAGATAAGTACAAACCATAATCTATAAAAACACTACACATATTGTACAAATAATAATCCGTTCAAATTTTATAAACATACCGATACTCAGTCTCCTCCACTCCATAATCAAGGTGAAGAAAATGAATACGCGAAACCACTCCATCCACATCACCATCCTTCATGCACTCTTTCATAGCATCCAAGTGAGCTAACTGAACACTCCTTTGTATCAAACCAAGAACCTTCAAATCCTCCTTGGACATTTCCCCTGCATTTTCATCCCTCCTCAACGTTATTGCTAAACCCGAAGAATCATATCCCTCCCATCCCCTCACTTGGCTCTGTATATTCCAACACAACGCGTCAAAAACATCACGGTTCTCCCAAACTACGCTCCTCAAACATATCAATTCGCCTTCCTCAATAGGTACAACGCCTGCAGCCTCATTTTCACTCCCACCATCAGTATCAGCAACACCTACTACTACGGAGTTTTGCTTCAATCTATTTACGCCCAATTCCAAAATCCTATCCAAAATTCTCACACAGCTATCCAATTCACCACTGGCATCTCTCAAATCCTTGCCAGTATCCTCACTCTTACCCAAAAACTCTGCTCGCTCTTCGAAACTCTCGCTCTCGCCTATTCCTTCTTTCTCCTTCTCTTTCTCTATGCTCTCCAAATCAAAATTCTTCCGCATACTCTCCGAGACGCGGTCGATCAAATTCTGAACTAACAACAAGAACTCGGCGCGCAATCGCAGGGTTTCGGGATCGAAGCTCCATACCGACGAAGCGTTATCGAATTGCAACAGTTCAAGGGTCGATAAGTAAGTGAGCAGAGCTGGTGATGGGCATGATTTTGACCAGAGAATGTTGTCGAAGCGACCCGAGTGAGCGACGATGGTTTGGAGCACGGCAAGAGCGAGGTCGGGGTTTCGAGCTCGGAGAGCGACGACAATCGCTCGAAGAGGCTCAAATTGGGCGAGATAGAGATGGTTTGCGGCTAAGCACGAGAGGATTTCGGTTTCCTTGTCCATTGCAACGCCGAGCCGAGAACCGAGCCCTAGGGTTTTGGATTTCAGTTCATGAGGGTGATTTGGGATTCGGTGTGGTTGTGGCTTGTCGGAGTGTTTGGTTCCCGGAAAGTGGTCGAAAATTGTGGTTTTTGTGGATTGGATGAAGTCGACTGTGGACGTGAGAGAGAAAATTTTTGTATTGAGAGTTGAGAGGGAGTTTTCGGTTAGGGATTGGTGCGTGTGGAAGACGCTAAATCTGTATATGGTTGTTTGGCTCTTGGGAAAGTAGATCCGAGGAATGACGGAAAAGCGACGTCGAGGTAATGTACAGTTTCAATGCACGTCACTGGAACTGAAGAAGAAGCGTGAAGAAAATGCAATGGGGATGACAAACTGCCAGTGCAACAGTCAGACGGCGTCGTCTTGCACATTATGTTACCGTTAGGTGAAAGTGAAACATAAAAGGGTAAATCTCGGAGTGCAGGACGATTAACAGCTCTCTTTTAAAAATAAACTATGCCCTTTGCTTTATATATAGATAAATATGTGTAGTTTGGTTTTATATCCCTCTCAAATGAAGGGACAGTGTGTTTTGAAATTTTATTCAACATGTAGTAAAAGATGTGGAGATTGAGATCTTGAGATGGGAAGTGATATTTGTACAAGAATTAAGAATTTGGTAGGAACTGTATTTGATTGGTACACTTTCCCTTTATACTGCATTTTGATATTTGTCATATAGTTTTGGTGGTGGACCCATAAAATTATACTTGATGAATTAAGCTGCACCTCTCCGAGTATATGTAAATTATGAACACTAATATAAATACGTGATAAACACTGGTCGATGAGACTTTGATGCTTCTGCCATGGCATTAGCAGCCCTCTAGCCTTTATTTATAGGGAGTTTTTATTTTGACACACTATATAGTTTACTAATTTAGAAAATATGGATTCAATTTCACCTAATTAGGATAAAACTAAAGACAAAAAAAGTAGTACTAATTTTACAATAATGTAATTAAAAAACAATAAAATTACACACAATGCCACTCCATCTAAGTAAAGCACACTATGCCACATGTCCACCTCCGGCAATCTCTCTATTGTCAAGCGGCTTTACTGGGGTTTTAAAAAAAATTATAAATAGTATAGCCGAATGGCTATACGCTTTACATTGATATTGTGGTCTTTTTTTGTTCATTGTTTTTCCCCGATTTTTGTTTATTGATAACAGTAGTTTAGAGCATTATCTATTACTATTAGGCCATTGCTTGAGTCTCTATTGTCCTCTTTTGAGTTTTTACATTTCCAGAGTTATTACTCATATAAAGAATTTAGCATTTTCATGTTTAATACTTATTTTGTACACGTACATATTTTTCATGTTTAATACTCATATTGTACATGGACGGACGTATTTTTCATGTTTAATATAATTTTTTTTACCAAATTTTCAATAATACACACAAGTGTCATGTACTATACACAAAATTTTCACATATTATTGATTGAAAATTAATGTCCATAAAATATAAACTAATGCAACTAGAAGGGTCCTTTATCTTTTAATTTTTGTTAATAAATAGTATAGCCGTGAGGCTATGCGCCTTGTAATTTTAATACACTTAAAGCATATAGCCGCGAACCACTTGGCGCAAGGTGGTCCCTTCTTTTTTTTGTAGTGTAGCCGCACGGCTATATTGGGGAATTTTTATTTTTATTTTTTTAAAAACAACCGTATAGCCGGTCAGCTATACTACAGTTTTTTTAATTATTAAAAAACGGTATAGCCGAACGGCTATACTCTTTTTACACCTGGGATCGAATTGGTAGGCGCTACTAGACAGTCTTTTTAAAAATATATAAATAGTATAGCCGAGCGGCTATACGCGGGATTTTTTTAAAAATAAACAAGCGTATAGCAGGACGGCCATACTACTTGTTATTATTATTTAAAAATAGTATCACCAATCGGCTATACTCTTTTGCCACGTGGGAGCGAATAGCAAGGCTCTAGGCCCTAGGCGGTCCCTTTTTTAAATTAAATAGTATAGCCGCGCGGCTATACTCGGGATTTTTTTAACATAAACAACAGTATAGACAAGAGTATAGCCGCCCGGCTATACGGGCGCTGGGTTTTGTAATATCAATAGTATAGCCGTGCGGCGATACGGCTTTTTATTATTAGTATTAAACAAGAGTATAGCCGCCCGGCTTTACGGGGTCCGTTCTTTTTTAATTTTTTAATAAATAGTATAGCCAAACGGCTATACTCTTTACTATTTTTTCTTTAATAACGTCCTCCACTACCCCTCCCCAACCCCTAACTGAGCTATCCAGCTTCGTTTTGTTCCACGAAGGCTGCCTTCCTCTCTAATCTTTTTTTGAATTGTTTTTCCCCGATTTTTGTTTATCGATAAGAGTAGTTTCGAATATTATCCATTAGTATTAGTATTTATACAAGATAGGTACATTATTTACCTACTATATTTTTATATTTAACTGTCATTTAGGTCGTCTAGCAACTTCACACAATGTTTGTCTGCAACACCAATGCACCATAGAGTGATGGGCCAATACTCGGATTCCAATCCAACTACGGATTAACAAGCATGCTCAATTTGATTCCTCGAGACCATAAACCAACTCCCTCCAGATCCTCAATCTCATTTAACTGAACCCTGCATTGAGAGAGAAAGATACCGGGTCAACCATGGCAATTATTAGGCCTACTAGATGATGATTCTCAAGCCTCCTTTAAATGTTCAGTGATGTGTGTTGATACATTGTAAGGTGAAGAGATATGAAAGATGATGAAAAAAGAAAGATTGGTGACAGTCATGGCAGGCTGTGGGGGTGGGGGGCTTCGTCGGCGAGGAATGGTTGTGGCTGCTTTTTTTCTTCTGTAATTTCTCCACTACGTATATCAATCAATCAAGCCAAACATGATACGAATAATAAACCGATTTGGTTAATATTGAGTCCTCCAAGTAATTAATTAATGGCGGACTAATATATGACCTGAAAAAGGAAGTCATGATTTCAATGCATGAAAATTTTGAGCAACCAGAAACAAGTAGCATAAAAAGGTTTGACATCATTAACTTGCTTTGGATGCATGTCATGGTTTTTGTCATTAAAGATGACAATTAATTCACCAATGCTCTTCTTAGAGTAATTAAAATTACAAAACTCAACATAAGATCTTCTCAGAAATCATATAAAGTCCTTGTGACAAACCGGCTTAATTCAACGAGAAGAAGATCTTCGTTCGAAGTGCTTTCATAAAACATTACACCCCGAAAAACAGCATAGTCAATGTCATCACCCCCTGCAATTCCACAGCAGAAGAGAAACCATGTAAGAATATCCCGTCCAACAGAAATCATCAAATTAAACGAACAAAAACACTTTCCCATGAAACCCATTTCCAGGAAACTCAGTTCTATGCCCTGCCTCTACTTTGACGTCTACCTTTTTTATCATAATTCTTCAACACCCATATATCAAATTTGTTAGCTTTTGATATTGAAGAAACATATATAAATTGAAAAGAAGTTACGCATTCATGTGAAACTTCATCAGTTGAAGAGCACCAGCAGAAATGCGTCACTAGGCTACACAAATTTTTAGAGACAGAATGCAAACAAAAAATTGATTTTTAGAGACACAATTATGTTTAGACTATTTTGTTGTTGGCAATCTTAGTACGAGTCAATTAAAAAAATCAAGAACAAAGTGGGTATGAAACTGGATCGTCAGGCTACTAGACCGACCTCTATCTAACAAATCGTTTAACTGTTACTGCTCAATTTTACTTAGACATTTGATTGAACACTTTAATTCACTTTTCATCAAAAATTACCGAGAGAAAGAGAAAGAGCAAGAAACGATACCGATGAATATTGCTCATGATCCGCGCCGGCCGTTTTGATGATTTGCTCAAACACATGCTAAGAACCTAACCGGCCTGCAATTCACCAGGCTCGTGACAAAATTGATATTGCAAATACATCAGCAAGAGCCAGAGAGAGATGATTTACCTCATGCGGCGGATTCCGGACATCTCTTCTGGCTGAACCACCAGTTGTTGGTTGTCTAGCCGAAAGACGACCCGTCCGTAGGCAGCGAAATACTGCGCTGCAAAGATCAACGTGGTGGTACCAGCAGCAAGTATCGCAGTGACATGAATGGTTCTGGGGCCCAAATCAGCCATTCGATCCAAAAATTTCATCCCTCTGATCACTGTGTGATCCCCAATTTGCAGCGTAGCAAATAGTTCGCCTTCCCCATCATCATCTCCCTCGACCTCTCGTATCTCAACAACTACTCCCGTATTGTTTACGAGATCAGTCATTCGAGCAAACAAACACGCCATAATCAGACAGGCAGCTGCCCAAGGGCTCTGGAAGCGGTATCTACAGTCTTCTTGGTTTTAGTACTTTTAGCCATGGATCAAAAGAAAAAATAAAAATAATAATCTTTCTAGATCCCCAGATGAAGAAAAATTCAACGCCCATCACAACCGCTCACATAGAAAAATTTACGTCACTCCGAAGATGTCAACCGTGGCGGCGAAGACCTTTCAAACTCTTCGGCTTTCTTCAACCACTTCCCTTCTAATTTCTTTAAAATAATGCTCAGTCAAAAGACCCAGTCCCGTTTCACAGTCAAAAAAACTAGATGAATATTTTCAGAAAAGAACATCCTACAAGCTAGGAATTGCAGATCAATCCCACTACGGCAACGATTGCTGTAATGTCATGAATGTACAATGTTATATTTAACTCTCACACCAAATAAATGCATATGGATTTAAACACGCATCTTCTTACCTTGAAAACAATGGTTACCGGGCAAATCTGGTGTGCTCTGAGCAAGTCCGTGTATCCTTTGATTCGAATTCGAAACGTTTGAGCTTCTTGCTGCATGCTTTCTAAGTTACTTGAGTAACGTAGCATGCATTTTTCGTCGTAGAAAGGGGCTGCTCATGAGTTACAGAATGAACAAAGGAACAACAGAAATCTTGGCGAAAGCATTGTATTGTTTGCACCATGCACTCTGTAATATATAGGAGTCTCCACGAATGAGCCCTCGTGCTGTGACCACAATTTTGTCGTTTATAATTGTTGATTTATAATGTGTTGGTCAAAAAAATTGAGGGAAATAAACATATAGTACCACTGCTTTGAAGTTTGTGTTTAAAAAAATACAACCTATATGAACATTGCATTAACAAATGAAATTGCTTGTAAAGACACCATTAATTTCAACCTTCGTTTTCCCTGTTTTGCTTTTTCTTTGGACCAAATATCATGTCTTCACTACACACGCAACAACTTGGACATGGTCACCGGCGGCTGGCAAACCTCAGCTATTTGAAGAAACAAATGGTGGATTTAGAGCTGACTAGCGTTTTTCCTTTGTCTTCCTCACTCCAAGGGTGGCTTTGGACATAAGCATGCAAGACGGCCGTTTATAGCCTCTAAATGAGGAGGACCTTGAATTTATATAAATTTATAAGCATCTAGGCAAATTATACTTTGTAATATAGTTCTTACAACTTGTTCTAACAGGTTCCAACTCAAAAAAACTGTTTCTAAGCAAATTACCTAGTTGAATAAAATCAATAAATAAAAACCAATTTTCAAGTTTCTTAATTCTGCAAAAGCAACTCGCGACAAAAAAACTTATTGGATTTACCATTTTTTTCTCAATGATTCAATGAAGTCTGAAGTCTGAATTATTTAACAAGTATGGTGATGACCATTTATCTTTTATTAATTTTATGCCATTAAGAAGAGGGGTTTGGAAAAGAAGCAAAATCATCAAGAATAACTTAGGAAGGTTGTGAATCAATATCTTAGGAATAACTTGGGGGCATGGCTTACACTTACACAAGCAAAATCATCTTGCACAAAATTAACTTCTCTAAGGATATGCTGAAAGAAAAAAAAACGCACAAACGATAAGGCTCGATGATGAATATCCCTGATAATAGTACGATTATTCCATGATATAGAACATGGACCAGCAATGCAGTCAATAAAGAGATAAAATCGCCTTTAATCCGGATTTTGTTGTAACCAACCTGCAAAGCATTGAGAAGAGCGTCCTTTTTCTTTTTCTTTCTTTTTTTGCGTTGGAGCAGATGCTCTATAAAATGGCATATGTTGTAATTTTCATATTTTGTAATGGTATTTTTGTTACATTTTGGTTTTTGGCCTTTTGCTAATTAGACTAAATTGTATTTCTTTCTACTAAATTAGTAAACTATATTATGGTTTAAAACTAAAGCTCCCAAAAATAGAGGTACTTTCAAAAAGTATAAAGATAGCAAGAAAATTATCCGAATTTTGTTGTATCCAACCCACACAGCATTGAGAAGAGCGTCCTTATTCAGCAATTCTCTTATTTGGTCATTTTATAAGCATTAGGCCCAAGGGGGATTAGGATCTCGAGCTCTCTGCATTTAACAACTATGCATTTATCCGCATTTCATTACATCTTGACCGTTCAAATAATCTAATGACTTAAAGTATGACAAGTCAAATTCCGTTAACATTGTTAAGTATCTAAAAGGGAAGGGGGTGGGGGGAAGAAATCGGGAGGAAGAAACCGAGGGTTGGGGTTCTGGGGGTTGGAGTTTATAAGAGGTGGTCATGGAGGAATGGGGGGAGAAGAAATTGGGAGATATATATATATATATATATAATTCATATTTTAATCAATTAAAAATAAAAAATAAAATGTGGGACACATAATGACATGTAGGCAACTAACAGAGAGATATGAAGGAATCACATTGTAACAAATTTAAAAGATCAGGGTATGTTATTGTAAAAATCGGAAAGGTATGAACTAATATGTCTTAAAGATGTAACCACATGGTACTAAACTATAATTAACATGTCTTCAGGGTCTTAAGGTTATATTCTAGCAGTATAGCCATGTGGCTATACTCTATAAATAGAATTTTAAAGGTACAGCTGCACGACTATAGTCTTTAAATAGAATATTTTACAAGTCTAGCCGTGCGGCTATACTCTATAAATAGACTATTTTAAATGTATAGCCTTGCGACTATACCCTTTAAATAGCATAATCTTGATTTCTCTTTTTTAATTATTAGGAGTTATATTTTAATTATTATATACTTAGTGAATAACTAGTATTTAAATATTTGATTAAATAATAAATAATAAATAATAATTACCATTTATTAAGTAATATAATTTACGAAGTTAATTAATATATTTAATTATTCACTAAAGAAATAATAATTAAAACATAATTATAGATGAAAGTAATTAAATAAGGCTAAAATCCATTTTTGGAATACTAAAATATTTGGGTACCCAAACCAAATTTCTAGGATTTTTCTTTAAATATTTAATACTAATTATTCACCAAAGAAATAATAATTAAAACATAATTATTAATGAAAGTATTTAAATAAGGATAAGATATTATTTAATTAATAAAAATAAAATTTTAAAAAGGACATTTTAAGAGTATAGCCGTTTGGCTATACTGTTCTATATAAATAGTATGGCCGCGCGGCCGGACTGTATAAATAGAATAATGTAGCAGTATAGCCGAGCGGCGGTACTCTATAAATAGAATATTGTAGCTGTATAGCCGCTCGGCTATACTCTATGCATAGAATTTTAAAAGTACAGCAAAATATAACCAAATACAACAATAACAGATCCGCAAGATCAAGATCTGCTAGATATGTGATGGTGAAAGAAATTGCAAGAAAAATAGAAAGGAAGAGACATAAAATGAGAGAGATAAACAACACAGAGAAGAGAGAGAGAAATGTGAAAGAAAAAGAGGAGAAGTCGGAGAGGAAGAAGAGAAAAGGAGAACCAATAAGAAAAAAAAAATATCTGTAAGAGAAAGAGGAAGAAGAAGAATAGGGAGAAGGAAAAGGGTCACGAGAAAAAAGATGAGAGAAAAAGAAAAGAGAAAGATAAGGTGGACTTGGGCTTTTTAGTTGGTGAAATGGGCCAGTAAACTTGGGATGTGTTTGTTTTTTTTTTTTTTTTTTTTTTTTTTTTTCTTCCCCCCGAAACTTGGGAGAGGGCTTTAAGCATTGGGTATTTGGTATATTTAAAAAAATATTAAGACAACGGGTCCAGTTTGGCCCAGTTCGATTTTTCCATTACAAGAATCGGAATCGGAACTGGACCAAATCGGTTTGGTTTGGTTTTTGATCAATTCGGTCTTTTTTTTGGTCAACCTGATTTTTTCAATCCTAATTCGCTCAGTTTTTCGGTTTGAATGTCCACCCCTACTTAAAATCACATAAAGTGGTTATATGGAGAAGTGATTCTCCAATCTATAATCAATCCTAAAAGAGCCTTTAATCAATTAAGGCATTTTAGAGATTTTGAATATTTTACCATTCTTTCTCTATATCTTTATATATAACTAAATGAAGAAAATGTTAAATGAGTAAACAAATTAATGGGTCAGATTTGTGTTTAAAATAATTTCACATGATTACTTTAAAACGCAACACATCGTCAAATATGACTTTATATGAAAATACGTGCATTCATATCAAATTAAATACTTTACAATCGAAAAATCAAACCAACATGAGTATAATACATTATTGGATTGGTATCTGATCCTCGACTTGACTTTTCTTCTTCATATAGTACCTTATTTTTATTTTATCTAATAAATTAAAAGTATTCTCTCTAAAAACATTCTATAGCCGTTTTCACTTCAAGGGAGGAAACCTATGTTCTTCCTCCTTTTTTCCCTTCTCTCTTCCTACCTTCTCCTCTCTTCCCCCATTTTTAGAGACAGAAGGTTTGCCTTATTTGTTTTCGTTTTGTTACAATTTTCCTTCACCTATTACAGGTTGTTGCGTCTCGACGTCGAATCTTCACTTGCGTTTCGGTGCCATATGGTGGTGTCACCATCCTTTTTACGGTTTCTTTATGTTTGGAATAAGTCGTAAAGACTCTTTGGATTTTTTGTGTAGTTTTCAACTATCATTTTGTGAGAGTTTTCCACTTCTCTTTTGTGAAAGTTTTATTTGTATTGTTACGATGTGCTTTTTTCAAGTGTTGTCTGTATTTGGTTGTTATGAGCTTACAATCTTAGTTGAGATGCATATGTCAGAGTTTCTTCAATCATACGTGATCGTTAATGGAGATGCACCAAATTGTCTTCATTTTGACGTTGGATCGCTCTGTTATTGTAATGATCTTTTATGGCTAGTTTGTATTGACCTTTTGTGGCTAGTAGCCTTCTTGGTTGAATTATGAATGCAATTCCAGAATTTATCAACAAATAAAAAATATGTTCATTTATCAGGAATGGGTATTGTAATGATTACAATTCTTATTTTTCATTTGTTTATTGACACACAATATTGGAATGATTACAATTCTTGACTTCCTATGCGTTTACTAACATATAATGAATAAAATTTATATGGTTTTCATGTAAAATCCATAATCAAATACACAAAATCATGAATGGAATCAACTAGGGGGGAATAGTTGATCTGATTCCCATACCTTGGTTACCTAAGTGAACAAGTTAACACAACTCACATCTAAATAAATAAAACCTAAATATAAAACATAAAATCCAAACACAATGACTAAACGTTAAATTTGACGTATGGCACCATTTGTTCTTACCTCCTTTTGGCTTTCAAAGTTTTTCTAAGCACACGTCTCCCAAAATCTTATTATTTCTCCCACTTTAACTATCACGCGCAATATAATTCCAAATTACGACTTTGTAACAAAAGTATAGATATGTAGCATATAAAGCAGTCTCATATTTGAGAATTTATGTGTTTTGAAGAAAACTCAGGTTGTATAACCATTACATCTTGATCTTAAGAAAGTATGATGGCTACAATTTTGAAAAATCATACCGAAATTCTAAAAAAACTATTATATGCCAATACTTAGATGTTATCCTTTATGAACAAATTCGTCTATGTCTATGCGTTTAATAAGTTATATTAATTTCAACATAAAATTGGGATACCAATTTGAAATAACCCTCAAACTTCGGAGGATTATATGTAGTTGATCTTGTTTTTTTCAAACATTTTATAAGCCTATAAGTTATTTTTCGTTTGGACATTTTTTCGGGGTAACATGTTTAGACCTTTGTTTGTTAAATAGACTAGCTAGATATGAATTTTTATTGTATTATCAAATTGAAGCTTATATTGTTTGTAACTTTTTATATTCTATATATATATATATATATATTTGGATATAATAGGTTAATGTGTCAGATTTGTGTTTGAAATAATTTCACATGATATATATATTTGGGAGTTTCACTAAAACACCCAAAATGGGGGCTGAAATTATAAAAAAACCCAACACCCAAAACACTTTATAAACACACCCAAAACCCATCATTACACACACTTAAAACCCATTTATAAACTCACCCAAAAAATATACAATTGTTGATTTTGTGGTTGATTTTGGGTGTGTTTCTATGTTTAAATAGTGCTTGGATTTTTTTATAAATACATGTCTAGGATTGGATTTATTTATAAATTTGTATATATATTTTTAATATAAACGATAATCTGAAACAATATAAATTAATCTAATTTACAAAGACATGAATTCAAACTTGGGTATAAGGGTCCGGGTTCACTGTCCTACCAATTGGCCTAACCCATGTAATTACACTTGATAGATATACTTTAAAACACAACAAATGGTCAAATCTGATTTTATACGAAAATACATGAATTCATATCAAATTAAATAATTTACAAGAAAAAAAGAATAATAATTTACAAGCGAACCCCAAAAGATGAACTTCAGAATACTCAAATGACGAGGGTTTTTTTCATATCAAATTAGCACAATGTATCAGTTTTTTTTCTTTTCTTTTCTTCCTTTTAAGTTTGGCTTGGGGGATGAGGCGTTAAGCCGAAATTAACCACAAAGCAAAGTAACTTTGTAAGGGTTAATTCAGCAACGAAGCACCAAGGAAAGTTTCGAGAACAGCCTTGCCGCCGTTGCTTTATTTGGTACCGTCCTGCGCGTTCTCAGTCACACTAGAGAATGCATAAAGCAAGTGGTCATTAGTATAACAATATTATTTAGTAGCTGATCCTCTAATTTAACTTTTCTTCCTCATATAGCACCTCATTTATATTTCATCCAATAAACTAAAAAGTTAACACGTCACACTTAAATAAAAATAAAAAACAAAACCCCAACAAAAAAAAAAAAAAAAAAACAAAAAAAAAAAATAAAAGATAATAAAAAAAAAGCAACCTAAAAATAAATATAAACTTAAAAGGCAAGGGACCAGACGTTAAATTTGACGTCTGGCACCATTTGTTCTTACCTTCTCTTTCGTTTTTCAAAGTTTTTCAAAGCATCTATCTCCAAAATCTCATTCTTTCTCCCACTTTAACTGTATTATTGGTGATTTATATTTCTTTTGTAACAAAAGTTTAGATATGTTGGAGATAAAGGGTTGGTAAGCATTTAGGCCACAAACACCTACAAAGATGGCTTATATACTTTTATTAGTTTTCGTCAACCATTTGCGATAAAAAGCCTTTCTAATAAGCAATTTCATATTTAAGAATTTTATGTTGTCTTAAGATTTCTTAATCTGAAGAAAGTAGGTGTGGTAAGATAAAGTGCAAGCGTTTAAAGGGGGAAACTGTGAGATGAAAGTTAACATAGTTGTTGTAATTCGGGGGAATTGGCAGGGGCTAGTTTTCATAGGGAAAGAGGATAGATTGTGAGTTGGGAAGAGATGTGTTTACACAAGTTTTAGGAAAAAGATGCAGAGATTGAAACAAGAGAGAAGAGAGACTGACGGCTACAACAATGCTTTGAGGTTAGATCGATAAGGTTTTTTTTTGTTTTTTTGTTCTTCCTTAATTAAAGTAAAATTTCCATGCAACATACATATTTCTCTCGGGCCGGAGAAAGACTTTTATGAAACGATGATAATACTATTTTGTTATTTCAATCAATAATGCTATGACACACATGATAACTCTTTCACGTGACATAACATTATTGATTGGGATAGCAAAACATGATATCCCCGTTGCAATTGAGTTTTCTCCTCAAGCAGGACCTAAGAGAAGCAAACTTTACTACAAATATAGGCCATCATGAATTCACTTCACCTCACGTTTGGGTATATGGTGTACCTCGAGAAGCCCTCCAGGAATTGAACTCTGTCTGATGTTACTGGTGGGCTGTGCTCGTGGTTTTGACCTGTAACTCTTGTGTCTTACCCCAAAAAGAAAAAGTAAATTTTCTTTAGGCTTACCCTAAAATAAAACTGTGAAGTGCCATGTGGTGTGGAGAAGAAAAGGTAGCAGAGAAAAGCTAAACAGAGGATCCGCATCTATGAATAAAATGAATGGATTAGTGGGAGAAGTTACCTTATGTATATATGTCTAGGGTGTAGCATCTCCGTGGCAGGGAATGGATCCGCATGCCTTCAAAATAAGGATGGTGTAGGCCAGAAGGGCTAAAGAAACCAGGTATATGAATGCGTTTCTCTGGTAAACTTGCGCCCTATCGTTCTTCAATATTCCCTGCTGCTGCGGCGGCGACTGCGGCTGATCATACATCCTGGTTTCGACTGAGGAGGAAGTGACCATCTTGTGGTTAAGCAAATCTTGCTTTAGAAAGGCCGAGGAGTAATGATGTTTTGTTCGCTCCCAATTTGTGACATAAGACTGAAATGGGATGGCGAAGATGACGCAAATCAGACAGGAGAGGGAGAAAGGAATCCACCAATACTCGCACGACATGTTGCTGGGATTGTGGAAAACAGACGCGAATATGGCGCCTTGGAAGAAAATATAACCCATCACCAGCAGCATCATAGTTGTTTCCAGATCCGTCACTGTTCTGCCTAGTTTTTCGATCCTCTCTTTCAGCTTATTCGATTCACTCTCTTGTTCTTTCGATTGAAAATCCATTTTCAGTTTTCTGAAGCTTTGGTGTTGATGAATTCTGGCCTTCCTGCAGATGAGATACCAGTAATATAACTAAGCGGTAGTGGTTGGGTTTCTCGAAGGAAAAAGGCCCATTCCATTTCGTCCAAAGTGAGAGAATAATTTTTAATTTAATTGATTTGCTATCTGTAGAATTTTAAACTTGTTTCCTTTTTTTAATACCACTAGCTTTCAATCGTCTTAAATATCATTCAAACGTGTTATTATTTAATGGTGACAGCATGAGCTGTACGACTAGAACCCCCCAAATCACCGTCCGTTAGGTCAACTCTTAGCAGCCCACGTCGAGCTTTTTGTCGGGTAACAGGTGTTTGAACCCGCCTCGGCCATTTCATTTGTTTCCGTTGAATATATAACAAAACAAAAGGCCACTTCAGATGATGACGAAGAATAAACCAAAGCCCTGCTCAGGGCACGTCCGGTAACGCATCTCAACCCTAAACAAACACCCCCTCATTGTCGTAACTTCCCTTCTTCTTTTTCACTGTGTGCAAAACTGACCACCAACGCCTATCATCCTTATACTACCATCAGCTTCACACACACACACACAAACTCTATCTCTCTCTCTCTCTCTCTCGCCGCCGCCGTGGTACCAAGCCTCTCTCTGATCGCAGATATCTACCTCTCTCAAACTCTCTCCAAGTCTCTCGGGGAAAGTCAAATTGTGGCGGTGGCAGTGGTGGCGGAGAGTTTGATGGTGGAGGCTGTTTCAGGTTTGCAGGTGGTGGTGGTGGGTTTGATTGTGGCGTGGGGTATTGATGGTGGAGGCTGTGTCATGTTTGACGGTGGTGATGGGTTTTACAGGGAGCAGCTACTTCCCAACAAATTTATATCAAATTTCTACTTTTCTTGGTAAAGTGGCGGGCCATAAAACCAAACTTCTATCAAACTTCGGACTCTGCCTAATTATTTTAAGGATTTTCTGGATCAGGATTCAGGATGGCCTTCTTTGACACGACAAATGGCGTGCAAAGTGGAACTTTTATATAATGCGTTAATTTTTTATTGTACGAAATATTAGAATAAGGTGAAGGAAATATGATTGACGTTGGATAATTTCAAACTTCGCATGTGAACATTGTCACGTTCTCAATAACATTAACATATGTCTTATTTTTTTTAAATATACACTATGCTTTAGTTAAAATTGTACCCAACAAAGAAATAATTAATTAAAATTGCACGCCTTTTTCTTCAAAAACTAAACAATTTAACTTATTATTAAGAATATACAAATTTTGTATCCTGCCCAACTTAATTTTTATTTTCAAATTTTATATTATGTTTTTAATGTTCAATATTTTAAAATGTGAAGTGAATTGTCTGATTTATCTATAATATTAACAACAACAACAAAAATTAACAAAATTGACGGTAAGAAAAAAAATAAAGCACAAATAAAAGTAGAAACATGAAAATTTAAAAACTAAATTAGATTACTAAAACAAAACTCATGTAAACCTTACTATAATTTGGAAATATTTTTGCTCACCATTTTAACCCAAGGTGTATCTTTACCATCTTTCTCAACACTTGACATGTATTCATAGGAATAACCATAGTTAACTATTTGTTTTGTATTTGTGGAACCATAGTTATGATCATGAACACGTGTCAAGTGTTGAGAAGAGTAGTGATGATATCGATGATGCATCTTGGATTAAAGTGGTGAGCAAAAATAATCATATATAATTTAACCCTTATGTTATATATATATATATATATATATCTTTCTTTGTTAAAAGTGAAAGTTAAATTTCAAAGAGACGGACCAGTGATTCACTACTAGCAAGCAACACCAATATTGTTCATAACTTAACCACCTACAAGACCCAACAGATATGAGATTTTATCACAAAAAGTCTCGGTGCTATTAGGAGTTGAACCATTCATTATAAGTTGTATTTTATTTATTCAAGTTTTCGACGTGATACTTATATTCTTTAACAAGCACAAGTAAACTTAGTAAACAAACTCTTTTGTAGTTTTTCGTAAATACATGACATTTCGAAAAATACAGAAAAATTAGAAATTAAATGTGTTTTTTTTTCTACTTAATAAAAAAAAATAAAAATAAAATGGAATTAAAAGCCATAGAATACCCATAATTACAAGAAATGGTGGTTGGCCCAGGTGGTGGCGTAGACGTGGGCCTTCTACCAGATACGCCATGGAATCTCAAACAGCTGTAGGTGATTTATATGAAGAAAAAAAACTTGTCCAAGCTGTATGTCTAAAGAAAATATTAAGTATTTGTGGGTACTTAGAAGTTGTTAAGCCCCTATTTATAAATAGATTATTTTGTAATTAAAAAAGACTGTTACATATATGGTTATTCTTTACGCAATGTCAAATTTGATATTTTTCTTTTGTTGTTCTTACCTACTATTTTTAAGTTGGACACAATACCATGCCTGCAATTTTTTATTTGTTTCATTAAATATGAACAAGAGGAGCATTTTTTTATTAATTATAAAATTATAAATTTGTCTTGTCTACCTCAGAGACGGAGACAATAATTTAGACAATAATTTAGATATACCTAAGAATCCTATAAAACTATGGCCTTTTTTTCTTCGGGTCCAAAGTATTTTTCTGTATTTAAGAACTTCAAGTCAATAGAATCAGTACAAGTATATACAAAAAAGCTTAGGCCATTACACTCCAAAGTATAACAATAATTCATTTGAATGAAAAACAAGGAGACGGGGTGGGGCAAGTGCCACCGTCGTCATTGGTCTATCTCATTAGGGTAACGAGAGACATAGACACAAATTGGTTGTATGCAAGAATATCTACAGAATATGAACATTTAGAACAAACAAAAAGAAATTTTTAATTATGACGTGTATTTTGATGGTCAAAATCTTCTAAAATGCAGGGAAAGGAGAAAAGGTAGATTAATTTAAATAATGCAGATGATGAAAAACAAGACTCGTACGTAGTCATTCTGGTACATAATGATGGGATCGCAAAATCATATATCCTTGTACACGATGGAGCAGGTACGTAGGTATAAAATTCACTAGCAATTTCCAATTTCACAAATGTGCGGAAAGAACAATTAAAACCGTACAAAGCATTAATTATAAGCTTTATTTTGATCCCAAACAAACAATCCACGAAAAGCTGAAAGGAAACACTAGCTAGCATCCAGTACTGCATATATCTATCATTCAGCTTTGTTAGTGCTTACATTTAGCCCCTGGTTTGCGAAGAGTCTTCATGCAAACCAAAACCACGACGACGAAAACGCCCAGAAAACAAGCCATGCAAATGGCGAAGCAGATTATACGTATATGCCTTCTAAAACTATGAACACGTTTTCCAACGGTAACCTTTTGAGATTTTCCTGTCTTGAGCATGACTAATTGATTATTGACCTTATCGCACTGAATCGAGATCTCGTCTCGCTGGGTGATGATTTTTATATATTCCTCTCCAATTAAATACAATGCAACCAAATTAGGGAGGGTTGCTAATGCAGAAAGGCTGATGAGCAGGCTACGGTCTAAACATCTGAAGACTGAGTCACCACTTGCAATTGCCGTCAGAATAACTCCTTGAAAGACCAAGTAGAAGTTTCCAAGTTGGAAGCCATTTGATTGAAGATAACTGAGACGACCATCATGTTCCTTAAGTAAAGTTTTTTTCTCTTTTATTTTATTCTCTAGGGCTTCCATTTGTTGTTGCCTTTGTTGTTGTTTTTGTTGTTGCCTTTGTTGTTGTTGTTGTTGTGGTTGTTGACGTTCAGGAGTGGTAGCCCATGAGTACACACACTATATATTTAGCGTATAGCCAGCAAAGATGTTTGTGTGTAATCAATCACAGCTGAGAGAGCCCGCAAAATTGTTTTCGTCTAGTAACAGCCACAGAGAGAGAGAGAGAGAGAGAGAGAGAGAGTGAACGCTAGAGCCAATACTAATCGAGAGTGATCTTCTGATACAAACAACTATATGTATATATAGCAGTTTTTCTATGTCCAGGATGTCTTAAATTTTTTATTTATTTATAAATGTACACATCTTTTTTAAGGTTATCTAACAATGCATTTCAACCATTGGAATCTTTTATACTTTTTTATCTTGCTTTTTTAAGAGTCATCCCTTCTCAAAATCATGCAAAAAAAACACAATTTGTTAGATAAAACGGAAAAGATCATTTAAGCTTCTCACTTTCACCAAGTTGATGAAGTTTTCTTGTCTATTCAGAAAAATTGAAATACTTACTATATGTCGTTTAGAGAGAGAGAGAGAGAGAGAGAGAGAGAGAGTAAGCAAAGGAAAAAACTTTGGCTTCTTACATATAAGGACGTTCCTCCTTGCAGACAAATCACAGTCATACATGTGAGGACTTAAAATTGAACCATTCAAGTAGCATAAATTTTAATCCAGTCATATATTAAATCGTTTATGATATGAACCATTCAATTTTAAGTCCTCAATGCATAATTTTTTTTTATAAAAGTAACTCGTTTGACCATTTTACTATCATTGCTATTATTTTCATTATTTATCGAAAATATGGTGCTTTTCTATTTATTTAATCTCAATTAGATGGCATACCAAATGTTTTTCGATTTGCCTTTTTATTGAATTCATAAGATCGATCACATCATAGATTTGGATACAAACGAGTGATTGATTACTATAAAGTAATATTGATCAGCAACAAAAATTTATCATTAGATTAGAATGAATACCCAACAGACAATAATTTTGGATTAGGTGGATGTTTTTTATTTGTTTGTTAGAAGGAGCCTCCTTAGCTTTGTCTAAATTTTAGTTTGAAGGGTCTCTGAAAACCATGCTCCCCAACAGACAATAATTTTCTTGGTATGTCTGTAACACTAGGTTAGTTTAAATTTGTGTAATTTCGTCCTCTGCTAAGGGCGTAGGCCTTCTTCCAGAAGGTCAAGCCACGAACGAATGTCAAGCAGCCGTAGGTGATTTCTATGAACGAAAACTTGTTCTTATGTGTAGCGTGTGAAGGAAATATTAAGTATATATATTTGTGGGTACTTCGGAAGTTTTTAAGCAACTATATTTTTAATAGAATAGTTTTTAATTAAAAAAGACTTTATTTTTTGGTCGAAATTTAGAAAGACTTATCTCCCTGGACTTTCCGTGTATTGGCTTCAGAAAGTCATCACTGCAAGCTAGCACTAAAAAAATATGGATGATGCGCGCAACGTTGGAACCATTACATGCAAAAACGACGTTCTTTTTTATGCCCCGGGAGACACCTCCAATACGCTGGCATTAATATTATTGCTTGCTTCCCTCGGTCGTGGTCTTTTTATACTGTCTTTAAATCCGAAATAGTCATTGCGCTACTTTTGGTCAAAAGACTAACCCACAACTAATTATATTGAGATATAATATTATATTTTCACATAAATTATATGGACTACAACTCTTGAGATTTATCATATTTACATATAAACCCCCTGAAGCTATATGTGTTTTCACATTATTCTTGGGCTTCTATAAACTACAAGATCCCGTGAGATCTTAACATGCTTTTGCATGATCGTTACTTTTTTATTTTATTTTTAGTTGCCACGTTCAGGAACAAAGAGGGGCTATTCTCACTCACACACGGTGCCATGGAAAATTGAACTCGCATACCACTAGCATTCACGACAACAACTCTACTGCTGAGCTAAGACCATGTTTGCCACAATCTCCACTTCTATATTGAGAGAGATCAGTCTGTCCGGAACTTGGAAGGGTAGGTAATATTTTAGGGGCCACGTGGTATCATTGGACCAAAAGAGAGAAGGGTGTATACCCTGGAAGAACGGATACGACGAAAGCTTAGGCCCAAGCCAATATAAACCAAATAGCCCAACCTAACTAGCAATATGAAATCCAAATAGGACAAAATACAAGCTAGCAACGAGGAACGTAAAGAAACACACGTTTCAAAACAAAACAACGAATCTATCTAAAGCATTGGTGAAAATTTAAAAAATTCGAAATTTCATCCAACAACCACAGAAGATTAGTGAAGCACCATATCATATGATCAAGAGAATTGCACAGATGCAAGAACATCATAAAGGAGCAGAAGAACCTGTAAAAAGAAGATAGTCTTCTTCAACACAATAGAAACGTCACCACTACTTCCATCACCACCACCATTTTTATTATCTTAATCTCCTCTTCTATCACATGCTTAACACATAATACTTCCCATTATGTATATTTTAATATTTATCCACACGTCTTTGTATGTTTTTCCAAACGATTTAGCATTTTTTTATACTCAAAACAATTTAAAAATATTATTTATCAAAAATCACTTTCAAGTACTTTTCCAAAAGAACTCTTTGATTTGTCATTAAAATTTTGATACTCTTTTAATGTTACTTTTAAAGAAATGCTTATTAGCGAAAGTGTTTTTTAACAAAATAAATCCCAAACGAGCCTTTCATAAGTTTTATAATTCTAATTATAATTTAATTTAATCAGAAATTGTGTTGAAACGCAGCGTTCCGTCTCGGACAGAGAGATCTAACATTGGAGAGGGAGGGAGAGTCGAAAAGTCGGTCTTCAAATTAACCCTAGAAATGTAACCTTAACCACGATCTCTGGTAAAAAAAGATTTAGGCGGGAAAACCCTCGAAACAACATTTCACCCCAACTTTAATTGCCCACAACTCTCCCTCCCTTTTCATTGAATTTCATCATCCGCTTCGTTTCTTCTCCCTCTCTCTCTAAGCATATCTTTGTCCGTGCGGTATGGTTGGGGGTCGCCGGAGGGGGGAGGCGAACGACGTCGTCAAAGAAGAAAAGAGGTCAGCGAAGGAAGACGTGGAAGTGATGGTTTTGGAGGAAGAAGAGGAAAAAGAGGAAGATCCTCTAAAGGCTCAGGTCGCGAAGCTTCGTCAGCGATGGGAGCTGGCCTCCGTCCTCGACTTCTTGATCGTAAGATCCTATTTTGTTGGTTTCACAGAGAGAGGTCGCATTTGTTATTCTGCATTTGTTTTCGTTTTGTAATGTTGGTGTTGTTTTGGTAGGTTTTTGAGCCAGTGGTTGGGAAGGCTGCGAAAATATCAGCTGAAGAGATCGAGATGGGTTTGATAAACCCAGGCGGTGCACTTGCTCAGCTTCACATTGCCCTGTTGAAGGTTAAAAAATTTCTTTTATCATATATATTAGTTTGTTTGATTTTACTATATGCTTCTTAAGTTGTTTACAACTTTATATGAAACACCATTGCCTCTGGAGCGATTAGAATGTGTGAGCAAAGGCTTATAGTTGTTGGTGCATTAATGTGTTTTACATTTTGCTATTACTCATTGGCATTGAATGGGCATCTGATTTGGTGTTTGTTGTTTTCATTTAACGAGATATGTGATTGTTGCGAATATATGGAATATTGTTAGATGAAGACAAGGGTGAGAAATGGTGTGTAATGGTTTCTTTTGCTTTGTTAATTTTTGGGGGATTAGGCAGAATTGTGCCTCAATGGATTTTCTTAAGTCATGGATTTGTAGAATGTGATACATATGGTAAATATGAGAATTTAATTATTTAAGTGATATATTACTATATATGTTCAGTCTAGTAATGCTGTTTTGCCTAATCTTAACTTAAGAATCTAATAGTTGAACTGTGTCTTATTCTTTCATTCAAAGATTGATTTTGTTTACCCAAGTTTAAATATCTTAGCTGATTCTTTCTCTCTTTAGACTATGATAGATGATTGACTGAATAATCGGTTTTGGGGAAGACAAAAATGAAGTCAGTTTTATTACTGATTACGGAGAGTTTTTGGACTAAAAAACAAACAGGATAGTCTTGGTAGGAATACATCGATTTCAAAAATCATAAAGAAAACAATTTGATTTGTTTTCAGCTGGGTCTGAAATCCCTACCTATACAAAATATTCGTCTTTTCTTGTTTTCTTTCCTTTTCCACATATGATCATCTTCATCTCATTCTAACCTGTGTTCTTTCCAGGGAATACCACCTGCAAGTAAAGCATTGGATGGCTCTGATGCATGGGTGACTGTGCTTTGTAAGAAACTTGCAACATGGTGGCCATGGGTGAGTTGTTTTAGAATCTAGGAGTTTGACTCCTTTTGCCCCCTTTCTTTATATAGCCTGTGTATAACCTGCAGCAATATATTTTCTCTTTACTGCAGGTTGCTGAAGGGGAGATTCCGCTAGTGGCAGCTAAACGGTATTGACAATGTGTTAGTTTGACTGTATTTAATCTGATTTAGTTTTTTTTTAAATCAACTTTAATTTTTGCCATTTGTGCTGTTTTTGCAGAGAAGAGATATCTCGTTACAAGGAACTCGATCCAACAAAACGCTTACTACTCTTAAAAGCACTTTGTGAACTCAGAGCTGATGTACTAAGTCCTAGCTCTTTTGTCCTGTATTTGTTTCTATATGTCTAGGTGGTTTACATGCTTTTTAACCATTGGATCACCTAACTTTATGTTACAATTGCATTATACCTGAACATGTGATTATATGTTGGAAGTATATATGGGAGTTTGATATAAGTAAATTTTGTTGTTGTTGAAAGATGGTGTGATATAAATAACTCTTTTTTTTTGTTCCCAGCAAGATGATGCATTAGCTTATATTAATGATGCTCTGAAACAAGGAACTGAAGTTTCTTTCTTTCGCAAAAGTAAGATAGGAGGAGATGGAAATGGAACTTCCTATTGGTAATATTTTGATATGTTATTAATTTTATGCCTTTGATAGCACAATCAGTTGTAATACCAGTTACTGCATTCATTTCAGGTACGAGGGAACTACGATTACTGGTCATAGATTATACAAGGAAGTAACTGCCCTTGAGTCAAAGGCAAAGGGCAGGGGAAAAGGATGTTTAAACCTAGCAAATATTAGTCTCCAGTGGGAAACACTGGCAACCAATCTCGAGGAATTTCGTAAAGTTGTAGTAAGTCAAAAGTTTTGTTTATCTCAAGACTAAAATCAATATTCAATTGTTGGTAGACTTCTTGTTCACCGGGGTTTTGTACTTTGTTTTATGAGTATTATTAATAAAATTTGTTTCTCATAAAAGAAATTATCCCTTCCCTGTCATGTAGGATGAACTCTCATCAAGCAAAGTTGTAGCAGATGTTTCTGTTGCTAAGACTATTGAAACCAACGCTATTCCTGTTCTTGAGAAACTTCAGAAGGTAAACTTTTGCAGTGGCTGTTAATTTTGAAATTGTGGGTACCTTCGTTAGCAGTGAACCTTATGCAACAGCTTAGGCTTGTGTTGTTTATACTAAAACTGTTGTATTCTACAGAAGAAAGAGAGGGCACTAAAGCAGAAAGAAAGGCAAGAGAGGCATCTGAATAATTTGAGAAATTCTTGTGGTGCTGGAACTACTCGTTCCTGTCGCAACCGTAGGCCTGTCAGCTACACATTTGGTATGATGAAAATTTTGTTTGGCTAGCTCCTTCTCAACATGTGACATTGCTCCAATAATTTTGATTGCATCAAACACTGGCCCTAACTCTAACTGATTGTTTATAAATGATGTCTGGGAATTTAGAGGAGTTTCAGGGTAAGGTTTGAACTTGAGAACAGATATTTTATTTCTTTATCCGTTATGATCAATGATTGTTAATTTATTCTGTATGTATCCTGTTATCACTCTATACTTCCTTATCTCCTTATTTTTTATCCTTACATTCTAAGAGAGATTTTGTTTTGAATAATGTGCAGATGAGTACGATCGGGCTATTCATGAGGCTATTAAAGTAACAAAGTAAGACTTCTATAATAGTTCTGGATATTTTGCATAGTCCCCATTTTTTGTGACCCTCCTTGCATATTGCATGGTTTCAAGTACATTTTGTATTCTTGGAAAATGATTTTCATCAGCATATGAAGGTTACTACTGAAAGGATGTTATTGTTCTGGATGTATGCAACATTTTTTTCACAATTTTCTTTCATGTCTGTTCGTTACTCTAAAACTTGTTCTTGATTCTTTATGTGGCCTCTTTGTGGCCAAGTCTGCTAGTTTGTTTCCACATTATATTAGATTTCTCACCAATTGTAAATCATACTTGGGGTCCAGCGGGAAGAGAACTGCCGACGAGAAAAGGCAAGAGGGTAAGCGTAGAAGAAATGGCACTGACACTAATAGTGCCCCTGAGAGAGACACAAACTCAGAAGACAATTCAGATAAAAAAAGTGATTCCAATGACAGTGACGCCAATGATTCTGGTAAGAAGGATGACTCTGCGGGCAGTGACACTGCGAGCGACAGGGTTGAAGAAGTTGCTAGTGATGACGATGATAACAATTGGGATGATGGTGGAACAAAGGATGAAGATAAGGGTGACCATAGTGACTCAGGCAAATCTGAGACAGACAAGAACCATGCTCAAACTGATAGTATTGTCCTAAAGCCTATGGGGGTGCGCTGGAGTAAAAGACTAGCTGGAGACACTAGCCATCCAGTTATGGAAAACAGAAACTTGGGCACCAAGAATAGGTCGAGACAAAGACCCATCTGTAACTCTGCTCTTGATTCTGTTGTAAGACAAGACTCCGATGATGAGAACTCATCGGAACATGCAAACGGTGAGATAGTGGGACACGACGAATTGCCAGTTACTGATCCAGAAGAGGTCAGTGAAAGCTGAAAGCATTCTAAAGCAGAACCACTCAGGTCATTATACAGTGTAAGTTGATTTTCCTCAAACTTTGTATTCAGGAGGAAACTTTTGGAACAATCGTTTGTAAATGCAATAGGACTTCTTTTTGTTTCCCATGGCATCCATCATGTCTCAGTTTCAGAAATTGATCTGTTCATGCCGCGTAGTCCCTGCTAAATCCGTTTTTGTTTGTATTTACTGGGACACCATTGTTAATTTATGCCAGATGATTTATACTAATTCATCTGCTAATTTCTGGGGATGTGAAGCTTGATTATTTATGCATCATTTAATGTCACTTAAAATTTTCTTCATGACATCAAGTTATGCAGATATTGAAATTGGGTAACAGTAGAAACTCACCAAAGCATAAATTTATAGTAAAATTTTAGAGCAGCTGATAATTATTGCAAATTATGGGATGACAAAGAGCTCTCAATATTCTCTCTCAAATTCATTAACAATTACACTCTTAATCAAGGCAATTAGCATTTAACTATCCACTAATCATGGTCCCAGCTCCTTCATCAGTCAAAATCTCAAGCAACAAAGAATGGGGCACTCTCCCATCAACAATGCTAGCAGTCTTCACCCCCTGAGCCAAAGACCTTACACAGCAATTCACTTTTGGTATCATACCCCCACCAATTGTCCCCTCCTCCACCATCTTCTTCACTCCCTTGATGTCAATCTCCTTCACCAAGCTAAACGCGTCGTTTCGATCGCTCAAGATCCCCGCCACGTCCGTCAGCAGAATCAGCTTCTCCGCCCCCAGCGCCGCTGCCAGCTCCCCCGCCACCGTGTCCGCATTGATGTTGTACTGCTGCCCCGTCTCGTCCGCCGCCACCGACGCGATCACGGGGATGTGGCCGTCGTTCACGATCGACCACAGCACAGTGGGGTCCACCCGAGCAACCTCCCCGACGAAACCGAGCTTAGCGGCGTTCGGGGCGGGTCGGGCGGTGACGAGGCGCCCGTCGAAGCCGCAGAGCCCAATGGCCTTGACCCCGGCACGGTCGATGAGCGAGACTAGGTTTTTGTTGACTTTTCCGGCGAGGACCATGGAGACGATCTCCATTGTGGCGGCGTCGGTGACTCGGAGGCCGTCGTGGAAGCTGACCTCGATGTTGAGGCGCTTGAGCCAGTGGTTGATCTCGGGCCCACCGCCGTGGACAAGGACGGGCCTGAGGCCGACGCATGAGAGGAGGACGAGGTCGTTGACGACGGAGGCCTGGAGGGACTCTGATTTCATGGCGGCGCCCCCGTACTTGACGACGATGGTCTTGCCTCGGAATTTTTGGATAAAGGGGAGAGACTCGGAGAGGATGTCGACTCGGAGCTGACCCGGAGTGGTTGGGGCTTGTGAGTCAGAGAGCGAGTTGCGGATTGAGAGAGAGAATGGGGCTTTGGGACGACGGAGGGTGAGTTTGTTCGGGAGATTGAGGGGCGGAGAAGGGTTTAGTAGGGTTTTAGCTGCCAACATTTTTGAGTGAGGCAGTAGAAGCAAGAAGCAGGGAAAGGGTTTGTGGAGGGAGAGTGAGAGTGAGAGTGAGCTTTTCAGAGACTGAAAAAGCAGGGAGGAAGGAGAAGGAGAAAACGAAAACCCACGATTTTATTCTAGTTTTTTTAATCAAGGGTTTAAGTTGAAGGTAGCAATCGAATCAGATAACGAGCGAAAGCAGCATCATTGCCTACTCAAAATTGTTCCAGGTAGCAATCGAATCAGATGGCAAAGAATTTCACAGGGAGATTCTCTTACCTGTTTACCTCTCTCACGGGTTAGGCTGTAAATAAACTTTCCTAAACTTTTAATAAAATAAAATATTAAAAATAAAAATAAAAACACTTTCCTAAGAGATGAGAATGTAGGATGTTAATTCCCAATGTTTGATAAATTAAAGCACTAGTAAATATTATTTTCTCTCATTTCTATGTTGGTTAGTAGAGTATTATGAATGAAAAGTTGTTCAATTTTTTAATAATATTTTTGATTTTATTATTATTAAAAGTTATTAATATGAAGAGTTTTTTAAGAGTCAAAAGTGATATTTAAAAATAATAACATGGGGAAGTTAGTCCAAAAAATTTGCATTAAATGTTTTTTCAAGTGGGGACAAAAAAATTCTCAAAGTGAGCCAGGAGTATGAAATTCCCCATAGAAAGTCCATACTTATGAGTCTATAATTGAATTCCCAAAAGTGTACTTATCAAATATTGAAATGCAATTTGAAATACATTCTCAAGCTCCTAAATTTTAAACCAGACGGACCCTTTACGCTTAGAAGTGGCTTGGCCCCATAAAAGTTGATGGTTAAAAATTGACCCAAGAAGGATTGATTGGTAAAAAACTTTGCTTCTTTATATGTATCCAATTATTTTGGTATTTATACGACGCTTTTTGGACTAATAATTCATCTACTTTTATAATACAAAAAATTATTTAAAAAATTATTCACACAAGATAAAATGTTAAAATGATCTAGTCTCCCAAAAATTGGATAAACTAGTCCAGTCACTGTTTGAACATAAAATAACTCTTATATCACTGTTGGACAGTGACTTGAGAGTTGTTCAATATCACTACCCGAAAGTGACATAAAAGTTATTTCATATCATTATCAAACAGTGATTGGATCCATTTGTCTAATTTTTTAAGGACTCTATTTGTTTTTATATGGTAAAACCCCTTTATAATATGAATGAAAGACATAATATAGTACAAATACCACTACCCCGCTACAATACTCATTCCAAAAAAGAAAATATGCCTCCCTTTAAAAAAAAAAATCCACGAGTTGAATTATTATTATTATTTTTTATAAAAGAATTTATAAAACGAAGATAGTTTTTTCGTTTTAAAATAAACGAAGATAGTCTTTAAAGAAATATGATGTGATCCTATAAAACAAATTTCGAAGAAATAGGAAAGCCATGATTTTTTTTTTAAAAGGGAGAGTAAATTTTGTGTATTTCAATTATTATTGGAACTCTCAATGGACACGTGTAGGGCTGCTGTGGGAGAGTTGTTTGGGCCAAAATCTGGCGCACCCAGCCCAACACTAAAGGAGCCCAGAGTAAAAAAGGGTACATGGTCCAAAATCTGGTTTGAACAAAATAAGAATCAAAGGCCCAGAATCCATAAAGACCCAAGTTCGAAATCTATCAAAGACATAACAAAACTTGGGCCTTAGGAAAACAGAAAGAGAAATCAGCCCAAGGCTCAAAACTGGGCTTGGCACAATTAAAAGGGGAGCAGACCCACGTGACGTTTTCTGACTTATAAAAGTCAATATTTTCAACTGGGGTTAACAAAAGCAAACGGCTAGGAAGAAACATCTCTGGATCTTTACCATCAGAAGATCAAAATCTGTTTTTTTATATTTAGGGATATTGATTTCACTCTGGAAGAAGGGACCATCTTTCAAGAGATAAGCAAACTTCAATCTCAGAAAGAGATAAGCAGTAAACAGGGAGCTGTTCAAAAGGGGAATCAAACTAACCATCACGGTTTGAGTTCTCTCAAAGGGGCAGTTGGAATTTAAGAAGGATTAGGTTCTATTTCAAGAAAAACAGGGAAGTGATTGCCTCTGAATTGACTATTGAGAGCCCATTTGCCAGAATTGATAAAACCCTCTTTCTTTACACTTGAAAAATGAAAGATCTTTTTTTTGGGAAATTACCGCCCATTATTTAAAAGAAAGAAACCCTACTCCAAAGCATTTATTATATAAACAAGAGGGAGTGAACAGGGCAAAGGACAATCAATTTAACACACTCGATTCATCAATCAAACAAACAAAATCAACCAAAAAGTTCATTTGAACTCCAAGAGAAACCAGCTTTAAATTTCCAAAGTTTAGACTTAGAAAATAAGTCATTTAAAATGAGATCTCTCTCGTTACAAATTTGGTTCAGCAAAAGCCAAGACAGGCAGAGTCTGAGTTTTTCCCATATATGAAAACCTCAACAAATTTCACAGTGCAGTCCTTAGCACACTGAATCCTCAAGAACAGTCACTTCTGCCCATTCAGATTGAATAAGCCGCAGTTCTGCCCACTCAAAAGCCTTACAAAGCTCGAAGTAGATTAAAGCTCTGCAAAAATTGAACTTTGGTATCGATTCACAGCAAAAGTTTAGCAGTTGAAGTTTTTGACAGTTCAGTCCAGCCCAGACATATCCAATCCAGCCCGGATTAGAGCCTTCTATCTAGGCAGAAATGGAGTTCCAATTGTATTTTGATTTTTCTAGCGTTGATATGTACATTTATGGTTTTGTAAAGGTAGTTCTGCCTAAAACAGTCCAATTTCTATTAATCATTCGGGCAAGAACAATCGTTTTTATACTGAGATAAATTATGAAAGTCCTCATCAGTCTGAGGCATGAAAAGAACTTACTTGGGAGATATTCCTCACCCAAATTCACAATCGTTTGTTTTAGAAATCAGTAACTTGGGGCGCAAGTTATCTATTCCAGAAGAAGTCTGCTAGAATTTTCATTGCTAGTAGTGACACGCTTATACACCAAAGAAAGCTGACTTGTTGACCAGTTAATGGTTTCCAAGGCAGTAGAGAACTTTGCCTTCCATCTCAGGAGTAAACACAAAACGGGTAAACAAGAGTATGAATTTACACTCAGCTTTGGGCGACTTGGGCTAGATTTAGGGGTGAGCATGGTTCGTGTTGGATTGGTTTTTGCCTCAAATTAGAACCGATTCGGTACTATTCATTAGGTTTGGTTTGGTTCGGTTTTAATAAAAAAATTCAAAAACTATTCGGTTCAAGTTGAACCAGTTTCGATTCGGTGTTGAACCGGATTATAAAAATTATTTTTTAATACAATTCTCAACTGAAATATTATTATTATTTACTTGAAAATTAACAAATTATTCAATTTCATATAAAAATAAATATTAAACCTAGAAAAGAGATATATTTTGAAATTGAACTTGGATAAATATTTTTTTTGGTTAAATTAAAAATATAGCATTAAATATAATTATATATTGTTTTAATTTGACTAGTTCTGTTCGGCTCGTTCCGGTTTTTGAAGACATGGAATCAAATCCAAAACCAATCCATACCGGTCCGGTTTGATTTTTGACTGATTGTTGACTTTTTAGTCAACTCGGTTTTTTTCCGGTTTGTTTCGGTGCAGTTCAGCTCGGATTTCCGGTTCGCCGGTTTGAGTGCCCATCGCCAGCTAGATTCTCTATAGCCTAAATTGTACTCGTATATATACCATCCCACAATACAAAACGCACACAACATCTCCAAATATTTTAGCAGTTTTGTTTGTCCAGACATCTCAGTCCACCACTCTACTATTCTGAACGCGACCCGACCCGACAATGTCCACACCCGAATCGCAACCCACTTCCGAGGACGCAGCCTCGGTCAGCAAAAAGGCCGCCAAGAAGGAAGCCGCCAAGCAAGAGAAGCTTCGCCGCCGCCAAGAGCAAGAAGCCCTAGCCGCCGCCACTCGTTCTCTCGCGGTCGATGACGAGCAGGACCCGCTGGCCGCCAACTATGGAGACGTCCCGCTCAACGAGATACAATCGAAGACGGTGGAGGATGTCAGCCGATGGACCGAGGTCGGCGCTCTGACGAACACATCGGAGAACCGCTCGGTGCTGATTCGAGGCCGAGCGCAGACGATCCGAGCCGTGGGGAAGAACATGGCGTTTGTGGTCGTCAGAGAGAGAGGCTTCACCGTGCAGTGTGTGGCTACGGTCCAGCCTGATACCGTGAGCCGCCAGATGGTGAAGTACGTTGCCGGTTTGAGCCGCGAATCGATTATTGATATTGAAGGAGTTGTTTCTGTTCCTAGTGTTGAGATAAAAGGCACCACACAGCAGGTAATTTTTTGTTTCTATTTTTTTATAATGAATTCACTGCTTAGTTAATGCGTGATTATAATTGAAATGTTGATTTTAATTAGGTGGAGGTTCAAGTGAGGAAATTGTACTGTGTGAGTAAAGCTGCTGTGCTACCTATTAACATTGAGGATGCTGCTCGAAGCGATGCTGAAATCGAAAAAGCTTTGCAGGTACAATGATTATTTAAGAGAGTAGAGATTTTTTTTTTTTTTTTTTTTTTTTTTTTTTTTTTTTTTTTTTTTGGGTTGGTTTTTGGATTTAATATATTGAAATTAAATTTGGAATTTTTTTGGTATTTTTTTTTTTTTTTTTATTGGATCGTTTTTGGTTGGGTGGTTTGGGCTGGAGAAAAGCTTGTTCGTGTTAATCAGGATACACGCTTGAACAATAGAGTTCTTGACTTTCGAACACCAGCGAATCAGGGGATCTTCCGGATCCAGAGCCAAGTTGGAACTGTGAGTTTTGTTTGTAGCATTTGCAGATATATGCTTTGTGTTTGTTTCTCTTTGTAAATTTGTAGAAAATTTGTTGTTAGAGTTTAGTTCTGTATGTAATTGGTTGTGTTATTGTGTAGATCTTTAGGCAGTTTCTGTTATCTGAAGGCTTTTTTGAAATCCACACGCCAAAACTGATTGCTGGTTCAAGCGAAGGTGGTGCTGCTGTGTTTAGACTCGACTACAAGGGTCAACCTGCCTGCCTTGCCCAATCACCTCAGCTTCACAAGCAGATGGCTATCTGTGGTGACTTTGGCCGTGTTTTTGAGATTGGTGGTGTTTATAGAGCCGAGGACTCCTATACCCATAGGCATTTGTGTGAGTTTATTGGTCTTGATGTTGAAATGGAGATCAAGAGTCACTATTCTGAGGTAGAGTTTGAATTTCTAAGGTTTTCTCTTAGCACCCAATATGATCATGGATGTGAATTACTGAGTAGTTATATGCTTGTTCGTGCAGGTGATGGATATTGTTGGCCGTTTATTTGTTACAATATTCGACACTTTGAACAAGACTTGTGAGAAGGAGCTTGAAGCTGTAGGGAGGCAATATCCCTTCGAACCATTGAAGGTCTTGATTCTTGTTTGTTTTTTTATTGACATTATAATTGTAATGTGATATGTTTGGTGTGCTGCATGATCTTTTCCTAATAAACTCATTTATATTCCTGTCAGTTATAGAATAAACTGTTACCAAATATTTCAGGCCTGTGCCCATAAATTTTTTGGATTCTGATTATTGACATTTCATAAATTTGCAGTACTTGCCAGAGACTCTACGCCTTACATTTGAAGAAGGTATTCAAATGCTCAAGGTTAGGAATACTATGCTAATTTTATTTATTTACTTATTTTCATTGGTTCATGTTTTGCACTGAATAAAATAGAGAAATTAATTGAATGATTGTAGATTTTGATAGGGCTGTATCACAGTTCACAAGTCACGTAGTTCTTGAGGAAGCATGAGTTTTAAGAAATCTTGAAGCTGAAGAGGGGATAGAATACTATCATACTAGTTTGATCTTTCATGCAGTGGTATATTTATTTATTTTTATGATTAGGAGAGCTTTAGATGGAGTAGCAAGCTCCATGTAGGCAATTGCTGGTAATTCAGAAACTTGTGTTCATGAGCTGTAGAAAACAACCCAACAAATTAGGTAGTCTGGAGTTATCTTGCAGAGTGGGCAACAAATGAAAACGATGGATGCACAGATGCATGGATCTATGTGCAGGCCATTGAGGGAGAGGAGTGCCTTGGAATTTATAACTTGTGCATAAATGAGCTGAATATTTCTTTGTTTTATTTATTTTGACTAAACTCTTATGTTTATGATTTTTTTGCATGCATGGAAGGCTAAAACAGGCACGACCTGCTTTCAATTGCAGAGTTTTCTTTCTTTTTATTGTAAGTTTGACCTCCTTGTACAGGATGCTGGCATTGAAGTGGATCCCATGGGGGACCTTAACACTGAGGCTGAGAGAAAACTGGGGCAACTGGTTCTGGAGAAGTAATTTTTAATTTTCTTGCTCTATATCTTCATAAGTATATGTTTTAGTTTGCTCACGGTGATTCTGTTGTTATTATAAATGTTTGAACTGGATTTTACTGGATCATAGGTACGGCACTGAGTTCTACATACTCCACCGCTATCCTTTGGCTGTGAGGCCGTTCTATACGATGCCTTGCCACGATAATCCTGCCTACAGTAATTCATTTGATGTTTTTATTCGAGGTAAATCATCAATGGCTGTATCAGCATTGTTGTTTTGGTTTTAAATATCGACGAAAATCTAATTATCTATTTCCCATCCCTCAGGTGAGGAGATAATTTCTGGCGCCCAACGTGTGCACGTGCCAGAATTACTAGCTGAACGTGCACAAGCATGTGGGATTGAACTGAAGACAATTTCAACATATATTGATGCTTTCAGGTATTCTTATTTTTTCTTTCCTTGTTATTATTGATATCATTTTTTAAAATATTCCAAGTCAAAAGCTCTTTACAAATTTGGCTTTTTACCATGCTATACACCTCTATGCTGCTCAATATGTCTGGCATAATTTTTTTGGCCTGGCTCGTGTTAACCCTTGTGATGGCTCTTACAGATATGGTGCACCTCCGCACGGTGGGTTCGGGGTAGGACTGGAGCGCGTTGTCATGCTTTTCTGTGGTTTGAACAACATCCGCAAAACTTCTCTGTTCCCTCGTGATCCACTTAGGATTGCCCCGTAGTGTTCTATTCATTTTGGCAGAATTCAATCTTTAGAGATCTTAAAACATACTATTTTGTTTCTGTTCTTTAGTTTGTGAAACAATCAAATCTTACAAGCGATAAATGCACATTGTCAGATGATTGCGTCGTTTTTGTTGATGTTCATACCATTTGAAGTGAATGAACAGATGGATGGGTTAGAAGGCAAGTAGATGGTAGATGGTATACATGTTTATCTATATGGCAAGTAGATAGTAGATGGAATACATGATAGCTCGCAACCGCTAGACAAAAAATTCTTATGTGGACTAACCCAAGAATTAGGAGTTCAATTTTCTTTAACAACGTTATTTTTCAGTCTAACCACAAAGAAAGTGAAAGAAGAACAAATCCATAATGTTTATTTTGTTCTTTCTCTATATGCTGCCATATTCTCTCTGATGGTTCTCTGTGTCAGTAGTATTTTTGTAATTTTTCAGTTTGTATCATGTGGGTTTCTGTTGAGTATTGATCTACTAATTCTTGATCTGCATGGTTTGGATATGTTTGTGCTGAAAATCTTTATAATGAGGGGGAATATTTTTACTCACCACTTTAGATAAACAAAAGAAAAAGAAAATAAATTTTTTTGGACCCCTCTGAAGGCAAGGCAGGCAGGAACGCAAGAGAGAAGTCTTCTTCATAGACACCTTGCAGAGTTTGGAGGTCCAAAACTACAAGAACCCCCACATGCCATTGAATTGATGGGGGTTTTTTTGTTTGTTTTGTTCTAGGGGATATCTTTTCCAGGTTAGGTTATGATTATGAAATTGCATACCACCAAAACGGCGCGTTTAATGGCATAAAAACAAAATTTCCAAAATCTCCCAGCTGTGTCCAATCTCCCGAAAGAATTGAATTATTGCATTCCCATAAGTTTCAGAACAATTAATTATGGTGTAATCACTGAACCCAGCAAGCTGAAAAACATATAAAGGAAGGGGAGGGTGAAAAATCTACGTGTGTAAACTAATGAATGAAGCTAGCCTTCTTCTCATTGGTAAATAATGCATCAAGGAAAAACCAAAAAGAAAAACAATTAATTACACTATCTGGTCAACCACTAACACCAATCTAATCGGGTTTAAGAAAATTATGTTACAGTTAATATCCAAAACCGCCCACATAATCCTCATCACCACTGCTAAAGGACTCCATAAATTGACTATCGTCATCGTCGTCGTCCTCGCCATCTGTTACAATCTCCAGTATTCCACCTCCTCCCTCAAAGTCATCCATAATAAAATCTCCATCCTCGTCATCATCATCGAGGTCACTCACGCTGTCATCCTCATCATTGCTCATATCATCCACATCACTGTCGGAATCCCCATCAAGATCTGGGCCCAGTATAGGGTCCACATCATCGTCATCATCCTCATCCTCGTCATCTTCATCTTCTTCACTCTCAGCATCATCAGGATCAGAATCATCATCAGTCGGCCTCCGGCGACCAATTTCATAGACCCTAGCAGAAGCTAACATATCATCTTGGTCATCCATTGTGATCAACCCAACAAAGGAATCAGTTGGCTCTGTTGCAAAGTCAAGGACACAACGATCAACTGGAATAGTGGCAATGTCAGAGTAGTTAACTGCATCCACCGTGCGGAATGCAGCAAAGAGGGGATGCTTTACACGTCGGGTGTGAACCGCTGACATTACATCCTCCAGATTTCGCCGGAGGATTGCATAAATTACATCGCCGCGTGCATTGAAAGTTATTGTTGTTTGGTCTAATGAAGGTACACTCCGAAGGAGTCTGAATTTCCGGAGATCCCAGACCTCAGAGTTTATAATCACCTATTGAAAAGGAAAAGAAAAAAGAAATAGATTAGAAATAACCAAAAAGGGGGGAGAATACAAGCTTGCGAGGCAGAATGCAGATGACTGCTTTGGAAATAAGAAGAATACAATAAGAATTGCATAGTTAACTCATAAACAATGCAAGGAAAAATACCAATATAATTATAGCCTACTGTGGTAGACGAAAGGTTTCTTTCAATATACCTCATTCCCAGCAGGATGGAAGCCACCGCCCCCATAATCTGTAAACTGATCAAAACGATGAACAGGGGTAGGAACCCGTCTGTCCCATAGGACCCCATTCCAAAGCAGCATTGTGTCTGAAGGGTTGAAGTGTATATGAGAATAAGAATGTCCCCGACCTGTAGAGCTAGCAGATGTATCTGACAGTTTCGATTCCAACTGGCTAGTTTGGATGTCATACAGGAGAATCTCTCGCCGGGCCAGCTCTGATGGAAGAGCTGCAAAAATATCCCCAAAATTGCTAAATCTTGCAGCCTTACACCCTTCATAGGAATGCATGGGCCCAGAAGAGACTGAAGATGCTTCCCACAACCTCACATCCTGGGAGCTTGAAGAAAGCACCAGCTGGGTCTCACCGGAAAGATGTGACTGAACAAACGTTATAGGAGACTGGTGGCTTGCGCAACTCTCCAGTACATTGCTGCTATTGGAGTCAAAAATTTTGAGCTCACCACCATGGCCACCTACTGCAATATGAGCGGAATCACTAAGAAAAGAGATGCATGTCAAAGGGGCACCAGAATCATCCCGACAAGTTCGCCATGGTCGGAATCTACTGTAAACAAATTGACGATCCCTGCGATTTCCGTGGACCCCACCATACATGCTTTTGAACTCACGAGTACCAAGCCGGGCTGTAACATTCGATGGGGCATCAAGGCTTCGTCTTGGTTCAGGGCAAACATGTGGGTGTAAAAGAGAGAGTGGTGGAAGAGTGGTTATTGGGGCAGGACATTGCCGGTGCTGGTGCTTCAAATACTGAACAACCACAGAGTCTAGAGTTAATCGCTCTGCGTTGCTTGGCTGAGGGTCACTCTGCAGCCCAAATTGGGAGGATGGTGTTGTCAGGCCCATGCTAGAATTACCATACTGGTTATCATCAGGATACTCTAATGGAAAACAAGCTGGTGTTGATCGACCATATTGATCTCTTAAGTTAGCAGTTGGGGTAGAGAATCCACCAGCATCAGTTAGTAGGCTGGTCTTCCGCATGGTAGTGGGTGTAGGACCAACTGGAGATCGAAGCCCTTGGTCACCAGTGTGAAGACGTTTCCCTGATGATAGCAAACACCCAGGATCCTTTAACTCAGATAATTTCCGTTTCATTGGCAAGACGATGGGCGTCTTGCATTGGGACTCTGTATCAAAAGTAGGTTTTGGCAGGGATTCTGATGGAGTTTCTGATGCATTTGCAGATGCAGAAAATTGTTTTGATGCACCAAAGACTTTCCTGGCTGATGCCCAGTGAGAGTCATGGGACTGAGATTGATTCCTTGACTGTAGAGCAAAATTAGGAGAGAAAACTAAAGGTTTTTTCTTTGAATACGAGAAAGCAGAATCAAATTTCACACTTGGTTCCTCATCCCTTGCAGTAATCTTTGATTTGTTTGTAAGAAATCCACTAGGTGTGCGGCCAGAGGGCCACTGGAGTTGTACAGAGGGAGCTTCCTGTGTGGCTTGATGAACAAGAGATGAGGGGGCAGCCAAGGATGGCAAAGGCATCAACTGAGCCTCTTTTAGCAGTGAAGCAGCTGTTGTGGCCAAACCAGATGCCTGAAGGTGTTCGTGTATCAAGAGCAATAGTTCCCTGACATTTCAAGTACACATAAAGAGGGAAAAAGTCAACAGAAGAATCAAAAGCAACATATTTCAACAAATACTGGCATTATACGAGGAATCACTCAATACCTGGAATGGTAAGTGATAGGAGTAGCAGCAGCTATAGCTGCCCTTTCTATGCGCCTCAAAGTTGGCATAGCAGCATCAGTGGCTGCCAATGTACTAGCTCGTCCAGAATTTGTCACAATCTACAACAAAAATAATATGGCATGAGTTTTGACCATGAAGTACAAAGCAGGTTGAGGGAAAGGGAAAAGGGTGCGGGCAAAAGGCTATGGAATAACCCTAACTCATTAATAAAACTGATTCTGTTAAATAAACATTATTTCTAAGCAACTTCTAATTGTAAACAAATGCTTACCGCAATGAGCTCAATTGCTGCCTGTGAAAGTTCAGCTTGCCACCTGCCTTGCTCAGTTGCATTTGTCTGGCTCCCTGAATCTCGAATTAGTTCTGAAAGTTTCTTTCCAACCTAGAACATCATGTTGCACTCAGTAGCAGGAAAAGACTGACTAATATAACATAAGGTCCTAACTTTAGACAATGACACAAAAAAAAAACCATGATTAAGAATTTAATGACTTAGAATTTGATGGAAACAGCGAAGAATAACAATAAAAGGCAGTAAACTATGTTTGAAACAAAATCAAAAGTTGAATGTAGAAAAATTAGCCAGCGACAAAGTTATGTCTGAGGCAAAGGGCCAACTAAACCTTCAACTTGAACTAGCAGAGCAGCGAAAAAAAAAGAAAAAAGAAGACTGCGTAACACTTCTCAGTCTTCTCTGCAACTGATGCTAAACCCTCTCGTCTGTTAACAAAGAGATTTGAATGTAGCTTCTATAGGAATACTGAATTCCAGAATGCCTCAAAACTTTTACTTTGAAGTTCTGGATGAAACTGTACTCATCTCCTAAGGGAAATTTTTAGTCTCGCATTCTCTTGCCCCCCATTTTGGATGTGGAAGTACATTTCCTTAAGGCCCACTAACAGAGGCAACTTATTAAAAACAGGAATCCCTGGTGTAAAATAATTGAGCATGCCCTAATTTCCCTGTACTTTATTTCTTTTTAAAAAAAGTCTTGATGTTTTGCAACATCATTTTAACCGAATGAGCCAAAGCAGAAAAGATAGGGGTCAACCACGTCCAAGGGAAGAAAATATAAAATAAAATTTTGATTCTGTAAAGCTGTCATGTCAGTATTGCGTATAAAAGTCATGTACCTGGAGCTTAGTCAATATATGGGCAATAGTATCATCTCTGGCTAAACCAAGGAGGACTCGACAAGCAAGTGCACGGAGACAGTCAAGTGCTGCAGGAGGTGAATATATGCGTGGTTGGAGGAGATGCAGGAGAACCTTTATACCGTTGTTGGCACGAACAGCCTCCCTTGCTTGGCGATAGCCTTGCTCTAATTGTGCAGCCAGGCCGGCACCACCTGCAGCAGGTCCTAAAGATATTCGGCGATCCCCCACCAATCCTGACGTTGCTGTGGCAGCAGGAGCTTGTGAATTGCTACTGTTGGACTGTGTACCAGGTGCTGCTGCACTACCTCGATCTACTACATCTGAGACATTACGTTCTGTGTTTCTATCTCTAGTCTCTGTAGCAGGACCATTTGAGGTTTGGGCAGAAACAGACTGCTGACCTTGAGCATGCAAAGGCGGTTTATTACTGATTGAAGGTGGAGGACAGACAAGATTGACCAACACATTTAGTGCAGGCTGAATGATCTGGAAAAACACAAATAGATAATTAGAATAAATCCAACGATAAAGGCAAAGCAAGACGGACATCCAGTTATAAACAAAGTCTTTACCTCAGGGTCCACATAACTACCACCAACACTTGCTGCATCCAAAATGACTGCTATACCAACACGATTATTGCTTAATGTTGAATTCACGATCATCTTGCGGCTGCTAGGGACCAACGTAACAATATGCAGAACACCCAATGCATATTGAAGTAAATCATGTAAATAACGCTCAACTGGTGGAGCCTGCAGAAATCAAAATTCAGCATATCCCAAGAAGGCAGAAAGTGAAAAGTAAGTGAGCACATTGAAAGTTCATGTGGCAAGGGTATAGGAATAGTATAACATTGGCCTGAATAATTTCACACACACACAGAAAGAACTTTAATGTAATATATTATACCTGGCATAACTCCAACATAGTAATATGTCCATTAAAACGCAAGAACTCATCGACGGCAGGCCAACGAGTTCTCACAAATGCAGGACCCAACTTCCGGTCCTTCTGTAACTGCAGAAATACTGCATCCAAAGCTTCATTGCTGATGTCAAGTGGCTTGTAAGCAGCCCTTACACTTGGAAGATTCCGAGCCGCACTTCGATTGTTTTTAATTGGACGAATAGAATCCACGAGCAACAGAAGATGGGCTCTGAAGTATTGCCGCAAAGCAACACAAGTGTGGTAAGCTATCTGTTTCTCCGATGAAGTCAGCACCTCTGCAGGTGACCTTTCATTTCGAAGTGATCCTGAACCAGTGAGTCCTAATGCCCCAGAATTTACTCCAGATCTGACCGATGCAGCATCATTTAAAAGGCCCAGTAATTTATGTAAGCCTTCCTGAGTATCAAAAGCATCAAGAACTGCCCGGAAAACAAATGCAGCAGCAAAAAATAAGGCTGCATTTTTCCTGGCTTGATCCTGTGAGCACTCAAGAAGTTGAAGAGCTAACTTAACCACCTGGTTGACCACATCTGAAGGAAGAGCACAAACACGCTCCATAATTCCCTGAAAAAAGATTAATTGGTCATCACAAAAGATGAATACTAGATGGATATTATTATCATGATGCAAGTAAATGGGAAATTAGTCTCTAACAGCTCAACTTCACACCATGTGTGATTACCTGGAGAGAACCAATAGTAAATAAGCAAGAAGAAAGGCCAAAAAAGGTTTGAGCAACCCTAGGGACAGTAAGCAGTTTCTGCATGCCACCCCTATCCACAAACAAGGCAGCAAATTTCCGATGAGCAGCCAAAGCACAAATGAGCTTCATTATATCAGGCAAGAGCATTGCAACCTTTGATGCCTCTTTATGTCTAGAATTTCGTTGCAATAATGCAAGACATACGTCTACCCCTTTTTCATGCAGTACAGGTCCAAGAACTTCAACATATTCTCCAAGAGTCTCAAGACACTGAATACAGTATTTTTCTCTCAACTGTGCAAGGGACTCGGCATCAAGAATGAAGTATTCTTCAGCATCTTCATGGATTTCTGGTTCTGTGCTGCTTGATGTCATTGATTCGGCATTGATACTACTCGAGCTCCTGCCACCAATCCATAGGAAGAATTACAACCCGCAGTAAAGAAGTATTATTCTAAGGCAGTACAGCCATAAAAAAAGTTGATAACACAGCATGTGATTCATCAAGTATCTGTACCATATACCTCTTCTTTGCCTTTAAAAAAAATGAAATACCTACCTTGAAACTTCAACTGAATTGGCAGCATCAATGACAGTAGATGCCGCTCTTGAAGCAGCCAAAACGGCAGCTTCTTCATTATTTGTCATTTTGAATTCCTGCATAATTAAGCGGCAAACAACTGAGAAGTGGAAACTAAACAAAAACCATTACAGAGAGTGACAATAACAGCTTTTGTACCTCTAAAGCTGCAGTTTTGACAACTTCAGCAGCAGCATCACCAGCAGCTTTGATGGCTTCTGCAGGTGCATTAGCTGCTCTGGCTTCAGCTTCTGCAGACCTAACTGCTTTCTTTACTAAGTCAGAGATATCTTTACATCCAACTCTGCAGTCCTGGAAGCAGTCATCGTTATCCTCCCTTTCCAGATAGGAAACATCTGTATTCCTGTCCAAACACTTCCTAGAATCTGGTATTTTTTTCACATCGGAATTTTTCAATGCAGCCCTGTCTCTAAAGCTCCGTCCCTGCAACAACCTACTACCAGATCCTGGAGAGGTCAAGGGCTGTTCATTCTCTACAGCACCTTCATTTGCCCTTCCCTTCCCTCTAGATCTTGTCCATCCACGGTTGGGTCTGCGCCTTGAGGAGTCGTCTCTCACATTTTCATCAAAATCTCCAAATTTCATCTTTCCATCTGCATCATGGATCTCAACCCCCTCAGCCAATCCATCAGGTGGTTCTCCACCATCAACATTCTGGTCATCTAAACATCTCTCATCTGTTATCCTTGGATCATCAAAATGAGTTGTTTCCAGAACCTGCCGAACTCTACCCCGACCTTCATCTCTACCTCTTACACAAACAGCATTCAAGGTATTTTTGCTCTCTGTTAAATGATTAGAATCCTTTTGAGTAATACTTGACTCCCCCAAAACACGCACACGAAGATAACGCATAAGTTTGGCAGACAATCCAGACGTCAACACATCTTCCACTACTTGACCACCACTATTTTCAATAAAAATTAAGATATGTGAAACAAACTAGTCAATAAGAATAAAATGAGGAAGGAAAAATAAAGATACAAAGAAGGAGCATACCCAGCCAAACATACAGCAAGAAGTCCTGTAGCATAGGTCTTCAGCATTTCAAAATCTGAGACCTCCTTGCCCCCCAAATCATGCTTCCAATTCTGGTATTCAACAGATGAGCTGGAAGTCTCATCCATCACCCAATCTTTTATTTTCTCCAAAACAGCTTCTTCAAAAACATGAGGATACTGTATCACATTCACGCATGTCAGATTGATAATAAGCCATAATAATCATCTTCATTAAGGAACAAATAAAATAAATGAAACTCGATGGTATCAGAAAAACAACAATCTTACAATCCAGGTTAGTGAACAGCTTAAAAGCAGCCTTCCAGCAGCTGCCTGGACGGCAACAGAGTATCTTGTTTCCGACAGATACTTTGAAGATATTAATTCAAAGAAATCATCATGTTCCTGGCAAAAAGAGAAAAAAATTAGAACAAAAGCTTGGTTCCTGCAAACAAAATATAATCCACATATATGAAAACATTTTAGCAACCATCCCAAAAATAAATACATAAAAATTACAAAAGGTAACCACACGACAAAACCAGTTACCCGGACTAAGTTCCCTAGCCGTCCGATGTTATGTGAAGCACGAGCATTGCTGGATGAATGACCATTCTCTTCCATGTATCTGCATTAAAAGATGGTTTTTTCTTCTTTAGGTAAGGTTCAGAGTTTATTTATCATAACAAAGTTTAACAATGTAAATAAATAATCAGCCACATATAATGTATAAATACAAGATCACAGACTTGTGCAATGAAACAAACAGTGAAAAGTCACCTTACAGTACATATATAACCAGACAAAGCATTCTAAATAAACAAGAACAATCATAATGCCCACCAAAAAAGATATTAGAACTTCAGATTCTGAAGTATTATTACCTAGCTATTAGAAGTTGCATCCATTCAGACAAAATCTATATCTAACCACTCAAGCACACCCCAAAGTTACTTCCAAAGTCGACAGTTAATACATCTAGTGAACTGACTGCCAACTGTCTTTCCTATGCTAAGAATAATAATTCCCGTACACCAGAAAAATTTTAAAATCATCGACTCGGCATCCTGAAGACAGTTGCTTGAACACATCCATCGCCTTGGCCATTGAAAATTCCTAACCTCTTGATATAACTACAATGACATTCCATGTCGTCCTTAAACCCTACCTTTGACTACAGCAACTCAAAGTCCAAACAAAGTCTTCAAACTAAATTTACATTTTCTGTGATCTTCTGCCCTACATGACCTATCAAGATTACATATCAAGTATCGATACCCAATCCTACCACCAGCAAGCCATGCATTACTAAGTAATGGGGAAGAAGCATTGCTTACAAGGAAATGAAACGTCGACTGTGTAAATGACAGTCACCAAGAGCATTGCAAAAATTCACATTATCACCAATTTCAACACAATAAGCAAATATATAATTATACAATTGCCAACAAAGCCATAAAATTCACACACAATACCTTTAAAATCATTAATCTAAAACCTCTTAATTTGTAAGTTTATCGTCATTAATCGTGTCACAATTTTTTATATAAAAAACTCAATATTGAAAGGAAAAGAAAAATAAGAAGAAAATGCAAATGATGAAAACACAAAGCACAGCATTACAACAACAACTCGAACTGAGTGGCAATTCTTGAATAAATTCGCATCAATTTACATAAAAAAAGCTTCAAAAACAAAAGTTCAAAAGATAAAACGGTTCGAACCGAGACTCTTGAGTTTCAAGAAGGGAGGCAAGTGCGTGAAGAACAGTAGGATTAGGGTTATCCGGCGCGGAAGTGATCTTGTCCATAAGCTTCTGGGCCTTGGCAACCAATTCGTCGTCTTCATTCTTAACCTCCTCTTCTTCATCGTCGTCTTCGTCCTCGCCTCCTTGAGATTGGGATTCGGGCGCAGGCGGAGGCGGTGGAGGTGGCGCTGGTGGCTGGGCTTGCCCTTGCCCTAAGGTTGGCTGCTCATCCATGGCCGCCTCCATATGCTATCGAATACAGAGACAGATGAATTTGTATAGAGAGAGAGTCGCGAATGGATTAACAATTGAAATTGAATATTTCTGTGTTTGTGTGTTTTATGTACGTTAATGTTTTTGAATTGGATTTTCAGGGTTTGTGTTATTTATAATTTTATAGGTTTTTGGAGTTTGCGGAGCGAAAGAGATGGAGAGAAAACAAAAAAAATTGAAAGAGGAACGAAAGTTGTTCTTGCGCAGTGTGCGTTCGATTTTATAGTGGAGGAGAAAAGAGTGCGAAAAGGAAAGGTCGAATCGGAAAGTTCCGGAAACAACCCGACCCGGTAATTTGGAACCCTACCCTACCGGCGTTCACGTCAACCGGGCGTCATCTGACCCGTTCTGTGATTGCTTTATTTTTATAGGAGCATTTTTTTTATTTTACTATTATTTTTAACAGAAAACAAAATTTACCACATCACTTACGACATGTTTTTACTGACCAAAAATTTACCACAACACTTTACGAATTTGAATATTATCAATTTCTCACTTATTTTTTGTACACTCTTTTTTATTTTTTAATACTTTTATAATTATCATTAAGAGAGAGAATAAGTGGACAAGAGGAAGTGGAAAAATCAATAACCTAATCAAATTGCAGGTTTTTAAAATTAGTTTCAGTAGAATTTTAACGGAATGAACACAGTAATTAATTAATAGATACAAAACACATGAACTAAATTGGTCAAATTGATCATCTTGGACTAAATTGACCGATGACTTAAAAACACGATCAATTTTGACAGTTACGCCTAGAGTATAATAAAAGAAAGGATCTAGGCCCAAAAACTAAAAATTGTGATCTCTAAGTGGGCTCAATTTTGTCCCCAAAAAACGAAGTGGGGTCAATTTTAGTAGATCATAAAACCTTTTGGGTAATGAAGGCCACATCTCAGTCTAAAGGTTCCATCTTGCCAGTTGATCAGTGGAGCTCCATAGAGCCATAAACGCACAGCAAGGTTATGTGCACTGCAAATCCATAATACTCACATGGAAGAGCAATCCCATGAACAAGCCTCGATAGAGACATCACCTTCTTCTTCTTCAGTAGACCATAAAATTTGGATAGAGTAAGCAGAACGATAAGCTCATCACAACTGCTACACACACATTCTCATTTCAATTCAATTTTGACACGATCGTGGTGAAAATTTCAGGACCCAGGATTTTCTGAAGAAAAAGTTGATTGCAGAAGATGATTTCACATGGAGATTAGCTGTTACAGGAAGGTCAATGGAGAAAGAGGAGGAGGTGTTGAAGTATGTGGGTGGAGTTGATATAAGCTATTCAAAGGAAGACCCATCAATGGCATGTGGGGTTCTTGTAGTTTTGGACCTCCAAACTCTCCAAGTTGTCTATGAAGACTTCTCTATTGTCAACCTCCATGTCCCTTATCTTCCTGGCTTCCTTGCTTTCAGAGAGGTCCATTTCTTTTTTCATTGGTTTATCTTGATGTTCATGTTTCAACAATATTTTGATCACAGAAGCTGAGAAAAGTAATAAGAAAGGGGCAAGTATTTGAATTTGATATGCCAGTGATTTGACTGTTTGATGTATTTGATTGTTCTATGTTGATCTAGGCCCCAGTGCTACTTGAGCTTTTGGAGAAAATGAAAACCAATGCTAATCCTTTATATCCACAGGTGATCCTAATACTTGTATTGGTTCCTACTACATTTGTTTTTGGTTCCCTTTCACTGCGCTTCATCTCTCTACATGAATAATTTTATGTTCTTGAAAGCTTTAATATTTGGTTTTGGTTTTTCATATTTACGTATAAACTTTTCTTAACTTACCTAAGATATATTAGAGAATATTAACCTTATGCCAAATCTGGCAAGTTGGTGACTTGCAAACTGTTCTGTGTGTTTTGTAATTTTACTCTGCTTTATTTTAGAGTTCGAGTAAATAACAATAATTATCTTTAATGATAACAGCTGCTAATGGTAGATGGAAATGGAATACTTCATCCTCGAGGCAAGTCCTTTGACAGCAATCCCCATAGAATAGATGCTTGCCCTTTGTAAATGAAGCCTTTTCCTGTTTATTTACTTTAATTTTTAATGTAATTTGAGGTCTATGATGGGACTGAAGGTCTGGAGTTGCTGAAAATATGGGTAGGTTACACTCTTAGGTCTAGTGAATCTAGTGAATCTTTGCTCACTTCACAATTGGAAAGCTTCTACATTCTCAAGAGATCATTTTGGAACCTGTTAGTTTCATTTTCATAACTTAGACGATACGTTCTGTCCTTAGCTTGAGTTGTGATTAAAAGCATTTAGCTTCCTTACTCAACTGGAGAATATTTTAAAATGTAGAGTTTCTTTTGTAGGTTTTGGCTTGGCTTGTCACCTTGGCATTCTGGCAAATCTACCTACTGTTGGGATTGGAAAAAATGTAAATACTGACAGTAACTACATCCATCAACTTTGATGATTTGGGCTGTCCCTGCTTGCCTGACTTTTAGAAATTTCTCTTGATATATATTCAATTCAGCTTCACCATGTGGATGGCCTAACACTATCTGGTGTGATGCAACTTCTTAAAGCCAAGGAAGACTACGCTCAAGATTTTGTTACTTTGAAAGGATGCTCTGGGCGTATATGGGGAGTGGTAAGCATCTTATAAGCTTCATTTCTCCCCTCAAAACTGTTTAAATCTTTTGACAATGTGGTATGGTGTTTAAACTGTGATGGGAATCTTCAGAGGCTGGCATGCAATAATATAAGGAAGTTAAAGATCATTTTGCAGCACTTTTTAGTTTATCCAAACAATATGGACATATACTCTGATAAAAAAGTGGGTAATAAACATGTAATTGTGCCCTTTGCTGGAAGTTCTTTTGCACTTTGTCTTGTGTTCTCTGTTTCAATTGATTCCGTGTCTCCATTCTGTTTCTGTTTTCCAGGCAGTGAGATCTACTGGTGGCTCATTGAAGCCTATATTTATTTCAGTTGGTCACCGTATAGCACTTGATACTGCCATCAGGATTGTAAAAATGACTTGCAAATTTCGTGTCCCGGAGCCTATTCGGCAGGTGAAAACTTGAACTGTTTGAGTGCTCTGAGCGGCTTCATATTCATTATGGCCACTCCCCAGTAATATTTTGGACCTGTTAATTGAACTTGAGCGTATAAACTAAGTAGGGATATAATAGCCTTCTCTCGATGCTTAGATGCCCTGTGTCTCTAATCTCTAATATAGTTCTTCGGTTAGTTATTAGATGTGAAATGAATATTTTCTATATAGTGAAGTTACAGGCAGTCTAGGGAGGGCATGCTGTGTTATCTGTCTGTTTGCTACAATCTTTTGCTGGCCATTTAGCGATGTTGACATTTCCCGAGTTAGAACCACGGAGTATCATTGCTTTATTTCTTTAATTAATGTAATGTACAATGTTGGGGAAATTATATTAAAGCTCCAATTTTCCTTCTGATATGGAGGCAGGCTGATATAAGATCCAGAGACTATATTCGGAAGCATCAAACGAGAATGTCCAAATGATTCAATTTCAAGAATCTGGTAGGTTCACCTTTTCGACCCTTTTATTTATTTATCATATACATAATATACATACGAGGGCAGAATTAACAAAGCTACATATGAGGGTATTTCCAACTTCGGTGTTGCTTTGTTTTATTGGGAAAACTGCAGTTGTTAGTTAACAAGGCAAAATTTGTGAGATTTCAGGGCCTGCGGTATTTTTGCTACACCAATATATGCAGTGTTAGAATGCTCATCGGGTCCCATTTTAATGCTTCTCCTCGGCCCCAAAAAGGCTGGCCCTGATTACACCACCAGGCTTTTCAAGAGACCCTGGTCTGCGTTCCACTCTCGAAGAAAATGTTCAGATCACGATCCTTAACTTCAGTCTCCAGCCGATGTCCTTTATTCTTACTAACAAAGGTTTAGGACTTAAAGCCACTCTCCAGTTGAATATCTATCTGATGGGCTACCGTGGTACACCGTACACGCATAGGAAGTGTTTCCACGAGCATCCAAATTCCACGAGTCCAAATGGAGGGTGACATTATGGAGGTCCATGTGAAATCCTCATCAACAAATTATCTAAACTCGATTCACCCTTCATAGACAACTTGAGCAGTATGGAGGTCCATGTGAAATCCTCATCAACAAATTATCTAAACTCGATTCACCCTTCATAGACAACTTGAGCAGTATGGAGGTCCATGTGAAATCCTTGTCAACAAATTATCTAAACTTGATTTGATTGGTGTTAGCAGTTTACCAGATGGGTAATTTGTTTCTTTGTTTGGGGCTTTATGAATTATTCACCAATGAGACGAGGCTAGTTTCATCAATTTATAGGTAGATTTTTAACTTGCGCCTTTTTTTTATGCTTATTTGTTGGCTTCAGTGATTACGCCACAATTTTTTTTGTATATATATGAAATAGAAACTTCATTAGATAAACTGTTCTAAAACCTAATGAGAAATGTGAGCTTGTCAGCAATTATTGATATTTTCCTTCTGATTTTGAGGCAGGCTATGAATAAAGAAATTGGAGTATATAAATTGTCCAAGTCCAAACTTGCTGTCTCTGTAAATATTTACTTCCCATATACAGATCAAGCTCACACAGCCCAAACAATGCTTGAAAACCTTGCGTAGTGAATACATTATTTGAGACTAATAATGTACAAAAAAAGCCTAAAAAATCACAGCAGTGTAAAGACGAACACAGACACTAACACAAACAGAATTAAACAACTAGGCTTTTCAACAGAACCAGCTCCGGCATTCAAAGCAGATGAAGAAGATGATCGGATCATGATCCTAAACTTGCAGTCTCCAGATGATGGATCACTCGTGGTGATGACCGAAAGGTTTGGAAACTTACAGGCAGTGTCCAGTTGATTATTTATCTGATAGTAACTGTTAAATGCATAGGAAATGTTTCCACGAATATCCAAATTTCCACATGAAGTTCCATATCCAAGACTGGTGCAGTCAGCATTTGCACAAGCATAGCTCACACTTAGTGCCACTTGTGGATCGTCAAGACTCGCCGACGGTGACATAACACACCATTTCTTGTCCAGATATTGTACACCGCTTGCTGCTACTAATCCATTTGAGCTTGTCGTGCCTAGACTGAGCTGATATTTGGGTGTTCCATCAAGGTAAAATAGCCCCCAATGGCGTTCAAAGTTACCTGGCTGAATGCTCTTGGCATCTTCATCAACAAGGCTAAATAAGTAGGCATCTACAGGGCCAGGTCTCATTGGGGTGCCTGCATTGTTCTTGATATGGGACATAAACCCCTGATTGAACCTTTGAGCATACTGTAAGTTTGCATTTCTGTCCCCATCTGTAGGCCAACCGATCTCTCCTACTATTATGGACAAGTTTCCAAATCCATTTTTCTGTAAGGCCCATACAAGGGTGTCATGGTTTGCATCAAATACGTTGTTGTAGATTTTTCCGTTGTCATTAATGGAACTTGAGTATCCATTGAAAAAGGCATAGTCAGCAGGGAAGTTGGCATCATTGTAGAGGCTTATGAAGGGATAGATATTGACTGTGAATGCAGCGCCGTTGTCACTCAAGAACTTGACGATTTCCACCATGAGATCCTTGGTGTCTGGTCGGAAGTCACCATTAGAAGGCATATCCGAGCCACTGCTGTCATATACATCGGCATTGAGGGGAATAGTGACCTTAACCTGATTGCTCACACCAGCTTTTATGAGAGCTGACTGGACATTCTGAAGGGCAGGAAATATTGTTGGAAGAAAGGTTCCATTGTACGTTGACAACAATGGTTCATTTCCCACTGCAGCATACCTTGCAGAGAATGTATGAAATAGGTAAGATATAAATTAGACGTAGATTGCACATTTGATCAGAACTGGAAAACTAGTATGACAAAAACAGTAACAACTAACAATGAAGCAGAAGAACACCTTCTAGTTAAGAGAAGTCCTACTTTTGATAACACGTCAAGCATTTCAGAATACTCTTCTGAAAGACTTCTGAAAGAAGTTGGGAACTTTGCTGAAGTTTCAATACAAGCCTGTTTGCTAACATGCGATACAGATCTACTTTCATATGGAGATGCAAATGAACTGAACCACATTATCAGAAATGGTAGAAAAAATTTCACACTCAATGCCAAGGACAAATCAAAGAAGACTCTAGCTAGACGAAATGAACAAGGTTGTCGCTTTTCCAGATCATCTTTTGATCAAGAAGAGTGAATTAAATAGCAGCTGAAGAATTTGAATTTCCTAGAAGCAGTTTGGGCATTTATTGGCCAAAGTACACCAAGAAGTGAATAGCTTCACATCAATACATAGATTCATTAACCACTTGTTTTTATGCCAATACTCTTACCTATCAATACATACATCTTTTGCTCACACACACACACACACGAAAACGGCTTCATTTGCATAGAGGCTAAAACCAGGGAAATTATCTTATAAACTAAGGTTCAGGCTTAATCATTCACGTGTTCGGAAAATAAATAAGGAAATTAAGGAAATTATCTATGCACATAGTGACATAGCATAGATAAGGACGAGAGAAAGATGTGCTATTTACCTAATATCTACACCATTGGAGACATGTGAGGAGACATTCTTGGAAACCCAATTCTCAGCTGCTTGCACACTATTAGCCAAAGCATTGAGCATTTCATTGGGAATTCCTACCATTACCTGAATCCCAGACTTGCTCAGAGCATTCAATATCGAAGAATCGGCATCGAAAAGCTTAACCTTTTGAATCCCGTTGTCCTTTAACATCTTCACCACTGTTGCTGGTGGGAGAGGGTGTGTTAACTGAGTTCCCCAGTTCACTCCAATGCCAACCGCTAAACCCACAAGCAGATTGAAGAACAACAAGGCAACAGTAAGGCCTCTAAAGCCCACAGCTTTCAACAACCCCATAAAACCCTTCAGCAAAACACTTGCAGAGACTTGCTCTTGGAGCTTAAAAGAAGGAGTTTTGAAGCAAAGTAGTGGCTTTAACAGATGGGTTTGATGCTAAAGTTGGATACTTTCAGCTGCTGAAGCTTGAAAATATCGACCCAAGTTCTAAACTTGGAAGAAACTATTCTTCTTTACTAGCCAATAAACAATTTTTTTTGTTTAAACAAGCGATCTGGAAAACAGAATCAAATATAAACTAAGCAAAACAGAGACTGGGGGAGCAGAAAGAACAGAATCAAAGACTGCACCGAAATTGAACTATTAAGAATACAGAAGAAGAAAGCAAAGCACAAAGGCACAGACCCAGAAGAGGATTCAATGCTAAACAACTAAAATTTGGGAATACAAGTTATTTACACAAAGCAAAAACAATGATTGATAGGAAGGAAGAGAATGATCAAACTAGTTTTCGCATAAAGTACCCAACATTTGCCACGAAATCGTCAAAAAAAATTATGATTTCAATGAGTGATGTATAAATAAAATGCAAGATATTGCAAGTTATTGCAAGTTACAACACGATAGGGCTTGCTTTCTTACAAACAAAGAAAGAGGAAAAAGAAGACGAATAAGAATGTTTCTTTTTGTTTGGGTGTGGGATGAGTATTGAACTTCATTGATTGGGACATTATAAAAATGAATTAGAATAAGAGTGGTGATCGAGAAGAATAATTACAGAAGTGTCTTGAATCTTTGCGAAAAAGAGGTCTTGAATCAGTGGGGATATTTTAGACTTCTCACTCCACATGGCTGATTGTGTAAAGCAAAGGGGTTCAGTCGAGGTAAGTTTACCTTTGGTTACTAGTGGCTGATATCGCAGTGTCTGTTTGTTCCTGTGAGTTCAGTACAGTGGCTGCCAGCCTGCCAGCATATCTAGCTTCCCGTTCAAGAAATTGTATTGTAGACAATCCTAGATGGTCCTAACTTTTTCTTTAACTTTATTTTCTTTTAACCTATACCTATATGTCATTTTCACTTTGAATTGTACAAAATCACGCTGCTCTGCTCTCGTCAGAGCATTTCTGTGCATAGATAGCAGCCTAGCTTAGGTGAATTTTATCACTGGCATCCATCACCCACAGTCACAGATGAGTCAAAACAAAATCAAGGGATCTCTTTTAAAATAAAAAGTCCTACATCATGCAAGGAAACCCCAGACCATGAGTGACTACGTGGTTTACCTTTTAAAGAAGTGAAGGACTTTGTGGTTTAATTATATGTTTATTATTGCTTAGCCAAGCTAGAGGGAATGTGCTCCCCTACTTTATGCCAAGTTCAAATACCCATTCCGACAATTTAAATTAATATTACTTGTATTAAAAAAAAATTATGTTTATTATCATTTCTAGTTGTATCCTTGTATGCACCATACGACCATGCGTTTTGACCAACAATAGATTATGGCACCACACTTAAAAAATTTGCCAATTATGGGATGCATTGTTGTTGTTTTTTTTTTTGGTGTTGAAGTATTGCATTTGCATTTTACCGCATCCCGCATTCATTCCCACGTTCGTGGTCGGTCGGTGTACGTAACGTTCCAACTTAATTTGGCTGGCACTTTCTTTATTTTTACAGAAAACAAAATATTAAACTTAGAATGCAAAATATATATATATATATAAATGAAAATTATGGAAGAGCCAAATATGAGAGAATAAATGAAATGATATTTTTTGTTTATTTTCTTAGATTTACTAAATAAGGGAAATGGATCATTTCCCATAATAAATAAATAAAAAGACATAAGAATTAATTTCTCATAAATTCTTTTCCGCAATCCAAATGCGTTCTAGTAAGCTGGGTGTTTTCGCCACCTCCCACCCATGTCACACAAAAACAAAAAAAAAAAAAAAAAAAAAAAAAAAAAAAAAGGTATATGTGCCGATTAAGTTAGGAATTTGGCAAAGAAAAAAAAATTATGTTATATAACTTCTCTGTTATGTTTGTTTTTATAATTTTAATGCATTATTTCAATTTATTTTATTAGATTAGGGCCAACCCACCGTATCAATAAAAAAAAGGTTTGGCTCATTCCAACATTTCCAAATAGAAAAACGCTTACATTTCAAATGCAGGTAATCTTCGATTCTTTTGGCTTGTTTCTTGCAATTTACCTGGTTCTTCTTGTTGTGTGCGTGGGCCTCTAAATGGACTTTTGGTTTCGTAGACCCTTAGTTGCTATAGTGAGGGACTTATATATGGCTCATAGGTAAAGTCTTATTTCTTAACTATTGGATTAGACTAACTATTTTGATCTAATGACTAACCAATTTGATCAAACGGTTAAGAGATAGGACCTCACCTAAGGATCATATATAAGGTCTTCACTATTGAATTCTTGTTGGTTGCTAATGCTTGACACCGCCCCTATTCTTGGTGCATAAGAGTATCATTTCCACACAGCAATTGTCTAGTTCAGTGGCGAATTTAGGATTTGAAAGCCGACTAGGCAAAACTTACATACTAAACTCGACAGCACCAATGAATTTCATTAATATACATGAAAATATACGCCTAGTCACGAGGAAATAATGAGCATTACCCTCAAATGGTCCATTTTAGGTTATATCAATTTTATAACAACTATCTCCAACATGCGTGGACCTGGAATGACAATGCATAGATCACACCTATTTGTGTAGTCTGTTCTAGCGACAACATTCCTACCTATATTATCACTTCCAATATTGGTGGGGGCATCTCTATAAATAAATAAAAGCTTAACAAAACAAAAATCACAAATTCTTTGTTCTCTTGGAGTTTCGATTGTGATACAACATAATAAAACGTAACCTACAAATAATATGTAGAAAGGATTTTAATCAAACATACCAACAAAAAATCAAACAAATTCTCAATGAATTGTTTGATATATTATATTTGTCAATTTATATGGTTTCTTCTTTGTTCGTATCTCTGTGTTATGCTAAAACTAATTGTACATAAAAATTGAATTAAATTTATCTATGAAAAAATAAACCCAAACATATGCTTAATAGTTTTATGTCATACAATTTATCTCTCTCATCAATTAACCCGTCAGAATGTTGGAGACCTATACTAAAAATAACCAAAACTGAATGAATGTGTTAATTTTTGAGATATTTAGTCATATATCCATTCTTAGCACTAATAATATAAATAAAACCATATTGCACCATTTAATTTCTATAAACAACCCCAAAAAATGATAGCTAGCCCTATTGAATTTAATTTTGATTATTAAATTACTTTGTTGCCCTATTGAGTGTTTTGAGATTTTTTCTTTTTAAGAAATCAATTGCAGTTTTGTAATTTAAAAGAAAGTAAAAACATTTTTGTTATGTTGTAAATGCGCTTTTGGTGTGTTTCTAAAGTCCATTTCATATAGGGTTTTTTTATAATTTGGACTCCTATATTAGATATAATAGTGAATCTCCCTTAATTTTTAAGTGCAATTTAGATAATCTTGCCCCAAAAATTAAAAATAAAATTCTTGTACTTCTCAGTTGCAAGCAGTTAAGAATTTAACTTCAACATTTTTGTGATATATATGGCATAAATTAGTTTGCTCTATGGAATTGTACTATTCATAAATCATATTGAGGTATTTGTTTTTTATAACTTGGCAATATTGTAGTTTCCTTGACATTCCTTTTATATTGAAATCGCCATTCAAATTACATCAGTGCAAATATGATGTGTAGTGTCACAACAACACTTGTCATATTGCAACCTAAGATCTTCGCGAGAAATTTGCCGGACAACTAGATCACGCCATTAATTATTTCTCTTAGATGTTAGAAAATTGGAGCGAAAGTACTACCATTTACATGCACACCAAATCCTTTATAATTCATAATTCATGAATGAGATTCGCACTTATTTTGAACCATGTAATCTTTGTGAAGGCGTAAAATAACTTCATGACCTTAACAGTGGTGCATTTGACCAATTTTAGGATGAGTCTTGTGACAAATTTCCACAGGCTAATTTTATTTATTTGTGACCACAAATTTAAATGAGCTGGACCTATATTTTATGTTTTTTTCAGTAGCAAAGGTTCATTAGCTTCTTCACGCCGTAGCAAGGGACTTCAAGTTAGTCGTGGATTGCAAAGGCTTGCAATTACATGTTGTTTCGGATTCTAGTTGGTCCATTACACTCATATATTAATGACAACATTTCATTAGATAATGTACCAAGTGTTTCAATACAGTCGGATAATCATGACAGGATTTTACAAAATTCTCCCCCCTTTTCTACGAGAGGGTAGGTAGTGTGTGAATCATCATCATCCTATGACTACCAATATGTTCACGTTGCGTTCTCAAATGGAGTTGAGACAGAGTTCCATATTTCATATATAATTTTTTGTATTAATGTGCTCATATCAACACTCATATGTCCCTCTCTGTCTAAATTCCAAACGAGAATGCAATGTGAACATATTGACAAATAAACAAATTCCTGGATTCAGATTGACTATGACTGTCATATGTAGGATGATGACGACACACTACCTACTCCTCCCATACCATAAGGGAGAGAATCTTGTAAAACATTGTCATGATTATGTGACTATACTGAACCACTTGGTACATTATCTAATGAACTGTTATCATTAATATATGAGTCTAATCCACCAACTATAATCTAAAACAACATGTTTATATGTAAATGTCTTACCGCAAGTATAATATGAAACAACAAATATATCTCTTAGGGGAAGTAACCTCTTACTCCACGAACCAACAATTCAATCTTACATGTTTGGTTCACAGAAAAAATTTGATGCGAAATAATTTTCCATGTCTTTCCCAAATGGTGGGAAATGGAAGATTCATTTCCTATGTTTCATAACAATGAGAAAGTAACCACGAAATACCAATTTATTTCCTTTCACATGTTTTGTTTGTGGCTCGTGGAGTAAAACAAAGTTTGTTTAATTTTCCAATTATACCTATATAAAATCAAATTAAAAAAAAATGCATTTAATGCTATATTGTAATTATAAATTGTTAATAGGAACAAAATGGTCATGAAAAATGTGCATTTATTATTGGCTAATTTTCCCAAACTTTCTCATGAGGAGGAAAACAACAAGCCTAAACTTGCCAAACATGGGAAAACAATTGATTTCATATACCCAAGCCTCCTTTCCCATGTGCAAGACAACCATTTTCCAAGCTTAGACTTGCCAAACATAGGAAAACAATTGATTTCTTATACCTAAGCCTCCTTTCCCATGAACCAAATGAGAGCATCTACAATGGACTCCCTAAAACACCTAATTAAACAAAGTTTATGGAGGAATTGAAAAAACACAACTTCAATCATGCTCCCTATCCATCTCCTAAAATATGGAGACCTATATTTCTAATGAGAGAGAAAGGGCTCCTAGTGACTCCTTATAATTTAATGCAAACTATTTTTTGTTGTTGCTTTTGTGTCAACACTTTATTAAAAAATATAAAAACTATTTATGACTTTTTAAACTAAGGAGTATTGTTGGAGTTGAAATTTTATAGAGAGCTCCTAAAATAGATTTATAGTGTTTTTGACGATTTTGTAACTAAAAAGTAGAGAGCATGAATGTGGACGTTATAACCCTATAAAAAATGATTCAAAATTTATTTATTATTTCAAGGTTTTTATCACATATGGTCCCTAAATTTTTCAAAAGTCCTCATTTGAATCCTCAAACTTTCAAATCAATCAATGTGGCCACTAATCTTTTGGCCCACATATTAGTTTTGTCCATTTCATTGCATTTCATCAACATCTTTGTTGAAATTGGTCACATGACCAACATAAGGCATATTTTGGTCAAAATACAACCTATCCACACATGACACTCTCACTAATTTTGCTCAACAAGGCTATTTACTTTTCTTAATAGACCCCAAATGTGAAACCCTAATTGAATAGCATATAGCCTTGTTGAGTAAAAATGTGAGTTTTAGAACTAAAATGAGCTATATTTTTATGACACGCGATTACACATGATTACACATGAACAATTTTACAAAAGTTTTGTCATAATGCAATAATATTGACCAAATTGTTGTGTAGACAGAAAAATGAAAGACCACATTGATTGGCTTGAGAATTTGGTAACCAAAATGAGAAATTTTAACAAAGTTAAGAACCGCTTGTGATAAAAACCCTTCAACCATAACCAATAAACTCTTACATAGCACCATAAACCTTTAAATAGCCGAATAGCAAAACAAAGTAACTCAACAACGCAAACTTAAGTTATGTTCCCCTTGCTTCCATAAAAGTTTAATGAGGGGGATGACTCAACAAGTCTATGAAGAGGGGTAATGGTGGTTGCAGAGATGTTTGAGTCTCTTGGTGAGGATGGGGGGAGAAACCAGAGAAGTTAAGCAGCAAACAATGTAAAACAAATAGAGAGGCGGGGCATGGGGCCTTTGCGTAAGTCCTTCGTGATAAAGGTCTAGGGTTTCCCTTGGCTTTGGGTGTGGAGTAGCCTCTCCCTCCCCTAATTTTTTTTATTTACCAAATGGGAGCACACTGGTTTGGGAGTATTGTTTAGAAGTACGTTTAGAAGCACACTGGTTTCAATAATATAACACTGAAATGGCAAAAAATCCAATTATAAATTTATATATAAATATCATCTATGTAAACTAAGCACGAAGCTGGCCCCGAAAAAAAGATACAATAATAATATGTAATTTTTGTTTTTAAAGGAAGTCGATGGAAAATAACTACCATCTAATAAATATTTAAGTAATATCTTACCAAAATTTATTTATTTATTGTTCGATCTAATTGTTATTTGTTATATACCAATTAACATTAAAGATTCATGCAGTCTTGTTATAACTGCATTGGCCCGTTATAAATTAGCGTGAATATCTTAATTCCTTATAAAAATATTTTATAATTATACTATCGTTTATTACAAAAAAATAAAAATTATTCATTATAATTAAAATGAAAAATAAACATGTGAGTGAAAACAACATCACCATAATAAAATACTTGTACAGGTAATACCTTACCAAACAATCTAGTACCGTAACAAAATGGTATCCTATTGTTATTTCTTAAATATTAAAATATACATAAATGAATTTTTTATAAAATTAATGAATCTGCTTATGAATCATTGATCACAAAGCAAATAAATAATGATGAATATTCCCATATACGTATATCCAAATGCAGAAGAATCTTGTCAAGATTGTTCAACATTTCACTACGTAGTCTGCAATTTGGAGACCTTAAATATTAGATTATTCACAAAAATAACAAATAAATAAAGTCCACATCTTCACGATATTTATAACCGTCCGATCGTCAACAATTATGACTGGTTCCTAGAAGATCGTTGCCCAGCTTATCAATCATCAATCAAACATTTCCAAAACTAATGAGCCGGGTCCCACAGGACTACGAACCTGGGCCCACACACGGTCCAGATTCATCACGGTGTGTACAGTTACAACTTTCCTTGCTTGAGACGAACACAAGCAACAAGATAACCAACGCGCCAAACGCGTAGTCTAACGAGAAGTTAACTCTCTCTCTCTCTCTCTCTCTCTCTCTCTCTCTCTATCAGCTTGGCTGGGCTGGCACGTACCGGATAGAAAGGAGGGATTCCAGGATCCGGTTGACTTGTTTGTGTAGGATTAGGATCTTCCACATAAATACAAGACAAATACAAAGTCTTCCTTTTTACCGTCCGCCTATTGCTCTGCTCTTGCTCTCGGATTCTCAAAGACGGAGAATACTAAAGCGAAATCGGCCTACAGAGACAGAAAAGGAGAGAGAGAGGAACACTTTTCTCTGTGAAATTGGTTCAGAAAATTATTCAATTTCCCCACCTCCCTTCTATCGGGTAATGTTTTGTTTTGTTTTTGTTGGGTTTTGGTTCAATTTTGATTTGGTTGAATTTTTGTTGTTGGGTTTTTCTCTTGTTGAATTTTGATTTTTTAACCCCTTATTTTTTTTTCCGGTTCAGGTTAGTAATCTTGTGATTGTGCGGCTATGGGTGTCACCGTAAAGCAGATGTCATTGACAGTGGCCTTTTTCGGCGTGCTCTCGTTCGTTTTCGGAGTGATTGCCGAAAACAAGAAGGTAATTTGCAAATATACGCTCCAAGTTTCTGTATGTATGCGATGATGTGGTTGCAAAATTTTAGCATGTTCAAGAGTTTGTTGGGTGAAATTGGTGTGAATTTTGTATCAGAAGAAGATTGATTTGTTTCATTTGAGTTTTGGGTATTTTTCCGGACTTTTCCCTGTAAATTTTACTCGACTTGCAGTCTTGGAACTCATGCACCATAGCCATGATATTCTCTTTTGGTCTTTTGACAGTAGAATCATGTGCACAAATAAAAACACCCTGATTGAAATTGAAGGTTAAATAGTAACATTGAGTGTCCCCTGCGAATTTTTTTTGCTGTAGGCTGTAGGAATTATTTGTGTCTTACATGGTTGAAATTCAAGAGTGCAAGGAAGGAGTAGTTGTTTTCAGCTTTCTAATTCATATGTCCCAAATATTTCTTCCTCTGTGTTCTAGGCAACAGTTACTGCTGCCTATAAGCTTGAAAAGAATTTTGGTGGCTAAATGAATTCTGATTACAGTCAACGACCGAGTGATTCTGATTAATCCCAAAAAAAACAAATAAGAACAAAAAAACAGTTCTTTAGATTATTTACCATAGGGTGGTGGAAATTATAGCAGAAAATGTATCCAGTCTTATTCATATATTTCTTTGATTTGATTCGAAGTAGTTACATGTATTCTTGGCTACTAATTAGATTCTTTGTTTTCTGACCTCTTGACAGCCTGCATCTGGAACTCCAATTCCAGGGAAAGGTGTTGTGTACTGCAAGTATCCTTCTGACCCATCAGTTGTCCTGGGATATCTGTCTTTTGCCTTCCTCCTGGTATCTACAGTGGCTGGGTTCTTGTCATTGTTTTACCCATATAAAGGAAAGTCCCTCCCACAGGCCGCTTTGTTCCGAAGCACTAGTTTTGTTGTATTCTTCAACATTTCTCTGTAAGTGTTCACAGTTGTGCATATATCTATATAAGCGTACTTAGATTTGAATAGTTCAAGGCTTATTATGTTGATGCATAAGATGTATAAATTGTGCTTTTCGGTGCCTATAAGAAGATGTTCTTCTTTCTCAAATTCTATGGTTATGGATCTTGCAGCCATTTAGAACATCATATAATTTAGAGTAGCTATTCAAGTTGGGCATCATGTCATATAATATTCCAAAAATGTATCATTCAAGGTTTTCTGTAAAATGCTGATCCACCTCTCTCTCTAATTGTGTTTCTTTGGTGGTGGTCACATTACACAGGCTTACAGCCGGACTTGCTGCGGCTCTGTTGCTATGGCCCACAATAACCGAGCAACTTCATCGATCACGAAATGTTCATCGTAATCTTGAGACCGCTTGCCCAACTGCTAAGACTGGACTCCTAGGTGGCGGCGCTTTTGTATCCCTTGATGCATCACTGTTGTGGTTGGTTGCCCTTATGTTAGCTGACAATGCCAGAGAGGATTACTTCGAGGAGACTGAAAAGGATGTTAAGGGTGAGTACGGACAAGTTTCTGCAGTTGATTATGATGGACGTGTGAATGTGAAAGGAAGTGCTTGAATTGTGTTCCCTTCGCAAGAGGCACTTGGATGTCTCTTTGTTTCGTTCGGACTCTTCCATTTCACATATATGCTCATAAGCTTGTGTGTCAAGCAACTTTATGTAGTGAAAATGAATGTAGATGCTATTCGACTTTGTTCAGTACTTTCTGTTTGTGGTTGTGGATTTGGCAAAATGAAGCATATGAATAGACTTTTTAATTTCGCCTCTTCAACTTTGCTTTCAGATTTTCTTTCTACTAGTTGCTAGTAATTTCTTTAGGTGAACACATTTTTAAACCTGGGTGGGGAAATCAGGCTAATGTAATCTCACCTGTTGACATGGTTGTCACCACCATCTCCATTTTCACCACCACAACCTTCATCATCGCTGCCTTGACACACCAACCAACAACCACCGCCGTTGCCACCTGCGCATCAGTACCCATTTACACATTGAGACATCCATCAAGCTAAATTGTATATCTCATATTTAATAGGTTAACTAAAAAATAAACTTTATAAAATTTAAATTGTAAGTCCATCTTTTAGAATAAATTTGTCATCATTTTGAATTGAAGTATGCTCGACATTTTTTAAATATTATTATACAAGATGCTCAACCATTTCTCAAGACTATATAACTAATTTTCCTTTGCCCTTTTGGACTTTCTGATCCAAACGTAATGTAACTACCACACCATTTTAAAAAATTAGGATTGATGAGTAGATAGATTGCATTGACAAATAATTAGCTGAATTTCATAAGTGGTTCACTCAACTTGAGATGCGGTTCAAATTATTTGCTCGCAATTTGCACATTTATGAACGATCAAGGTTTAAGGTGGATAACCGATGAATTTCCAGTTGCTGATGAGTGAATCAACTGGAAATTCATGGATTATCCACCCTCGACTTGATTGATCAGACTTGTGCAAACGCAAGCAAAATAAATTGAAGCGCATCTCAAGTTGAGTGAACCACTTATGAAATGCAGGTAATTATCTGTAGTTACTTGTGAATCCTACAAATACCAACCAAATATCATATACACATATCCCTCCAAACTTAACATAAAAACTAAAGGCATATACACATATTTCATATATAAACATAAAAACTGAAGACATATACACATGGCATATCTAAATTAGCGTATCAATGTTGTGTATGCTGAGATTCACACATCACCCTACTCCTCTCATACTAGGAAGGGAGAGAATCTTGTAAAACCCATTCGGCTTGGTTCTTAGGTTGGGCCTTTACTTCTTGGGTTACCCAATTTTTTAAAACCCGTTAAACATTCGGTTAAACCCGGCTACCCAAAACCCTAGTCCTAAGCTCCGCAAGCAAACCCTATTTAGAGGCAGCATTCCATTTCCGTTGATATCAATCAAAACCCCTACCAAAGCCCAAACCCTGCTCTGCTTGCACACTCTCATTCTCTCTCTCTCTCCTCTTTGGGCAAGTGAAGTTGTTCAGAGCAAAATGCCGCTTGGCGAAAGAGCAGGAGATAAGAGCGAATCTCGCTACTGTGGCGTGGAGACCCAGTTCAACGATGACATGCCTCATGTCCTCGCTTTCAATCTCTCCCATGGCTCCTTCGATTTCGTTGTGGCTCCTCTGGTCCGTACTTTTCTTTTTTTAATTTTTTTAATTTTTATTATTTACAATTATTTTTCCTGTTTCGTATTTCATTTGATTTTCTGTTTATGCTTAGAAATGATCAATATTTTCAATGTCGTTTATTTTCGAACGACTGTATGGTGGCTAATTAGCCAGTCACATATCGGCTTTACAGCTGCTCTTTTGATGTGAATGGTCAGTAAGCTCACCTATAACAATGCTGCGCTAGTGGCTGTTGCTTGTGCAGCTGCTCGACTATGCAGCTTCACTCTACGTCCACTAACTACATTCATGTCATTTCTGATTAAAATTACTGTAAATGCCGATGATTTACTTGTCAATTATTTGTGTGTTGCTTAGTTGTTTAGAAGACTATGCGTTGAATTTCATGTTACTTCATGGACATTTGTGCAATTTCTTTGCACATGGTGGCTAATTAGCCAGTCACATACAGCCAGAGATGGCTTCTGTTTTGTGTGAATGGTCAGTAAGCTCACCGACAGTAAGGCTTTGTTGGTGGTCTTGATTGGTGAAGCGTAGCTCTGGTTTCACCTTTAGGCTGTAAACTACATTGTTAATTTGTGATACCTTTGTAATTTTTCTCATCATTGGTGGGTATGAGGACTTTTCTATGAGCCACAAAGGTACTATTTGTTTATTTCCATAGACAAACATGGTACGTAAAATCAATATGTTGCTTGCCTCTCATGGTATAATGAGGCTCTTTCCACATGAGGAGAGTAAACTACCTTGTATGCTTCATAACTGTGTGTTAATGTTTATTGGATATAATTTGTCTTTTTCAGTTATGTATTTCCCCCTGAAGATTAAGTTAGAAAATAATGATATACATTCAACATGTAGGATTGTAATGTCTTCTTGAAGTCCTTTGAATTATTTGATTGCCTTTTTGGTCATGAATGCCTTGTGTTCAGCATCTTGATTGTATCACTTAAGGTGTTTGTCTGTGTCTGTTTCTTCATTCCTTTTCCTGTTCCCTTTCTTTATCCTCTGATACACAACTTGGACAATGGATAGTGATTCTTATTCCACCTGATGATGTAGATGGATCCTGCTTATCGACCAAGCTTAATGCAAAAAGAAAGTGGAGTATCTGGTGTTCTGCCATTTGCTGGGTCAGATTTGGTTTTGAGTCCTTCACAATGGAGCAGTCATGTTGTGGGTATGGACTTATGTAGACAAATTTGTTGTGTTACATTGTCTCTTCCATGGTCAGTCTGACCCTTTTATTTTAATCTCAAACTTTTTCTTTTATGTGTTAATATTGTTTGAAAGGCCTCTGAATCAATTAGGACTCTTATGTGGAACTTTGGTTTGATTTACTTGCTGGGTTGGATGTTTCTCAATTTTCAGTATAAGAATGTGCTTGAAATTCACTAATTGTTGTTGAAAGATGTCACTGGTAGTTGGTATCTTTCATGAAGTTATGCTTATATGATTGTTTTGTTATTATTATTTTTTCTTATTGCAATGCAAGTGCATGGCTCTGTGATCATCATAATCTGCATCTCAAAGAAATTTTTCATTGGCAGTGTGGTTTCCGTTTCAGATTGGAATTAGTAGTTATGGGTGATGTTTCAGCTGTATGAGTCTAGCTTTGTGGTTACTTTTATGTGGGATTCCTCTGCATCGGAATGGATAATGTCTTGGCTGTAAGCCAATAAGGTTGATGGTTAAGCTGGCTAAGTCTAGCTTTTCCGGTTACGTTTCTCTGCATTATGCTGTATGATTTCTTGGCTGAATAAGAATGGAGTTGTTTTAATAAGCTTACATTCTGTGTACTTTTCAACCGCATATCTTCTTGCATCCTAATACATTGACTGCTCACAGTGGTTTCTTGAATTTATTCAGGAAAAACTAGCTCATGGATTGACTTAGATTCAGAAGATGAGATCCTCCGGGTGGATTCTGAAATTACCTTGAAGCAAGAGATAGCATGGGCTTCTCATTTGTCCCTGCAGGTGGGTATAGTTTTATGTAAATATGGATATAGTGTTGCAAAATATTGGAATTGTTATCACAGGCGATGCTTAAAAATTTCCGGTGCTTTGCTACACCAAATTGATTCTGGATATTAGTAACTGAAATTTGTTTTCTTGCTGGCCTTCTTATCTATTGTTGGGTGTAGGCATGCCTACTTCCGGCTCCAAAGGGGAATTCCTGTGCTAATTATGCTAGGTGTGTCAATCAGATTTTACAAGGACTAAACAGTATGCAGGTACTTTGTCAATCCAAAACAGTTTACATCTTTCAACCTCTTTGTGTATTCTACTTTTGAAGCTGGGTTTTATTATTTCTTGTTATGCTCTGTTATAGTTGTGGCTGAGGATTCCATTGGTCAAGACAGACAACGATACGATGGATGTGAACTCTAGTAATTTGGTGAGTGAAGTCCCTTTTGATTATGCTTAGATCTCCATCTCATCTTGAAGGAATGTTTAAGTTCTCAAAATAGATTTTCCATTTTGATGATTTTTTTTCCTTCTTTTGATGGAACCTCTTAGTTTCCAGCCACTGAGTTTGAACGTATATCACAGACTCTTGGCCCATAAATGTTGCACTGTACATAGAAGTCCAAGTTGCATATGGCCCTTGTTGAACCACCAGAATGACAAGTCTTGTGCTAAATCTACCAACAAATTGGGTGCTTTGTTGGAATCTGTGTAAAGGCTTTGTTGTTAGATGTCTTGTAGCAAAGAGGGAGGTGAGGAGTGGAGAGTTGCCTCTTTTGTGTTGTTGTAGATTGAGTAGGGTAGTCAAATTTATACAGGGTGTAGACCTTCTGCATGAACTTGAGGTTTCCTTAATATGTATAACCTTTATTTATCTCCTTTTTTTTTGTTATTTTGATTATTATTTCACTTATGGTGGTATGATGATTGACATAACAGAGGATAAACCTCATTTTCCTTACTTTTTTTTTTCCTCTTGCAGGATGATTCCTGGGAGATTTGGAATTCATTTCGTCTGCTATGTGAACATCACAGTCAATTGTCAGTTGCCCTTGATGTTTTGTAAGTTTAGCAATGACCATTCTTGTATAACTTGCTAATTTATGATTTTTGTTTTCATTGTGCCTGAAGTAGCATACATATTTTTTAAATTTTGAGCGAACTTTCTTTTTCATCAGGAATTCACTACCTTCTGCAAACTCACTTGGACGTTGGTTTGGGGAGTCTGTTAGAGCAGCCATAATCAGTACTGATGTAATTATATGCTGATTGGTGTATTAAGGAAAGCTCAAGTTGATTACTGCTAATTTTCTTACAATGGTCTTGTTTATTTGCCAGTGCTTTTTAACAAATGCACGGGGTTATCCATGTCTGTCAAAGCGCCACCAAAAGCTAGTCAGTGGGTTTTTCAATCATTCTATACAGGTATTTATGAAGGAGTTATCAACAGTATTTTGTTCTGTTGAAGTTCCTTCTCCCATTTCCCTGCATTTGCAGTATAAGCAACTCCATACTTCACTTTGTTTTTTATTTTTTCAAAATATTTTCGTGGACAGTGCTCCAAAGCTCCAAAGTTACTTAAAATCTCCAGCAAGTTCGACCCAATTATGGTTTCGTAGTTGCAAAATTTCTTCATCGACATCATTAGTTTTAGATCTTATGGTCAACTTCCTGCAATGTTTGCTAATCTTTGGAATGCGAAATTTATTTTCAGATAGTTCTATCTGGAGAACCAGTACATAGTCTCCCCAGGATAAATTCAGATTTAGCTGCCAATAATAATGATAATAATGTTGACGGTAAGACCTACCTTCTGTTTACAAGTGAATTGTCTTAAATACTGCTAGTAGATCATTGAAATAGTAATCATTTTGTTTGACAAGTATTTGAACTAGTTGAGTCAGAAAGGCTTCGCCATTATATGAACATTGTTTCCTTTTCAAGTGCTTTTGATTGCTTTTCATGACTAGTTTCATATAAGTGGTTCTGAGTTCTGACTGGCTTTTAAAGTGCTACGCTTTGTTATCTAAATTACTTTCTTCGATTCTGATCCTCAGGATCATATAGATCCAGATGCAAATATGAAGGAAACAATGAATGGAAAAAAAACATATATTTATTCCACTAACACAAAACAAATATCAAGAAACAAGCTATCTGATACATAAGACTAGAAAAACACTTTCAGTTTAACACAATGAATTGTGATAAAGCATTCTTGATATTCAGGTGTCCAGAAACATCCCCTGAGGCCGTATTTGGATTATGTTGGTTATCTCTACCAAAGGATGGATCCCCTTCCTGAGCAAGAACGGTTTGAGGTCTGTCTGTCTGTCTGTCTGTCTGTCTCTCTCTCTCTCTCTCTCTCTCTGTGCATGTGTATCAGTTATTTTTTTTATATTTCTTGATCCTTTAAGTTTCTTATGCCAGCTTGGTTACAGGGATTTCTTGCAGTCACCCTTACAGGTACAGTTTCTTTGCCTAGTGCTCTCTTGTATTATTATATTGGTACTAGTATTTTTCTTAAGTGTTCCTTTCCTATTTATTGAAATATCGAATCCTACACACATAGTGATTACCCATCCTCGTATAATACAAATTCAAGTTAGGCTAATTCTGCTATTCTAATGCAGCCTCTCATGGATAATCTAGAGGCTCAAACCTATGAGACATTTGAAAAGGACACGATGAAATACATTCAGGTATGCCTGCCTTTGCAAATAAATGCATAAATAATCTTTTCTGATATTTTGATATCGTTATGTTCTCTGTGTGCCATCATAGTGTGAAATAATTGGGGGAATGAAATGCTTTATTTAATATATAATTATTCTATCTACGTTTTGGAGGGGCCAGGGGTTCTTTGGAAAAGGAAGACATATTGGGATGACATTGCAAACTAAACTACTTTTGTTACCTACTGGTTCAAATGTTTGCTAGAAGGTGTAGTTTCTTTTATTGCGTACAATTGTAAATTTTTTTTTTTGCACCTTTTCTAGTACCAAAGGGCAATTTGTAAAGCTTTACAGGACAGGGTTCCAGATGACAAGGCATCTTCAGTGACCACCGTAAGCTGCTCACCTGTAACTGTGCTTTATTAAGTTTGATGATAAAAGTTCTGAAGGTCATGACATGGCTTCATATTTGTTCTGGCAAGGTATTGATGGTTGTAGGAGCAGGACGTGGACCTCTTGTAAGGGCTTCATTGCAGGTGCCTTATCTATCTTATGTATATTACTTTTGGACTAAATTGTTTATATCCTGAATGGATTTTACATGTAGCAGATCATTTTGATGCTCACTCTATATCTCCTTCTCACATGCAGGCAGCTGAAGAAACTGGGCGCAAGCTTAAAGTCTACGCTGTGGAAAAAAATCCAAATGCAGTCGTTACACTGCATGTGAGTAGCAAATTCTCTTTATTGTATTTCTTTCTGTGCTAAGTTGCAAAGTTGATATAGGTGTTTGTTTGAATTAGACTTTCCCCCTGTTTTTTTCATGGTCTGCATTTTATATATTGACGTATCTGTGTTTGTTGGAGCAGAGCTTGGTTAAACTAGAGGGGTGGGAAAACATTGTTTCCATAATTTCAAGTGATATGCGTTACTGGGATGCTCCTGAGAAAGCTGACATTTTGGTATGCAAGTATTATCATGAATAATCATCCATTTGTTTTTGAGTTTTCTTAAAACCACTGCCTTCGATTGTGTAATAGGTGAGTGAATTATTGGGTTCATTTGGTGATAATGAGCTATCTCCTGAGTGCCTTGATGGAGCTCAGAGACTTTTGAAGGACGATGGAATCTCAATACCTTCATCGTACGTATACATTTATTTTGAAGTTTTACGTGAAAGGTGTCCCCCGCGGGACAGGATTTGTTAAAAAATCAGTATTGACATTTGGATATCTTGTGGGGAAACTGTCCAGATTTCTTATCTAAGTGCTCAGCATCAGTAGTTTTCAATTTTCATTAGTGTTCCTCTCATAAAAGTTTATATGCCTCTTTTCAGGTACACGAGTTTCATCCAACCGGTGACTGCTTCAAAGCTTTACAATGATGTATGCTCGTGTCTTTGTGC